TGGTGCCTTCCATCACATCAGTCAGGTCAGTAATGCGGTTGAAAGACATTCCCTTGGCCCATTCGTAGACCACCTCTGCCAGACCGAAGCGTGGCTTGCTGGCAAAGTCATTAGAGTCCTCCGTGGACTGGATGACCTGGTGTAGGACCTGGAAGTTATTGACCCGTTCCGCGATACGGATAATGGCTTCTTGGCCCTTCTCCAATTGAGGTGTGAGCTTGGGAGTGCTCTCTGTCTTTTCCTGGAACACAAAGGCGGAAAGAAGAGCAACAATTTCCTCCGGCTCGTATTCGGCGAGAACGTTCTCGAGGACCAACTCCGTCAATACCAGTTCGTCAGCAGAATGAATCTCGCATGCCACCTTGCCCTTCAATTGCACTCGCCCCACATCGTCCACGAAGCCCAACTCCTTGAGCACTTGAATGCGCTGTTCATAGTCCGGAAGTAGTTGAAGATTTTGATCCGACATCAGTTGTTTCAGTTGTGAGATGTTCTCCTTTACTTGCCATTCGTCGTTTTGCATTTCAAACTAATGAGGCGAGGGTGTTAGAATCAGGTATGACAATACATAACGGTGGCTTCGACTCACGTGTTTCAGGAAATTGGGACACTGTAAACAATGCCCGGATTGAGCAATTTCGGCCTGGGTCTGTCGTTGATCTAGAATATCTCGGACCTGAAGCTCCTTAATGCGGGACCAATCGATCTCGTCCCATGCCGTATTTAACCAGGACGAGGTGTACTTGGTCAACTCCTTATCTGCGAACTTTGTAGCTTCTTCAAGTTCATAATAACCCATTAGCTCTAGTTGTCCAGATGGGAGGATGCGGTAATACTCCAATGGGAAGATGATGTATTCAGGGGCAGTACCTTTCTTGATGTTCAGGTACCAAATGGGGCCCCCGACCTTGACTTGGGTGTTTGTGACGCATTCGAGTTCTGTGAGTGGAATTTTGACGCCCTTGAGGTTCATTGAAGCTCCATTCTGGGGAAGCTCTCGGAAGAATTGTCGGAGTTTGGGCAGGAACGGAAGGATATCGCTGGGATGACGCTTCGAGTTTATGGTTCCGATTTCGAGTACCTGGATGCATGGTGCTGGTCCTGACGTGACACCTTCCTTCACTAAGATACCAGCCGTACGCAATCCATCCTATTCAAGCATCAATATGAAGATCGGGCACCTGGGTCCCGCTCACGATCCAGACATAGACATACCTTTTGATATACTACCAACCTCTTCATGCTGAAAAGCCGCTTGCCCACTGGGGACGATAGTAGGTTGGCGTGTAGCTCATTAGTGAGTCGTTTGAATTCAATCGAGGCCGTATGGCAAGCTTCAAGATCCACATCACAGACTTCACAAGGCTCTCGCTTGATTTTCGCCAAACTGGCCTCGGAAAGCTGAACTTGCTTCTCGTGCTCCGGTAGAAGAGCCTGTGTAGCATTTTCGCTGAAACTTCTTTTAATCATCTCCTCAATTTTGAGTGCTTCCACTCGAAGCAGATTGAGAATCATGTTATATGTCAGTCGGAATTGAGAACGAAGTTTGGTCGGGTCTCCCAGTATCATCTTTTTCAAACCAGCGGCAGGCGGCGCTTCATCGCGGCCACTGGCAACAACAATTACATAGCCCACGTTGTCGAGACCTCTGCGTCCAGCACGTCCGGCCATCTGCGTATACTCACCGGGAAGCAGATCGCGAAAGGCTTTGCCGTCGTGCTTGCGGAATCCAGAAAACACGACTGTCCGAGTTGGCAGGTTCAGACCCATGGCAAATGTTTCAGTGGCAAACAGAACCTTCACAAGGGACCTTGCGAAAAGAATCTCGACAATCTCCTTCATAATGGGCAACAAGCCACCATGATGTACAGCAATACCGCGGCTGAGTAGCTCACGAAGATTGAGGATTTGCGGGAGAGTCCGGTCTTCAGGCTTCAGTCGGGTGAGCGACTTCTCGATCATCATATGGATCTCGCTCTTTTCCTTAGCAGTGCAGAAATCTTGTTTGGTAAGGGACTCCGCATTCTCTTGGCATCGCTTCTTGGAAAAAACGAAGATACAGCCCGGAAGCAATTCTTCCTTACGAAGATGTGAAACCAGTGAGACCCAAATAGTTCTATCTTGGGCTGCGGATGTTCGGCCACCGCCACGTCCAGTACGGGCAATGTTTCCAGTTCCCCGGTTAGAAGGTTGACCACGCCCTCCGGGCTGCCCGCGGCCGCCTCGCTGAGGAGGACCACCACGTTGACCATTGCCTCGGCCGCCTCTGGCGCCGGGTTGGCCACCTCCTCCCCCTCGTCCCTGTCCTTGTGGACCTCCTCGCTGTGTCTGGGCCTGAGCAAGGGCGTCGGCCTCTTTCTTAGCCTTGGCATCTCTGCCAGACATGGCATCATTCGCCTTTTTCCAGCCAGCCTCGAGGAACCGCTTGTTGGAATCGACGATCTTGTACTTGTCTTTCCCGGCCCAGAGGTAATGTTCGAGAGGCACAGGTCGTTTAGGGGTGGAAATCACGTAAATGTCCTTCTTCTTCGTGCGACCAACCCAAGAGGCGAATTCGTGAGTGTTTGGCACTGTAGCAGATAACAGGATCAGGGTGACATGCTCCGGAAGCATAATGATGACTTCTTCCCAGACCACTCCACGCTCAAGGTCGTTCACATAGTGTACTTCATCAAAAATGACAAACTCCACATCTCGGATAAGATCAGCACCTCGGTAAAGCATACTTCGCAGGATCTCGGTGGTCATAATCAAACAACTAGCCTCGGGGTTTATCTGGACATCACCCGTCAGGATTCCAACGTCTTCAAATTCGGTCCTGAAGTCACGGTACTTCTGGTTGCTGAGAGCTTTGATCGGAGATGTGTAGATGGCCTTAGTCATGTGTTTAGATGCAAGCGCAATAGCGTATTCTGCCACAACTGTCTTTCCAGCCGATGTATGCGCGGCAACAAAGACAGAGTCGCCGTTTTCAAGATGGTAGACGGCCTCCTTCTGGAATGTATCCAACTCGAATGGCCAATCTCTAGCCATGTCGGGAACAAGTTCACTAAAATTGGTGATCTCCTTGTTCACATCAACAACATGGGCCCATTCTCTACCCTTCTGCTTCTGAAGCCCTGCAAGAAGTGGGTTGCGCGGTTCCAAAGCGGCAAACTCCACCGGCAGAAGAGCATCGATATCTTCCTCTTCGTCGTCGCTGATCTCGTTCTCATTGTCAACATCAACGATTTGTGCAGTGTCATTTTCGGTTTCGGTTTCGGTTTCGGTTTGATCAACCTGGAGATGGCTTTCCTCTTGGAGTAGAGCATGTTCAACCTCCTGGTCACCTTCCGCAGACTCTTTGGACTTTGCTTCTTCGAACACATGTCCATGGCTGAATCCAGGGGGAATTGTGAGAAGACCACCATCGGATCCGAAATCGATGATTCGGTCAAGACCGGTCTGCTGTCCTCCGCTACGCTTTTGCTCTGCAGGCTGAACACCTGCCTCCATCTGAGCAAGAGCTTCGACACCCTCTAGGCCTCCGGGGGCGAATGGGAAGAATCCCGCTGCACCTCTAACAAAGTCTGCACGTCCAGCAGGACGACGGAGTAGAGAAGTGGAGTTTTTAGCGGTTTCACTCGTAGCTGGCACTGTCACCTCGTGGTAACCAGTCACCCGTCCTTCCAAGCCTTCTCGTGTAAATCGAGTCACCGTTCTCGTCTGCGTAGGAGCGATCTCAAAGATATCAGTGGTTTCAGTTGGGACATCCCATCGTCTCAAGAAAAGATTAGCCAGGTTCAACTTTTCCGCGAGGAAACGCGCAGACAAAGGATGAATTGGAAACATACTGCTGTAGCTGATTCAGCCAGCTGGGAGTAAACTTCGAAGATGGAGTCAAAAATTCAGCTTCCAATTCCGCCAAAAGCTCCTTTCCACTCTGATGTGCCTGCTTGCGAGGTCCGGGACCGCTCGAGGCACCATTTTCACCCTCGGCGATCGGAGTCTCAAGTTGAGTTTGTATCGAAGTTGGGTCAAGATCTTTGGCTGCTAGCCTCAGATTTTCCATCGCGGATGCCAAGTAATCCGCCATTGTTTGTAAACAGCGTTCAATTGGTGGGAGAAAAGAAGGTATCGTCAATCGTATTCAGTTTGGTGATAGTGGTGCACCCCACATTGATGTGCGTTTCGGTGGATGAGGTGAAGGTGAAATTGAACGGGCAGGGGAAGGAGCGTATTTAAGCTCGCCCGGTGAAATACAGAATGCAATCTCAACTGCAGTTTCGGTATTACTGCACCGAAAGAGGAAACACTGAGAGACGGAGCTTGACGAGGCAGTACTGTCGAAGGACGGTGGGTGATCGCAGGTGAGCTGTTGGGGCGGCAAGACGCGGCAGTATCAGGGTGTTGATGACTGACGTCGTGTGGGGCACAGCAGTATGAACTATGGATTTTGCCCATGGGGTCTACAGTCATTGGACTTTGGTTCATCCGTCTCTAAATAAAAGGTGCAAATTTTGAAAATAATGCTTGCTTATTTCTATTCAATATGGGATTTATGCCCGCACACGTCAATTCCCTATCCCATTCTATTAGACTCCCCTCTCTACCAGAGTCACTAAGAGTGGAGATTGGTGGAATGAAGCATAGGATACTTGAGGTTGTGAATACTTCTCTTTGCTAGTTGATTCCAATTTCATGTCGAACCTCCACAGGGTGCGGGCAAGGATAATTTTCATGCTGTCATAGGCAAATCTATGGAATGTTAGTATTTCGAAGCTTTGAATATCTCATTGGACTCACTTCTTTCCTGCGCAGCTTTGCGGCCCGACTGAAAGGTTGAAAGGCTTTCTTCACATCGGTAGCAAATTGCGGGTCCTCTCCAAGCCACCGTTTTGGGAGGAACTCTGCTGGCCATGAGAAGTTACGCTCGCTGCGATAGGCACTCCAGTGGAAATATTCACAACAGTCTATAACGATCAGTATATTTCAATATGAATGAGGTGGTTTTCTTCAACTCATACCTGGTCAGGTACAACGTGGCCATCAATTTGGACTCCGCCGATAATAGTCTGCCGAGGAAACCCGTTTGTAATTGGGGGGAACATTCTAAGGGTCTCTTGGATCACGGCTTGGAGATAAACCAACTTGTTTATAGACGAGACATCTATTTCGCTTTCGTGTTGGAAATGAGTATGTAGCTCCTTGGCCAGATTCTTCATTTTCTCGGGGTTCTGTAGTAGCAGGTAGGTAGCTGATGTCAAAGCTATCGAAGTTGTTTCTCCTCCCGCCAGTATCAAGATGCTAGCCTGCTGCTCAATTTCATCGGTAGCAATTGCGCCACTGTCTCTTGCTTCAATTAATGGGTGAATAAAATCCAAACTGTCTGTCCTCCGCTTCATGCGTCGCTTGACCATTTCAGCGGTCATTTCAGCGTGTTTCTTTTTCTGCTCCATCATTGATGAAGGTATCAAATCCGCAAGAAGCTTATTTAGAGGGCTAAATCTGTGGACAACTTGAAGTAAGGTGGCCACATAAAAATAATCCACTACGAACTGAACCCATGCATGAAATCCGGATGAATCCAAACAGCCGAAAGATTCGCCGAAAGCAAGATCGCCGATCATATCGAAAGTTATATAATTGTACCAGAGCCTCGGATCTAATTGTAGACCATTGGTAGCATGATCTTGCAGTTTATTCAGGAATAGTTCCACATTTTGCTGCAGTATGGGTTCTTGTGATGCCAGTGCACGGGGTGAAAATGCTGGGTTCATAGCTTTTCGAAGTCGCGCGTGATTTTCGGTGTCAGCCATGGATAAAGTTTTTTTTATCCACCAGCATATCATTAAAGAAGGTCTTGTCTCGGGGAAGAGTGGATTCCCTTGATGTCTGGAATAGATATGATTCCATGCGACTGCCGAAATGAAAGATAGTTCATTTGGACTGATTCGGACGACAGTCCCGTAGTCTTCATGCGCCTTTTGAGCAAACAGATGGTATTTTCCACTCAACTGAGCTAAGGCCACGGGAATAGATGATGCTGCGTATATCTTGGGCCCTGGAAAATTTGCCAATGGATGGAAGTAAATATTATAAAGAATCTTTGTGGCAATTGTCAACACAGCCTAGGATCTAGTTAGTAAATTTGCGTCATGTCCAAATGGTCAAATCATCTTACTAGGGACAGTATAATCATCCATCTAGCTGTGGCAGACTTCTCAATGGGTTGGTCCTCCATGAGTAATAAATGACGATGTCTCAAACTTTTCAAACTTTTCCCGTGAGCTTTTATTGACGGACTTCCTTGATCTGCTTCAGGCGGGGGCACAGGATCCCATTAATAGACTTCATTCAGGCTCGCCAAGTTTTGTATACTTGCTTTAATTACCAAAATGACCTAAGTGTAAGCGAATTTCAGCACCGAGCAAAAGCCACTAGCCTCTTTTAGCCCAATGTTAACTTTGGAACCAGATATCGTAATATCTGGGGATGTTAATTTATATTTTTCCGGTTGCCATTTGCACATCTAGCGCTTATTGCTTCGTGCTGCTTATTTTCCACTCCACATGCAACTTAACCCCCACGTCGAGATTGGCCAAGATGTACCAAATTTCTCTGCCTGTCAAAACAACCAGAAATCTGAAGTCGGTCATTGGCCTGTATTACATCAGGATCATTCTCATTCCAAGGTTGAATTAGGTTGCGTTTCGTTTCGAAATGCCCTCCAGGGCTAATAATCCATTCAAAGTAAAGAAATGATATAATCTTTTAAGCATCCCCGTGACTTTTCAAATTCCCTGTATGATCCATTTCAATCAACTGAACAAAACTCGTGTTTGGGCCGCCATCAGCAATTCGGATTTTCTTGTGGCTGAGCGGCTGTCCCGAGCTGCTAGTCCTGGTCCCTTTTGATGACCTAAATACTTTGGGAAATAGGCGACCGAGCAAGGAACGCATGGCTGGCATGCATAGGCAGAAAACCCCAACATCGATTTCTATCACAGACCAATAGCCGCCGGCAGCATTGTCCCCTGTTGTTAATTTCACCATTAGCCATCCTGTAAGCTGGAAGAAAGGAGGGCAAATAAGGTAAACTTACAAGTTGGATTCGTACTGGTGGCGAAGAGCTTGAGCATGATGGTTCGATAGATGCTAACACCGGTGATCCTTTCAAATTTATGAAAACATTAGAATCGTGCATGTCCACAGTGCCTGTGAATAGAGAACGAGAGAGGCGAAAAAAAGACTTACAAGAATCCCACTCCGAACATAAATATGACCTGAATCTTTGTCGTGATCGAAGCCTGGAGCTTAAGTACTTTGGGAATAGGCAGGGAGATAACAAAGACGTCCAGTACAATGTTGATGGCCGCAGCAGCGACCACCAGAGGGTTTGTCTGCACGCACTTTCCTACATGTTCTCCAGCCCAGCCATTCCAGTTGAAACTAACCGGCGAGCACTGGAATGCGAAGGCGAACAGGAAAGTGAGGCCGTAGCAAACTGTCACAATGCAGGAGGCTTTGATGACATGACGCATCCGATCGGAAGGGAAGATGCGGAGGTAGAAGAGAAGGAAGCAGATCTTTGTGAGCGAAATGCAAGTGATGTAGAGGAGTTCTTGGATGTAGAAAAGCTAGAAGAGTCAGTTTTGTTGCGGTACGTTGGTATGGCAGGAAATCGTACATAAAGAATCCGAGTAATGCTAGTGAATTCGAGAGTCCACATATCCTTTCCGAGCCCAGCTTTTCCAACTGAAGCAATTGTCGATTAATTTCTGACGGTAGATGGATCGAACGATGCGACTTACGCAATATCGAGCCGACATTAACTGGTACCATAATACACTATAACGCTGAGTTAGCTCAACCCCTTCATAATGATTTTTTGACTTACCCCGAGAAGAAGAGTTGCCCAGTCATCTAAGCCAATTTCGAGTTTCTTGATAACAAGGCGCGTGTATATTCGCAAAGCGACGAACACCAAGACGCACAGACCAACAGCTGGGATCACAATACTTAGAGAAGTGTGATCCCTAATCGGAGCTCCGCATTCTGTATTGGTGACATTAAGCGTAGCTGTTAAATCAGTTAGAGTTCAAACCGCGTGTATATGTTTAGTTTTGACGAACTGAGGCCCTCCTTGATGGTGCAATTGGCCGAGACACAGCTACTCAACCCCTCGTTGAGATCCACATTCGTACACATGCATGCTTGGTCAGTGGGGGAACACGCTGACTTAGGAAGAAGGTCGGCAAGGCATTGTGTCTGTAAATTCAATCAGTATTGCACGGCGTGAACAGAATATTTGAAATCCTACAGCGCATGAGGGGAGAGACTGTTGAGCACATGTTAAGTCACCCAAAAGTATTATAGCAAAGGATAAGAACGTAGCCCAAAATCGAGGCGGTCGCATGCTGCCGTTACTGTGAAGGGCTGACGTTGGATTTGGCTTCAACCAAGCCAGGCGTCGACTGTATTTATGGGAATTAGGATGGAAATCGTGGGGCGAAGAAGGGTTTGTACTACCCACATGTGATTGTCGTTTGGAATTTTCAGAAAAGTACTATCATGCCTGAAACGGCTGACTAGAGACTAGAGCTGACTAGGAAAATAATTCAAGGGAGAAGAGAACAGGTTTTCAAGGCAATCACAATTCCTCGCATTCGCGGCCTGAGCTAAAGGGGACTCCCGCTTCTGTTCCTGCTTGTTGCATCCCACTATAAAGACTTTTTGTGGATATTTGATCAGAAACAACTAGTACTCCGTATAGCTACGTAGCATTACTACTCAGCCAAATTGGGTTAAGTAAATCACTCCGTAGGGGTCGTTCTGAAATGGGCTTTCGTGTTGAATAAATACTCCGAGGCAAAATCAGCCCACAGGGTCTCCATTGTCAAGGTTTATTGTGCAATCTTTACAGGCCCCCGGGGCCAGTAACGGCCATTTACGGGTAGGACCGAGTGAACAATGGGGCGGAATTGGATCGGCATCGAGATTAATTTAGGGGGATATGCCAAGAAAACGACCTGGCGTAATTGGCACCGGTCCCACGACGCTATAATGGGGCCAAGACGGTAATTTCAACAAGTATCAGAAGCCGAAGCCCGAATGTCAGAGAAACAAGGAAATTCCGCACAAAAAGTGATACATTCGAGTCTACAATTCGTACATAACTACTCTATATGGAGTAGACAGAAAGTTAATTCAATTGACAGCTCTTGCTTGTAGAAAACATCTTGTTGCACATCTCGAATTACCCCAGTAAACCCATGTCAAAACTCTAGTGGTAAGATGGGCGGTTCGTGCGCTACACAACAATTTCCATCTGCGACTCCCGTAAATTTTAAGCTCATTGCAATTCATCTAATAGAGTATTTATCATAAAAATAATTAAAAATTTGATAGATTTTCTCCATTCAACCACAGGGATGTTCGTCTATTCTAAAAAAGGTAACCTTGACCCGATGGGTACTCCGTACATAATGAAGCAACCCGACCCGGCGGGTTGTTGTGGGGCGAAGGATCGAAGGAAGCGGCACGAATTCAAACGAGTAACGGAGTACGGAGTACTCTGTACGAAGGAGTAAATACATAGCTAACCTAGCTAACTAAACTAAGTTACTAGCTCAGAACTTGTGCGATAGGATACGCGACATATGAAGAAGGATATCCCGACTCCGACTCCGGAAGAGACCGGTAATCCGAGTTATTTGAGGCGCATCTTGACCTGATTAGGGGGCTACTCGTACCTGATACCTCAGGAATCGTTACCAACTTCCAGCTATTCATAATAGGGATCTACAATACTAAACGCCATGGCCGTTTACAGTTCATCAGTGATTCCAATCCATGATGCGACAGACTTGTCAATTTCACAGTTTATGACAAGATACAATCCAGATGAAGTAAATGCATCCAAGGTTGTTCATACTGATACTTTCTCCGATGAGACCATCACCTATGGCTCTCTCCGCGAACAAGCCGGCCATGCTGCCTGGGGTCTGCAGAAAAGGTTGGGACTGCAGCCAGGTGATACTTTGCTTGCACTAGTCAACAACTCTGTAAGAGCCTTATTGAAATATTTCTCCCTCTCTGTGGTCTGATTGAAAATATAGAATGCATTCGTTCTTCTCGCTCATGCAACCTGGTGGACAGGTGCTATTTTCGTGTGAGTACAGCACAACAGAGAACCCGAGGAGAGTCACTAATTACATCTCTAGGCCTCTCAATACATCAGCGACGCGTGATGATATTTCGCATGTTCTGAAGCTTGTCCAGCCAACGCATGTTGCCACTATTGAAGAGAAGCTTAGCGTAGTCCAGGATGCCTTGGCCTCTCAGTCAATGACGAACACCAAAATTTTGACTGTCAACTTCAAGGAAGGGAATCTTCCGCAGGTCTGTAGCTCTCTTCCTTTCGATTCTTTTACTGGAGAGCTAATAATTGCCTAGTTCCCAAACGATATTATCGGCAAAAGAGCTACAGAGACCATCTCACCCCATGGCCTTCAGGGTAAAAACGGCAAGGACGTGGTCAGCACCATTTGCTTCTCCTCTGGAACAACTGGAAAGATGAAGGGTGTCCAGCTTTCTCACTACAACCTTGTCATGAACAGCATCACAATGCGTGCCTCCATGCCGATTAGGGTTAACTCGGCTGTACGTGAAGTTTTCTTCGCTCCTTGTAAGGCTTTCTTCTCCCGAAATATTGTTCAAATAACCCCATTGACAACCGTCTAATTTTAGATTGCCATATATACGGCCTGAGTCTGGTCGTACTGGCTGGTATGTGGGTTGGAGCTCAATATTGCGGTCTCCCGGGTTTCGACTTGGAAACTTTTTGTCGCAAGTCGAGCGAGCTGGAAGTTACAGACCTCCACATTGTGCCTCCTGTGGCTCTTCTTCTTGCCACATCACCCGTTGCTCAGAAGTATGACTTGTCTTCCTTGAAGAGAATTGTTATTTCTGCCGCCCCGTTGAAGGTATGCTTGTCAATCGCTTATCCTTGACCATGCATGTGACATGATGCTCATTGTATTTGAATTCCAGAAATCCGTCCAGCTTCTGCTCAAGAAAGTACTTCCCCATACTAGCATCTGTCAAGGTTTGTACCGCCACCTCGATGCTCAATTTGCTTTGCTAATATCGACCTAAAGGGTATGGTCTCACCGAATGTTCGGGGGCATTATCCATCAGATAGATGAAGACGAGAGAGCTTTTGGCTGTGTTGGGAAGCTGTTTGCGGGAGTGTACGTTGCCTGTTTTCATGCCTGCCATATATTCTCATTGCTAATTTTGTTATAGGGAAGCTCGTCTTGTCGACCCGAAAACAAACAAGGACGTCCCTATCGGTGAAGAAGGTGAACTTTGGGTCCGCGGCCCCGTGGTTATGATGTACAGACTCGCCTTACCTATCGAAATTCCCCGTCCGTCATAAAGCTTGCTAACCAGATTTCCAGGGGCTATGTCAGTGATCGCGAAGCAACAAGCCAAACCTTCTCGGAAGGGTGGATTAGAACAGGAGACATCTTGAAGATAGACGAAAACCAGAATTTCTGGGTTACCGATCGTCTCAAGGAGGTATGACTACCTTCCCCAATCGCACTATTCAAATTCTATTCTTCATTTAACTAACGACTGGGATTCAGATGATCAAGTACAAGGGGTGGGTTGAATCTCTCTCTCTCTCTCTCTCTCTCTCTCTCTCTCTCTCTCTCTCTCTCTCTCTCTCTCTCTACTTTTCTACCAACTAACCACTCTGACAATTGTAACTTTAGATTCCAAATAGCCCCCTCCGAACTCGAAGATATGCTCCTGCGTCATCCAGATGTGATCGACGCTGCAGTTTGTGCAGTCTACGACGATTCCCAGGCCACCGAAGTTCCCCTTGCTTATGTTAGCCTTTCACCTGCAACGGTTGGGTTGCTGGGTTCTGAGAAGCAGAAGGCACTCGATGCAATCAGGATCTGGATGGACAGCCAGCTAGCGGGTTACAAGAAGCTCAGGGGAGGTGTTCACCATTTGCAGGAACTGCCTAAGACTCCGACTGGTAAGATTCTCAGACGGCTTTTACCTGCGAAGTTGAACGAGCAGAGAGAAGCGAAGCTTTAGGTGCCTTTTTAAAGGTGAAATGCACTCGTGGAGAACAACGATAATCAAGTTCTAAGGGGCTTTGCTGACTCGGAGATGCAAAGGTGGTGACTCTTGAGTCTTCCTAATTGATGACAGCCAATTTGAGATCCTAGTAAACAAAATGTACTAAATTATATGAAGATGATCGTTGATTGCGCTTCGAGATTAGAAACTATAGGAGACTTCAAGTTTTCGTAAAGGGGAACTTAGACACACCGGAAATACTAGTAATATCTCCGAATGTTCACCCACTTGGATGTTGAATAAAAACCGCCCACAAAGGGTCTTTTCGCGTCACTGTGAACTACTTGCGTGGTTAAAGATAAAAAAAACATCACATTGAAAGATACTATGCGAACGAGCTTTTGTATCGAAGCCATCCAAACTCGAGGATGGTCTGTGCAAAATATGACATATGATCAAAGAACTGAAGTATGCGCCTTCCAGGCGCCAAAGGGATATGCAGTAAACACACAATGCGCCAATATCCAAGACCTCGAGTACCCATAGATAATATCCCACCGAAATCAAACAAGAGGTCCATAAAGCTTCTCCATTATGACATATCAGTCAGTACATTCTTGAGTGCGTCCAGCAAACACGTAAAAATCAAGGTAACAACAGGTGTGACCTTTGATAAGAATAATCATCGACATGAGAAGATAGGGAAGGTTTTCCGATCGTGGATGTTGATGTGAAACTCGAAAATCCCTTCCAGTGTCGCGATGTACCTAGGATAGAGTTAGATTGATACAGCATTTATCTCAGAATCTAAGTACTCACAGTGACCTTCCATCAGCGCCCCAGCCAACTCCGGCCGTGGCATCCGGCTCTTCGGCACCGGGGCCATGAATTAAGCTTCGCTCGGGTAGTTCACTGATAACATTCCTGACCCACGCAGAATTCGCTTGCTCAAGGCCAGCTATTTGGCGGTGCAGATGCTCCCTTTCTAACGAGCGCACATTGTCTCGGTCAGAAGAACGCTCGTGTACAGCATTGGCCATACGGCGCTGACGTCGAAGACGCTCCGCTGCAACATTGGCTCTGATCTCATACGTAGAGACTCGAGCAGGATCGAATCTTCGTTCCCGTGCTAAGAATTCAATGTGCGATAGTCGATCGGGCCGCCGCGGAATAGAGCTCGATCGCTGGGGCCGTCGACGAGGTGTTTCGGGAGTGTATTCGAATTCAAGGCTGGGCCCGGAGTCATCAGTCGGTCGCGGTGGGAGATCAAAAAAATCACGGGAGTGGAAATCGTCGGAGAGAACGTCCGGATCAGAGCTTAGACGGTGCATGACATCCGCTTGAATTGCTGTCAGCTCGGCGGAACGTGATGCAGTCCATCGTAGCGAGTTTGACTGTCGATCTTGGCTAGAAGACCCAACTTCTGGGGATCTGCTGCCTTGTGAGAGTATTACTGAGCTCTGGCGTCTAGGCTGAAACGAGGAGCGGTCACTCCCTGCCCGGTCCAGGTGGCTATCCAGAGAACTGTCAGCAGTTTCGTATGAATGTCGAGGCGAAGTAGGACGGGATGTGCGGGTGGCCCCATCTGTGGAACCGTGATGGCGCGTACGAGCCGTTGCTTGAGGGTGCAAGCCAGCTCTCGATGGTCGTTCTGGCCGGTCTGGCCGGTCTGGCCGCTCAGTGAAACTCTCTTCTGCCCTCGCTGTCCATCGAGCAGCATTGAGGAAATCCAAAATGAGTCTCTCGCGATCCCCGAGATCTTGGATTAGGGAATCGCGAAGTCCATTTCCATCTCCGGTACGTTCATTCAACGATTCGTCGGCGTCTGTTCCCACTTGAGGTTCGATTTCCAAGTCATCATCATCTGAAAGGCTCCCTTCAGGGTCGTTGACGATCAATCTTTCCGTGTGAACCTTCTGGAGCAAGGGCTCATTGGTATCCAAATACAAAGTTTGTCTGCGCAGGAATGCTTGGCGAACATCTGCCACTCCAGCTCGGCCATGACCTTCCAGCCAAACCAATAGGTCCCAGGGTTCAGGCGAGAAAGTCATACAGCGCACAGCACCCCCCTTCAGAACACGTTCGAGAAGCCGGGAAGTGGCAAATGACTGCTGTCTCGCTGTCTGAGTGGCGAACGAGGTTGACATCCAGGACGGTGATAATCCCGGACTGAGATCCGATGGCACACAGATGACTAGACGGAGAAAAAGCTACCGTGAAGCAGCATGCATCATCCACTCTGGACCCTATATCCATATCAACACATCGAATTAGCTCCCATCCCCAGGTCATGATCTTCTCGGTTTCTTTGTCTTTGGAGGATGATAGCTCCCAATCACGGGTGATGGTATAAAAGTAGGCTCGGTTCTCATCTCCGACAGCAGCAAGCAAGCTATGATCTGGCGACACGATTGCATAATTCATGCAAAACGGATGGTGAAAGACTTTGACGACCAGAGCATGGGTGAGCGAATAGACAGTGACGGTACGGTCGTTATTGCTAACCACGAGGATCAGTCATGCAGATGCAAAGGGGCGGAGATCTATCAACCAGATGGTTACCTTATTATCAACACATCCTCAGGCGCGGCATCTTCCTCTGTTCCTGGGAACTGATGAATAGTCACCGAATTCACAATACTCCCTCCGAATTTATGACGTTCAAACTCTGGCCACGACTGTCTTGTGATATGCCGAGTCGATGATGGGCCATCGGTCGGATTCTCCAATGTCGACAACCGCGAGGCTGGGTCAATGTCAACCGGTAGAGCACTATCCACATCCGATGGTAAGTGTGAGGGTATTCCCTCGTGGGCTTGTAGGCCCCTGTCACCAAGTTTGAGAAACGCGCATTCTCCATTCTCGGGGCCCCCCCACAGCGATCCACCCAAAGCCGGCCGCTAAGCATCGCGGCTCAAATGGAATGACAGCAATATCCTCCCTTTTCTGGGAAGCAATGTGAATCGCATACACTATTCTTTCGACGACGACATAGATGCGATCAGGATCGGCGGTACTGATATAGTGGCGGAGCTGTGTGTGGCTATCCGCTCAATGGTGTTAGCTATCAGCATGTCACCACGGGAGAGCGGGTATACCGACAAGTTGGGGATCTTGAAAGGAAAGAAGCGGCGTTTAGTGGGGAGGATGAGAGACTCTGTTGGGCGATGTCTAAGACAGTTAATCAGGTGTAAATACGACCGGTCGCTAAGAGCGGGGGATGTGCAAGAAGAGGAGAGGAGAGGGGTGGGAATGTGACAGTGGAGGACTCACGGGATCGAGTCCGATGTCATGGTGAGTAGCTAATCCGAGCACATTTCTACTCGGATGAGAAACCTTGAAGATCAGAGATGCAGCACGAACCAGCCCAAACTGATCTTTGAGAGTGCGTTGTTCACGAGAGCTGAGGTCGCATGCGCTTTCAAACGGATGACGTAAGACTTGGAGCTGTGAGCCGGGGGAGAACCAAAGCCACGAATGCGGTGGTTTGCGCCGCAAGCGACAGTGGCGATACTCTTGTGTGTGCTCCAGGACTACTTAGTACTCCAGGTATTGCAGGGGTTTTGTATTCGATGAACAGTTGAGGTTATACCCGAGAGTAGTGGAAGTAGTTCAAGATTTATGGTTGGGGAAAGTGAGTGCCCCAAGGTCCAATTGACCTTCCCACGGAAGAGAATATATATTAGTAGAACTACCTAGGTAGCAGTGGACTACTACTACTACTATTAGTAGTACTAGTATGTTTCTACTAGTACATGCACAGGTGTTTACTAGAGGCTACCTAGCCCTGGAGGTCTACATCCAGTTGGAGTCCAATTCATACTGCAGCCATCGATATGCCAACCAAAGCCTTCGTCCTCTTCGCAATGGAGTCGAGGCACCGACGACCTTAGGGTCATACGACAGCCAGCCGGACCCTCCTGGTTCCCCAGTGTTGGGTTCCCCAAGTTCCAAGAAATGTTGTAGATACCGTGAGCCAGATTGCTGGGAGAGAAAATCGACAACGAGGCCGAAGTCGCGTTGTTCGGGGAGGTCTGCCGGTTGGCCGAGGTTATTGCCGTGGGAGCAGGGTGTCCCAGAGATTCAATAACCGCAATCAAACAGCAGAAACAGGAATGGGATATAGAGAATAACCACAGAATGATCCAATGACCAATAGAACTGTGTATACTCAATACTCACATTCCCTTCACTCATCTCACTGAAAATGCGAATCGGAGGCAAGCCCGGGTAGAGCTGGAGCTCCAACTGCTCCAACTGCATCATCGGGCGGTGAAGCCGGGAGTAGCCGTCACGCTGATTGGCCAGTCCCGTGATTCCACGCAGTTCGACAAGTTGCCGGTTCTCCGTCCAGTTTTTTCTCCCTTCTTCCTCTCTACATCTATCATCTCTCCATCTCTCCATCTCTCCATCTCTCCCCCATTCCCTCTTCTCCTTCCATCCACTCTACGATTGACTCGTCGAGTGTCTTCCCCTTTCTTATTTTCTGTATTACTTAATTCCTTACACAATGCTTGCTTCTCGCATTTCTCGCGCGGTAAGTTCCCTTTCCCGACGGGCGAGGAAAACCTTGCAACAAGGTCACGCGTCGCAAAACAGTCCCATCTAACTTCAGTCGCAATAGCTCCCCCGCGCTGCTTTCACTCGCGCCCCTTCCTCCAGAATCCCCAGCACTGCTTTCCGCCGATGGAACTCCACGGAAGGTGGCGAGGAGAAGGTGAAGGGCCAGGTCATCGGTATTGATCTGGGTAAGTCACACGATCCAAAGCCAAGCGCCATTCCCGGTGCAATTCGTGCAGCTATCTAACATGGATTAATACAGGTACCACCAACTCCGCCGTTGCTGTCATGGAGGGCAAGGCCCCCAAGATCATTGAGAACTCCGAGGGTATGTGAAGATTTTTTCTCTCTTTCTTGTCGATCAACCAGAGTCATCAGCTTTCATCTCTGGTCACCCCGGCCATCCGACCTGCAAAACGCGTTTTTGATAGTTCAATTGCTGACTGAATACCTCCACAGGTGCCCGTACTACTCCTTCCGTCGTCGGTATCGCCGAGGATGGTGAGCGTCTCGTTGGTGTTGCCGCCAAGCGTCAGGCTGTCGTTAACCCCGAGAACACTCTCTTCGCTACCAAGCGTCTCATCGGTCGCAAGTTCACCGATATTGAGGTCCAGCGTGACATCAAGGAGGTTCCCTACAAGATCGTCCAGCACACCAACGGCGACGCCTGGGTTGAGGCTCGTGGCCAGAAGTACTCTCCCTCGCAGATCGGTGGTTTCGTCCTGAACAAGATGAAGGAGACTGCCGAGGCCTACCTCAACAGGCCCGTTAAGAACGCTGTTGTTACTGTCCCCGCCTACTTCAACGACTCTCAGCGTCAGGCCACCAAGGATGCCGGTCAGATCGCTGGTCTGAACGTTCTCCGTGTCGTTAACGAGCCTACCGCTGCTGCCCTTGCCTACGGTATGGAGAAGGAGACTGACCGTGTTGTCGCTGTCTACGATCTGGGTGGTGGTACTTTCGATATCTCCTGCCTGGAGATCCAGAAGGGTGTCTTCGAGGTCAAGTCCACCAACGGTGACACTCACCTGGGTGGTGAGGACTTCGATATTACTCTGGTCCGCAACATTGTTGAGAACTTCAAGAAGAAGTCCGGTGTTGACCTGTCCGGTGACCGTATGGCCATCCAGCGTATTCGTGAGGCCGCCGAGAAGGCCAAGATTGAGCTGTCCTCCTCTCTCCAGACTGAGATCAGCCTTCCTTTCATCACCGCCTCTGCCTCCGGTGCTCTCCACATCCAGGAGAAGATGACCCGTGCTCAGCTCGAGGCCCTGGTTGACCCTCTCATCAGCCGTACCACCGAGCCCGTCCGCAAGGCTCTGAAGGATGCCAACCTTAAGTCCAGCGACATCCAGGACATCATCCTGGTCGGTGGTATGACCCGTATGCCTAAGGTTACCGAGTCCGTCAAGTCCATGTTCGGCCGGGAGCCCTCCAAGTCCGTCAACCCCGACGAGGCTGTTGCCATCGGTGCCGCTGTCCAGGGTGCTGTCCTGGCTGGTGAGGTCACTGACGTCCTGCTGCTCGATGTTACCCCCCCTGTCCCTCGGTATCGAGACCCTGGGTGGTGTCTTCACCCGTCTGATCAACCGCAACACCACCATCCCCACCAAGAAGTCCCAGACCTTCTCCACTGCCGCTGATATGCAGACCGCTGTCGAGATCAAGGTCTTCCAGGGTGAGCGTGAGCTTGTTAAGGACAACAAGATGCTCGGAAACTTCCAGCTTGTTGGCCTCCCCCCTGCTTCCCGTGGTGTTCCCCAGATCGAGGTTACCTTCGACATTGACGCCGACTCCATTGTCCACGTCCACGCCAAGGACAAGTCTACCAACAAGGACCAGTCTATCACCATTGCCTCCGGCTCCGGTCTGTCCGATGCCGAGATCCAGAACATGGTTGATGAGGCCGAGAAGTACGGCGAGTCTGATAAGGAGCGCAAGCTCGCTATCGAGGCTGCCAACCGCGCCGACAGTGTCCTGAACGACACCGAGAAGGCCCTCAAGGACTTCGAGGACAAGCTCGACAAGGCCGAGGCCGAGACCATCAAGGAGAAGATCGCCACTCTCCGCGAGTTCGTTGTCAAGAACCAGTCTGGCGAGGGCACTGCCACCGCCGAGGAGCTGAAGGAGAAGACCGATGAGCTCCAGACTGCTTCCCTGACTCTGTTCGACAAGATGCACAAGGCCAACAACGAGCAGCAGCAGCAGCAGCAGGGCGAGCAGCAGGGCGAGAACAAGCAGTAAATGCTGCTTCACGTTCTCTCCTGTTGTAACCCCGGCCACTGAATAAGTGGCTCATGTATTTTTTTTGAACCCCCCCCATTTCCTTGTGTTTTCCATTTCCTTTGTGTTTGGGGACTCCCCTGGCTGTTTCGCATCCCCCTTTTTCGCATTAACTGTACACATATCTCAATGCCCTTTATCCCCCTTTCTTGTTCTGGTGTATCGGTGTTTTATTACCAACCTGTATGATCTATTTTTTCTCTCTTACTTCTTCTTTTGCCCATGTACCCCTCTGGCGACCTGCGAGTCCGACCAGAGAGTGTATGCCGGGATTGTCTACCATTGTATCTAATGACATTACGGCAAGGGGGCCACCAAAAAAGGATGCGGGCTTTTGGCTATCTGGTGCATGTGACAATAGAAATCGGACAATTCTCCTCTCATTTGGAAACAAACATTTTTCTTCAAACCTTGAATTGTAAACTTTGAAAGTTGTCGGACCGTTATTGCGTCAGCCGGCATTAAATGTGGACTTTTGAGATCGCTGGGAGCACAGGGCGTTTACGATTACTTGATCCGTAAAGCAGCTCTCCCAGTCGGAATCGAGATGAACAAGAAGCCACCGTGGTGGCTGCACTAACCAAAAACCTGAAGTGAAGCAGATGGCAAATGATAAGCTGTCGCGGCTGTGTGCTGCTCAGACCCGGCCGCATCCTGCACGCCCCGTCTTGGATGTGCAATTGTAACTGTACATCAGTCATGTGTACGAAGTTAGTAACCTCTGCAAGTGTTGGGGCAGAGGGATCTAACCACTACAACTCCGTGCTCCTTCAATCAATCTATCGCACTCGGTCCCTGCCCCCGTAGCGGAAACGCCCTCAATCACGAAGTTTAATATCGCCAAGGCCTAGTACTAGAAATGATAGGTCGGATTGTCCTATTTCTGACACACGGAACCAGCGGCTCCAGAGAGTCCAGCCGCTCGATAATCCAATCTATTTCAAGCTGAGGCCCGGACAAGGTTGCGCGCGCACTGCAAGGTGAACTAGCTTGGCCTACTAGTCCGATGGACCAATCGCCTCTAGAGCCTCTATTCCTTGCATGAAGCGGCTGCGGGTCTCGACGAGTACTCGTACTACTCGTACATTATTCATTCAACCAATTTGAGACGGCAAAACGGAGAATTGCGATGGGTGTTATCCTCGGTGGATATCCGACTGTTTCAATCGGGTTTGTACAGTACAAATCCGCTATGCAATCGGGGTACATATTCGGAGATCATTTTTCAATGGTATACTTATGTAGTTCTTCTTTTACTATGGTCTCCAAGATACCATCCAAAGATGACCAATACATTGCTCGAGCTTTATCGATCAACAACACTTGTGTTTAGATATGGCCTGTGCCGAGAGCACATCATAAGTCCCTCCTTAGTCGAAGACACTAGTACATACTGCCTATGGAGTACACTAAAGGGTTACTAATGTAAGATTGTTCACCAGGGGGGGGGTGCGGAAGCGCAGACCGGACCTGCTCTTGGGCCAATCTGGACTCGAGCCGCCAGTGACAGAGCGAAGCAGTCCTGCAGACCCTCCTGCAACGGCGCGCTGGACGAGCAAATCATCGTTGTACACACCAGTTGGGCTTCAAAGTGGGTCTTTGCAATAATGATGTTTGTGAATTACGAGGCCCAAGATACTGGCTTTGGTGGGGAGGAGAGAGGGGGAGCAAGAGGAGAAGCCCCTCTACGAAAAGAAATAGGAGATGATAATTGAAATATTTTGATTTCTTTCCCTCTCACCTTCCAACTTGAAAAGAACCTCGAGATGTCATGTAGACCCATTTCCAAGGTAGGGGGAGTATACGGAGTACAATATCTTGATTTCAAGAAGAAAGGAAGTGGACAGAAATTTCTCACAGGACACACCCTGCGATCATTCGTCGATCACTTTGAGACTTGTGAGACCGTCTGCCTTAGCGCGCCCCTAGTGCAGTGTTGGATTATTTCCCATCGTCTCCACTCGGAAGAAAAAAAAAATCAAACTTTCACCACCCCCAAATGATTTACCCAAATTTCTTCCTACTCCATACGAACTAAGCCCTGGCGTCTGCTCCAGTTGCTTGCTTACTCGAGGTCATTTGACCAGGGCTCCATAATTATCAGGATCCCTGAGCTTGAGAAAGACGGGGCCAGAGTGATTTCTTTCCTTTTACAGCCTGGCAGGGCGGAGCCACTTGGCACGCTTGGAGCAAACCAATTTCCCAACTCCGTATAATATTTCTAATTGTCATGGTCAATTCGGTCACAAGTCAAGGTGGAAGGATTTCAGAATGGGGTTTGTTTTTTTTCTCTTCCATTTTCGTTCTTGAATATTTTCAATTTCCATGGATTCCCGAAAGTGGACACCTTTCTCCAGCCAGACTTTGCTACTCCCCGGTCCAATTATTGTGATTCTTTGGGTCAGGAACCCGTTCTTGTTAAAAGGGGGCAGACTGAGAGAGCATTGTAGCAAGGGCCGTTACTTTTTTTGACTTTGGCTCAGACACAATCAATAGCCCAATGCCACCCATGCAATAATGTACTAAATAAGGTAGGGACCAATGTATGTATGTATGTCTAAAGTACTCAGTACTTCGGTTCCATCCTCCTTACTAGTACCTTTTCCTACGATTGTAGCCGAAAGAGTCTGCCCTGGCAAGGTGGTGCCGATGTACTCCGTACTTACTCCGTGCACTAGACAAATCGTGTAACTCTTCCAAGGCTGGAAGACACGATCATTCTGCAGCTCCACTTGTGGGGGACAAGGTCAGCGATTCCAGTAGCTTCGACTGGGGCACTTTTTTTTTCTCCATTTCCCCCTGCGTTACCTAATGATCTCCCGCCATGGACATTCATATCTTGGCGAATGACGGTAGATCTGTGGGTTTCCATTGGCAGTTGAGACCGGAACTACCTAACAGGAAGCTCATTGCTGTGCGGCCAGTCAGCCTCAAGGTCAATTTACAGTACGGAGTACTGTTGTATGGTTTCAACTGGAGCTGTAGCTTCCCCCAGAAAGGTAATTTTTCGAGGGATCAGTGGTTCTTGATTTTGGTTCCAAGGGGAGAGCTCCGCGATTGTGTCATTGTCTTCAAAGGGTCTAGAAGAGAATCTCATTTTAACGTTTTCCTAGAGCGGAAAAATAAATATACGATTTAGAAGATATTGGTTTATTCTACGGATATACTCGCTAGACGATTCTCAATAATTTCACGGTGTCAATGATTGACTGATTTTATCCTGCGGTGTGCCTATGTTTGTCAAGTAAAAACAGTAGTCAGACATGGCGATTTGAGACTCGTCACTTTGACCCAAGCCCGGTTGACCTATGAGCTTCTGACCCCCCCCTGATGTGGGTGGCATCCTGATCTGTCTATGTACAGACACTAAGTGTCCACCTCTCTCCTGAAGGCTTGACCTATGTTGGGTGTGTTCCCTGGTACATGAAGTACACCCACTGGTGTACCTGAGTCCGGTGGAGACAAAGGTCTTCCTGGTTGGCTCTCAGATAAAGCGGGTAAATGAGCTGAGCGACCGAAAATCAAATCAAATCAAAGAGTATGATTCCAATCAAAGTGCTTGACTAATACGTAGGAATAATTAATGGCGAATTCCCATCAACAAAAATGTTCCATGCTCCGTATGAGGAGTAGAGTATTTAGCGGAAAAGCCACTAGCCGCCAAAGTAGACTAGGGATTTGCGTGGTTCAATCTCCAGGAAATGAGTGTGATTGTTGTGATTTGATTACATCGGGCCACTAGCGCTGAGCCAATCCATGGAATGAAGCGGCCACTCGTCCACTGACCGCATTCCCCTCCCCAAACTGGTTTTGCTTCATACTAATGGCACTAGGGGGGGGTCAGAAAGTATGATGATACGTCCTGGCTAGACCCTCCCCTCCCTTCTCCCCTCCGCCAATCCCAATGATGAACAAGTGATCTAATTAAGATCAAAATACCGAGTAGTACTCTGTACATAATGTACCATGCCAGGATGTACCAGATACAGGACCCTCGTCTTAGTGAAGAGCGGATCCCCTTTACTCGGCCGTTGAGGGAAATTTCGAGATAATGGGGGTGCAGCCCAAGGGTCGCGCTAGTGGATATTGTCATTTCTTATTTGAATTTATTTTATTGGAATTTCGATTTTACTATTATTATAATCGATGGGGTTTGATGGAGACGTCTGGATGTCAATCCTTTCCCAACCGTCGGCCCATAGATCGGTGAATGGGTCTCTTCCACTCGATTCTTGTCTCATTTGCACCCACCCTAGTCCTACTTTTTTTTGCTTTGGGCTTTTTTTGGGCTTTTCTTTTTACTCTTTTCGTCTACCCTTCCTTTCTTCCTATTCCTTCTTACATCGTACATTGCTCATCTAGTGCTCTCTCCTTGTTACGGTCTTCTTTGGGCCTGAAGAGGAATCCTTGAATCGAGTGACAGAGACAGAGAACGAGTCCCTGTCCCTGTCCTTGCCCTTGTTCTTGTCCTTGTTCTTACTTAATTAATAATAATCACCATGGCGGCCGCACCCCCGGTGCCTCACTCTGTGCCCGACGGTGTCAATGGCGGCCACTTGCGCTATCATCCCATCGCCATGAATCCTAATCCGCCTCATCCACAAATGCCACCTCCAGATCAGATGGTACAAAATCACCACTTCCGTTATTTCCGTCCACCACAGGCGATGCACGATGGGCATGGTCCTCAAGGTCCGCCGGGACCCCCACCAGTACCACAACACAACCCTACTTCTCTGGAACAGATTGAAAATCGTCTGCGCCAGTTGGAACATGAGGAAATGAATCGGATGGCGACACGCAGCCATATTCTCGCAGCTCGCAAACGGGAGGATGAAGAATTTCGCAGGTTGACTGAAGGTGCCGAGGTCGAGGAGGAGGTAAGTTACGAACTACATCCTTGCATCACCCGATATTCGCATATTTTCTTTCCTCCATAAATTACCTAGATACTGACGAAAGAATCAGGATCTTCGAAGAGAAAGAAAGAGGATCAAGAGAGAATCGATGGGATTAGGGCCTAATGCAGCCGGTGAATCGCCGCCATTGCGTCCGACACCACCACGCCGTCTCTCCGAGACCAGCGCGGCCACGACTTTGGCCTTTTTCAAGCAGCAAAGTCCCCCCCGAGCCTCGCCAGGTCCCTCTCCCTCCATCTGCATCGCAGACGCCAGTTCCTCCTCCTAATATGCCCCCTCCTCACATGCATCAACCCCATCCTCATCCTCATCATACTCCTCCCCATCATCATGCTCATCCTCACCACGCCCCCCCTCCTCCTCCTCCTCCTCCGCCATCCCACCAACATCAACATCAACATCAACAGCACCTTCAACACCCACAACCTGTGGTTCCTCAAGATGCTCTCAACGGCGCTGGATCCATCCGCCGCAAGCAAAAATACACCATCAAGAACGTCGAAGCATGGGGCGAGCGTCACGGTCGACCCGCCGCACACGATCCCTCCGGCCGTGCCCTGTGGAAACGGCCATCTGACGGCAGTTTAGTCTATCTAACGTGCCCAATTGATGGATGTGGGAAGAGTGACTTCGTTACACTCCACGGCTTCATGTGCCACTTGACGAAGAAACATAAAGACCGTACTCTGGGCAGCCAGTCGCGAGCCCTAGAACTCTGCGGCATCGTCTACGATCCCAACGCGCCTCTCCCACCAGTGACAGCCTCGAACCGAGGCTCAATGGAGGATAGTCCTGCTGCCATGGATCGTGATATGGACCCCGAGGATGCGGATCTGGAATCCGAGTCTGAGATGGACGAATCTCACGATGAGTATCGTGTTAAGACGGAAGCCACAGATCACTCCATGCGCGACTCGGAGGACACATCTGCCCGTGAAGAACCTTCTCCACTTCCTAAACACATGCTCAATGGCTCAACAAAGCAATCTATTCATTCGATCATCGACCGCACTCCTGAAATCGAACCCCGTGAGGCGCTCACTTCCCTGCCTCCCTCCGAGCCGATCTCACAAGGCCCTACGCCTCTTCCTGAATCGACTGTCCCTGCGAAGCGCAAATACGAGCTGTCCCCGCCTGCATCGGAGAAGGAAAACACCGAGCCCAAGGAAGGATCAACAGTCGAGTAAAGGGAAAAGAAAATCTCGCTTTCATTTAATCCAGTCGCACAATTGTCTTCTCCGAAGACGTCCCACCACAAAAGAATATTTCCCGGGATTTGAGTGTCGACTTTTTGTCTGATATGAAAACCACTTCTTGCATCTGTCATTTACTTTTCATTTTCATTACTTAGCATTGTGTGGATTTTTGTCTTGTCGGCCTAGACGTCATCTTCCCTTTTTTCCTCTCTTCCTTTTCTGTCTACTTTTATAATTATTGGTTTTCATTTTCCTTTTCATATCAATACCCTTGTTTTGCTCAGTCTGGGTGGATCGCTTTATGCCGGCTGTCGTTTGAGTGTGATGTTTTATTCTTACCGCGTCTCTGCTAGATAGGATGTCTCTCACCCTTTCCATACTTAATTGCATGCTGGGCGTATTATTAATGATACGCAAGGTTGATGGTATCAATTGAGAATACGTGTTCCAGAAAATCTCTTCTACATCTTCCTATATCTCCTATGGCATAGTAAATGTAATGAGCATGTTGGTACTGAGGCACTCAAGATAAATTTGTCTGTGCAACATGATTTAATTAGTGCCTGCAAAGTTATTGAGATGCAATAGTTAATCTACACATGATGAGATCTTTCCAGTCCTTGTGGTGTGGAGCTCCTGCTTTAAGTATCATATGAATGAGCTTATACGCAACAGTTATTATGTGCCCATAATGCTTGAAAAATGGGGATTCGATTCCATTCAAGTAAAAACCGTACTATTCATGCCATCGTATGGTTCCAATCTTCTACAAGCATGTCTGGCTTTTATCAAGTTCTAGGAAACATCTGTTCATGAGCTCAAGTGCCCAGGTGACTCTAAGTGGAATGTTATTGGATGAATCATTTAATAGAAGGTTACGTTGTTTAAGTGACAACTTCTCATGGGCCTCGAGTCAACTGGAATGGATACACGGCCTCCGTGCGAGCAACGATGAAGGTATAGGAATCGTTAGGACCGACAACCAGAATATCTTCAAAGAAGACAAGAGTACTAGCTTGTACTTTGGTCATTCGGGAATCTGGCACTGCTGCCTGCTACTACTTGATAGGAAACTCGCTACGAGTATCAGTCCCGCAGCTACGGAGGAAGTCCTCAAGCCGCGTTTGTGTATAGAGTTTTCTTATTATTTCTACCTCATATACATTTATGTTCGTATTTACGCTAAAGCTTTAATGCTTCTATCGTGCCAATAAGAGATGCACAAGATACCCAGATCCATTTTTCAGGCCTTCGACAAGAACGTCATCACTCAGCCTCCACACGCGGAACTCTCGTAGTGTTTCCCGTAACCAGGCTTCAAAGACGTCCGGTGCGCGCTGTTGCTGTGCCACAATACAGATAGTCGGCTGACGAGTGGATGGTGATGGGGATTCACTCTCGTCAGAGGGTTCATAGGCAGGCCGTAACCGGCAGATCTCTGCACAGGTGCGCACGAACGGCGTGACGAGGGCGTCGTTATAGATACAATCGCATGACAGGATCAAGTCGAAGCCATTGTCCTCTTCAGTATCAGTTTCTGCTTCATGACCACCGGAATCGGTGCCAATACATCCCTTTAGCAATTCGGGTTGATCGAGCTCCCAGTCCAGAGTGGTGAAGGTCACATTGCGGGGTTCATTGTTGGCAGAGGAAGACTGCTTCTTGGCGGGCTTAGCGCCGCGTGACTTGGTGGCTTTTTGCTTTGTAGATAAGGTGGTGCTATTCACGGAGGCATTTTCTTCCAAATTGGTACGAAATAACCGGCGGACATACTCTTGGTCTGTGGCAAGGTAGTGATTCACGGAGGGAGCCAGGGCCAAGGCGACGAGGGCCGAGATGCCGCAGCCGAGCTCTGCGACGACGGAGTCCGAGGAGAGGAAGGAATGGGTCCAGAGAGGGTTGGAAGCGGAGGAAATCCAGTCGGCGAAGAAAGGGGTGATTTTCCAAAGGACTGGTTAGGGGAAAACGGTGATGGGTTAGTTATTACTCGAACGGGATAGGGGTGGTGTCTAGCGAGACAAATGTCGGATGCAAGATGCAGCAGAATGTTTAAGATTCACAGGCACCCGCACCTGCCCGCGCAGGGTCCAACGTGAAAAGACCGAAGCCGAGGCTCACAAGTGCAACCTAGACCGCGTTCCCAAGGTTGCCCTAGACACCTTCGGAAGATAAGACGAACTGCGGGGTGGAGTGCAATTTGGACAAAGGAAGTCCGTGCATGAGACCCGGGGGGGGGATGTTTGGGGGAATGCAGATCCTGAACCTACCAGCTCCTGTTGTACCTCCGGCGCGGGAGGAGGATAGCAGAGTTGGCGACTGATGAACCGTATATTCAGCGCCACGGATTGTCACGTCAACAGTGGGTGCGCGTGGCTCGAGAAAACCCAGGTTACCGGGGGGGGATATCTTGGCTGAAGAGGAGAAAGGCCTCTGGGCGTCAAGTCAGTTGATGGACGATGACAAGCTGACCGGCCTGATGAATTAAGAGCTTGCCTACCTTCCTCTGCGTCGGTCACCTCCTCGCCATTGGCGAGCAGCTCCTTGAGGCGGCTATTCATGATGGAAGGGTTCGGCGACGTCAAGTGGTACTTTTCTGATGTTACTGCGGGATCACGGGACCGCTTGTGAGCAATATAGCAATATAGCAAAATAGATAGCCTAGGTTAACTTGGAAGCAACTAATTTAGTTAGTTTAATTAGTTTAGCTCTTCACTCGGCTTCCTTTGGATATTCCTATTCTATTCCTATTTCTATTGCCATCCCTACACTGTATAAAATAGCCAGTATTCTGGATTGTACTTCCTTAAGAACCACAATTAGAATGCTTACTACCCACAATGTGTTGGGCGGGAAGCCCCAACAGAACAGCAAAAGGGAACTGATCTACCGCGGGTAAACACTAGCGGAGGCTTTGGCTCGGCTAGTAGTCTAGTGGCCTAGTAGGCTAGTACATACGAGCTACCTAAGGTAGTTCGGGGAGGTTGGAACTGAGACCTGCCTGGACCCATGAACCCGTGTATGCAACTAACAAAGACTGTTCATTTAAATTTTATTATTTCATAATTATTTTAATTAAAAAACAAGGACCAAAGGTGAAGTGGACTCTGGTGGGCCCTTGGATTCTATCCTATCCGAGGTGCGTCATCTGCCGGGGAGCCCAGCCACATCGCGAACGGACTTTGGGCCCTTCTCCTTGTACGAGTTATCCGTAGCTTCCTTTCTCTCTTTCCCCCCTCTCACTCCCACAGCTCTCCCTCTTTTCTTCTCTTTCCCATCCTCCGTTCAAAATTTGATCTTGCGCAATTCATCTGGTGAAAACGTATGTTCCATCCCGAGATGACAGAACTCTCCTCTCATTGTCCCAGCTTCCGGTGTTTTCCCGGTTGCCCCAGACTCCGCTAACGTCACTGCTTGGACCTAGCGGATTTTTCTCTGGTCTCTGAACTCGCGACCAGTCGATTCCCACTGTCATCCCCATCTTCCCCCCCGCGAGATCAACCGCCAAGATGTCGAAGCGCGACCTCCACATTCAGCCGCGCATGGTCAAGAAGGGCCCTTTCTCCGTCGAAGCCCCCGGTTATGAACCTGTCGAAGGAGAGACCATTCCTCGCCGCCACCCGGCAGCCAAGGATGCCCTCATCCTGCGCCCTTCCGAGGATGTTGCGACCACCTATGACAACTTTCGCCGCTCTGCCCGTCTGTTCGGTAACAACAAGGCCGTTGCTACTCGCAAGCTGATCAAGGTTCACGTCGAGAACAAGAAGATCAAGAAGGTGATCGATGGCGTGGAGCAAGAGGTTGACAAGAACTGGTCCTACTTTGAGAAGAGTGGCTACGTCTTCAAGTCTTTCCTTGAATACGAACAACTCTGCCTCCAGCTCGGCGCCGGTCTGCGCAACCTGGGCCTGGAGAAGGACGGTCGAATTCACCTCTACGGCGCGACGAGGTAAGCTTCAAAGTTCAGTTCCGACCACACATAAATGGACCCAATTAACTGACCGGGATTTGTTATTAGTGCACACTGGCTGGCCATGTCACACGGCGCTGCTTCCCAATCCATCACTATCGTCACTGCCTATGATACCCTCGGCGAAGAGGGCCTGAAGCACTCTCTGGTCCAAACTTCCAGCACTGCCATCTTCCTCGACCCAGGCTTGATCAAGCCCCTGTCCAACATCCTGAAGGATATCCCGTCCATCAAGCACATTATCTATAACACCGACGACGACGTCAAGCAGGAGGACCTGGACAAGCTGAAAAATGACTTCAGCCACATCAACGTGCTGAGCATTGAGGAGCTGCGCAAGCAGGGTGAAGAGAACCTGGTGGACCCCGTTCCTCCCAAGCCCGAGGACCTGTGCTGTATCATGTACACTTCCGGCTCGACCGGTCCGCCAAAGGGTGTTTCCTTGACCCAGGCCAACGTAATCGCTGCGAGTAAGTCAAACCGGGAACGACTAGACATTCCCTGTCATACGAGCGCATGCTAATGAATCTAATCTCTATAGCTGCCGGTGTCAACGAGATTGTCGGTCCTTATATCAATCACAACGACTCTCTCCTCACATACCTCCCGCAAGCTCACATCCTCGAGTTCATGTTTGAGAACCTCTGTTTGTTCTGGGGTGGATGCATGGGATACGGCAACCCTCGGACTCTCTCGGATGCCTCGATGCGGAACTGCAAGGGTGATATTCGCGAATTCAAGCCCACCATTCTGGTCGGTGTTCCCGCTGTGTGGGAGACCGTGAAGAAGGGCGTTCTGAACAACCTGAACAAGAACAGCTTCATCATCAAGGGTATGTTCTGGGGTGCCATGGCCGCCAAGAACTTCCTTCTCACTAACGGCTTCCCCGGTGCCACCTTCGGTAGCTCGCTTCTGGACGCAGTTGTCTTCAAGAAGCTGAAGGAGGCTACCGGTGGGCACCTTCGCATCATGATGAACGGTGGTGGTCCCATCTCTAAGGACACGCAACGATTCTTGTCCATGGCTATTGCTCCCATGATCAGTGGTTATGGTCTCACCGAGACCTCTGCTATGGGTGCCCTGAACGACCCCTTGGCTTGGAACCCCAACGCTCTTGGAGATATCCCTGCTTCCATTGAGGTTAAGTTGGTGGACTTCCCCGATGCCGGATACTTCACAAAGAATACCCCTGCTCAAGGTGAAATCTTCATTCGAGGTGGCAGTGTGACTTCTGGCTACTTTGACAACGACGAGGAGACTAAGGCTGCTCTGACCGAGGACGGTTGGTTCATGACTGGTGACATTGGAGAGTTCGACTCCAACGGCCACCTGAACATCATTGATCGCAAGAAGAACCTGGTCAAGACCTTGAACGGCGAGTACATTGCTCTTGAGAAGCTCGAGTCGGTCTACCGCTCATGCCCCGTTGTTCAAAATATCTGTGTCTACGCCGCTGAGGATCAGGACAAGCCTGTCGCCATTATCGTGCCCCTAGAGGCTGCCACTAAGAAGATTGCCAGTGAAAACGGTATCGCTGGGGACAACATTGAGGACCTCGTGCACAACGAGAAATTGCAACGCCTTGTTCTGCAACAGCTCCAGAGCTCCGGCCGTGCCGGTGGCCTGCGGGGTATCGAGATCATCGGTGGTGTTGTGTTGTCCGACGAGGAGTGGACTCCTCAGAACGGCTTCATGACTGCGGCCCAGAAGCTTCAGCGCAAGAAGATCGTTCACAAGTACCAGGCCCAGGTTGACAAGGCCTACGGCAAGAAATAAAAAGGAGGACGGCGCTTTGCTGAGTCTCGGTTCTGAATCACGTACTTTTTTCATTTATTTGTCTCTTTAAATTTCCTACCGTGTTACCCTCTTCCGCGTTTGCGTTTTCCTTGCGATATCGAGCTGTGTTGATATATGCTTTTTGGTGGATGGCTTGTGTTATCCTTTGCCTACGATGTAGACGAGATGAGTGATGAATGCGGACATTACATTGTGATGGGCTTGCTATCTCAACATAGGTATCTATGGTATTCATGAATGACAATTCTACTCATTAAAATTTCACCTCGCACGGAAGCTATTCAAATTCTGGTTGTAAGAATTCCCCAAGTATCATATAATCTATACTACTAAATACCCCTACCGACAAAAGTACCATTTCTACCACGTTACCGCAGCCACTGTTACACCCGCCCAAGCAAATGACCACAGGTAGGAACCTAGCAGAATTGACCCCCGTTCCTAAGGCAGCGAAAAGGTACAAACCCAGGTCCCATTTCCCGAACCGGTTAGTCCCGCATCCCCATACACGTGACCCGCATCGATGGAGATCCGATCAGAAAGCTGCCAACCTCCGTGCTGAATACAGCAAAGGAACAAGATATCAGACCCAATGTCTTTGTGGAGGTAAGTCATATGAAAAATATACATATGCATATTCATATGCAAACCGATACGCGAAATCGAACCGAATCTAATCTCATCAACTCATCTAGTACCTACCGATCTCTCACCCCCAAAACCCGGGCCTTGTTCGGCGTCGGCGTCATGGCTTGGGCTGCCATCGGATTATGGACATCCCCGCAGGTCGAAAGCGCGCTGGGCATGCAGGCTACGAAGGAGGAGCAGGAGGCATTGGATCGACAGATGGCCGTGCGAATCTCCCGGGCTGAAGGGGACGATAATAAGGGCAGCCAGTCTCGTTGAATTGTATAATTCGCGGCTCTCGGTTCTAGTTGGGCGCGAGGATAAGCTTCACGCTGTGAGGGTGAGGGTGCATACAAGGCGGTTTTCCTTCTCGGTTCGGGCCTCTGGATTCAGAAGGGGACGCTTTGCAGCTCGGTGTTCAAGGGCCCGCCTCGCCTCGCTTTTTGAAAGGCGTCTGAGCATTATCGGACCCTTTTGTTGACTGGTTTTCATATTCTTATCTGGACTGATTCAACCAGGCAAAAATATTATTCCGTCAAGCATGCTCGGACCATGTTGGAAAGGAAAAGAAGAAGAAACGGAAGAGAAGAAACCGCCTGTCCGTGTCAATGCTCGAAAGGCTCCCCTGCTTTCAACTTGCGCATATCTCCATCGGGAATCACGAGAGAATGAGAATACTTTCCGCGCTGAATTTGCGGTTGCGTCCTGCGCGTCGGAACAACACTGGTGTCCGTGAGAATAGATGGTGGCCCAGGCCAGATCGAGAGTTGTTACTGGACCCCGGAAGAGCAAGACCAATCACAAACTGATATATCTCCCGGACTTGATGGAGTTGAAATGGCAATACCGTTGCGGGCGACAGGTGCGCTTGAGATGATGGTCACGTTCACTTGTTTTTTTTATATTTTTTTTATCTTTGCTTGGGGGATGGGCTGAACTAATGCTGCGCCTCGGAGGATGTCTTAGTCGGATTTGGGTCTTGTGTCTTGCGCTCTCCCTGCTTATGGGGTTGTTGGGTAGGGTTGGGCCATGCTGTCGCCGATAATGGCCATATCATATGATCGACAGTATACATCAAGCTTAATTCGACGTTGGGTGATGAGCAGTACTTGCGTGTTGGGGACGATGTTCAAGTTCAAGTTCTTATTATCATTTCATTGAATTGATTTCTCTCTATATTATCGATTATATATGCTAGCTCCAGGGCTCAAAAGGTACATGATGGTAATTCTATAAGCCAATGCCACCAGACTAAGAGGCAGTGGCCTGCAACGAAATCATCGAAGTACAAGAAAGCCAATACTTCTGCGCGGTATTATCCCAACATTCAATACCCTCACGTGGACAAACAGGAATCTTTCTCCGCGGTGAGACAGTTCAAGCCCAAAAGCCGTTGACGTGAAACCGATGAGAGCCCAACCTTGCCCATTTCTACAGTCTAGCTAGCAGCCATCGGCCTCGCAAGAGAGAACAGACCGGGGCTTCGGACAGATTCAAATCTCGATCTGCATCGGCCGAGCCTGGTTTCTGTCAAACATAGCCAACCGGGTCGGGAAGTTGAAGTTGGGAGGCATGGGAAGAAATTGAAGACCTGCCTCGCATAGCGAAGCATAAGCCAGGCCGGAGTCTCGTTTGCTGAAAGGTATATTTGGAGCAGCGAAGGCAGGGAAAGCACATGCACAGGGAAAAATCCCGGTCTGGCATGAGCTGCTTGCTGGGTACTATCCCGAGATGACCAGCTGGATAGACCTTGTTGCACCGGAAGTACCAAGTTCAAGATACTTTCAATTAAAAGATATCTCGATTTTTTGGAACTTCAATCGGCTGATGTGTTGATCTCAGAGATGACCAGGAGCAAGGTGTACTGATTAACTGGAATAATCACCGATTTTGGCCCTTCAGATGCTCTGTCTATCTACATCTCGGAATCATTGCACGCAGCCCATCTGCTGTGCGACGGAAACATTCAGAAATCCTCCGCAACGGCCTCACGAGTGATAGCCGCTATTAGTAGCGGCAATGAATACCTCTTCCCAGGATCTTGAAACTGGAATATATCAAGACTCGGACTCTTTGGGATAGACCGCCATACGTTTTGGGAGAAAAAACCAAGACTCAAGCGGACATGTTTACTCTCGACATGTGCATGACGATGTTCAAGCTGGATTTGAATTCGCCTTTCGCCCGATGGCCCTTGTGTGACATGTAGGTGTAGATGGTTAGGGCATCGGCAATGGTGTTTCCCGACGACCGCGAAATATCGGGTGACTGTATTAGATTCTGTATTGCCACTTTGATACGGTTTTCTATATTCGACTTTTGTAAGTATGTATACTAGTATACTATGATGACAGTACACAGCACTTTTGACACATGCTTTGGTGGTGGCCACATCGCTACCAGATGGAGCACAATGAGGAACCTTATCTTCATGAAACGCGCCATTCAACTACCCCCAGCATGAGGTCCCGTGGCCAATACTTGATTACGTTTCTAGATCTACATGGGGGAGGCTCCCACTAACTCATTAGCTCACAGTGCAGGACCAGGATCCCGGCGCTAGAACGGGGCATCCACATAAGAGATATGTGGTGTGAGAGCACCGAGGCCCGCCGAAAACGTAAAGTCATCTCTAAGCCCTCGCTCTCGCCCTCGCCCCTCCAAGCCAAGTGACAAAGTTGATGGTAGAGGGGTCCATGCTATGACCAGGTTGGGTGAAAGATGTGTGATACAACACTCTAAGTCACCACCATCACATCTCTCACCCCACCACCACCACCACCATCATTGTCACCATTTCCAAGGTTCTGGTCCACTGTATTAGGAATGTACATAAATTCAAGATCCCAAAGAAGTAATCTCGACTTATTTTGGTATTTTACCTTTGAAATTTTGGCCATTGCGACCCCCCGGGCTGGGTAATAAGTCTAAGGTACCCTGCATGTGCTGTAATAGCCGCAGAAACCAGGCTGAGCTGAAACGCAATAAATCACCTGCACACGCACCGTCGATCCGATGAGCAATCGGTGGACTGATCTGCACATTCCATAAAATCCTAATCCAGTGTAAGTGTATGTACGGCTATGCGGGTCATCGCCTGCGATGACCCTTGCTTGCTGCCTAGGAATTAATCAGGCCCGACAGTAAGCTCTTCACAGTTGACGACAAAGCACGGTTTCTGTCTGTGTGTAGTCTATATACGGAGTACATACTTATACATCATACTGTAAACAAGGATGCCGCTCAGCAAGTGAGGCTGGTCATCTTGATTGGCTGTTCCCGCCGCTGCATCTTCCCACCTTTCGTTTGACGCGAGACTCGCGAAGTCGACAAACCCAGTGCAAGGGAAACGAAAAAGCAATATGCTTCACAACTGCTCCACTCGGCTTGCCTTAATACAGCCCCCCCCTCTCTCCCCCACTCTATTCGACCCCTTCGTTACAACCCTGTCTCATCATCCAATGTAGATGGTCATGGGCCATGGAGAACGCTGGAAAGAGTCACCGCACCCGGGCGCGCCTTGTTGCCACCTGGGTGATTAGAAGGGGCTGGGGGCCGGTAATAATCCATTCGAAAAATAGAACGGGGGAATGGACAGTGCCCCATTTCAGTTCAACTGAGACCAGCAGATCCCTGTAACATCCTGGTCAACATAGAGAGCTGGACTAGGACCGCAGCAAATAACGGTTCCTGGCGGTCAGGGTCAAGACGAGTCGGGGAATTTCACATTAGAACAAGGGTACATGAGATCGCGCTATTTGCAAACGCGATGACATTAAAACCTTGATAAGAATAATTAGTTATTATATGTCAACAGAGATCAGTCATAGGAGACAATTGATATAATGTCATTCTTGGATGGCATTATGTATGCTTCTCTCTTTTTCCTGGATAGAGTGATATAAAAATAGAAGAGAGAAGTAGGATGGTAGGTAATCTCAAGGGGTGTAAAGATAATTTGACAACACTCGTATCAGCGTCCCTAGTTCAGAACGCTGCAGCTCATGTCAACCGGCAAAAGCACACCCCGGTCCTTCCGGAGGATTTGGTGAAAGTAATATCCAAAGGAAAAGTTGCAATGGGAAACAAAAAGAAATCACACAAGGAGGAATCCGAAGGTCTGAGTATAAAAATAGTCACAAAAAGAAAAGAAGTAAAAAAAACTGGCCGTGAAATCGTCAGCCGCGCCTTTCCTTGCACCGATGTCCGTAACCGTTAAACCCGTTTCCCAATTCTGCAGAGACTTTCTTAAACAAAGTAAAGCATGAATGATATCAAATAGAAGAAAGAGAAAGAAAAAAGAAACAAGAAACAAGAACAAGAAGAGGAGGAAGGCACAGTAAAGTTTGAAAGAAAAAAAGGTGGCATCTCATCTAGGTGCATAGACTATGCGGATTCTGAATGGGGTCATAGCGGCCGTAGGTCGAGTATACAGGATCATAGCCGCCTGTACCAGGGCGGTGGTGGTGTGGAAGATCGGGGAACACGGGGTCCTGGTAGGGGTCCAGGGTTGAGTCTGTCTTGAGAGTATCCATCGGATCCATGGTATCATTCATAATGGAGTAATCGAAGCCGGAGGAAGAAGAGGATGAGACCAGAGGACTATCGAGCAGAGGTGAATGCTCGGGTTTGTTCATCTGGCGGTAGTCTGTTCTTCCATAAGGTAGGCTGCTCCGATAACTATTGTCATGCATGAGCATGTGTGAACGCGATGTTGGGCCCATTCCGTGGGGAAGGCCACTTCCAGGGCCTTCTCCACTTTCACCATCAGGACCCATGCTTGCTGTACTGTCGCGACGCCCGTCTTTGTAATGACCGGGAGAACGGCCTCGGACTACCATAGGGTGAGAATGTCGACGGGCAACTTGTACCCAGTCTGATATGTCACCTCGAGGTACCTCGGCGTAAAGCTCCACCACGAGATTATAGTATTGCTGTTGAGCACGGCGTTTACCATTGTTGGCCGTTGCCTTTTGAAATTGGATCCGTTCGAAAAGGTGCGAAGTAGGAGGCTGACAGGGCTGAGGTGCCCCTGCGAAAGCAGAGTTGTAGTCTAAAGACTGCGAATTAAGAGGGAAGGTGGCATGGCCACCAGCTCCAGTTGAGCCCGCGGTGAGCGATGGTGGCGGTGTTGGTTGCAATATAACTGGACCGGGCGTACGTTCGGATTGCTTGTCTCGCTTGGGTGTGTGCTGCACCAAAGGCCGCGTCTCGTTGTAGGATCCGTTCACGATGGCAGAGATGCGCATCCTAAATCCCCGGATTGGCTCTAACGTCTGATCGGAATGACGAATAAACAGAGGTACTGTCGATGGCCAAGGATGAAGACTGAAACTGCAATTAACTGCGAAGTAATTCCGCCGGTAGCAGGTCCACTTCCCATCGGATGCGAAGAAGCCTCGTCCAATCTTAGCCTGAACTTCGGGCTTCAAAGTCTGTTGAGTGCCTCCAAACTCCGCAACAATTGACTCGAGGATAGTTGTATCTTCGAATGGAGGTGCCTCTACCAGGGTTGAAGATCGCTGCGTGGACTCTACCATCGGATGCTGGAAGACAGCGGCCTGGTTGCGGTCCAGCAAACCATCCAAGGCCCGAGGAGTGCTCGGATATTGATGAGAGCGAGAGTTTATCACAGACAAGGGTAAGCCAATACCTCGATGTAGAGCATATGAGGACGAATATGCATTTGCTCTTCCCATCAGGCCCGGGATCGAGTCTACGGTATGATTTGGTGACTGCATGTTGATAGACATGCCTGCAGGCGGTTGTCTGACCAAACGAAGGGTTAATTAGCCTCGCATAATAGATGGTATAGACGATTCTGACAATCTTACAGAGCTGGCACCCGCCGGAAGTCTGTCATCCTGTCAAATTGATGTTGATGTTGGGACAAATGAGGAAAAAGAGGACCGGAAGTGGGGGAGAATGAATCTGATGAGGATAATAATTAGGTCAGAACAACCTCGCACTAATACAAGAGGGAACTCACCCGAGCAAGAATCTGGAGGAGTCATAGCAAGTGCAGATGATCCGGGGTAGCTATAAGAGACGAAGCTGTTTAGTAAGTCACATCACCACGGACTGGTCCCGAGCAACCGATTCAGAAGGGATCAAAACAATGCTGGGGGAAATCTCATGATAGACAAGAAAGAGATAAAAAAAAGATTAAAAACCACCCGAACAAGAGCGAAATGGCAGAGTAAACAGACACAGGTTGAGATAAAAAGGATAAAACATCGGAAGAAACGCTTGCACGCAGCGGATCGGTATGGAAGGTACCGAAACAGCCTGGCCTAAAGTGCAAAGTTGCCCGGACTAGGAGGAAGCGCAACGACAAGGGGGGAAGAGAGAGAACCGGCCGAGTGGCGCGCAAGGCAGTCCAAATTGAAAGGGCAGAATAACTTACTGTAATTCCTGCATTGCAGGCTGCTGTGCGTGGTACCGCACACCGTTGGTGACCGGCATAGAGGCAAGACCTCCGACTCGTTGGTTATCGTCATCGTTGGTTGGAAAACCGGTCACATGAGGATTTATATAGTCTCCATCTGTGGTAACGGGACACTCCATACTGAAGGCGTCCGGTAGAAGCGCAGCTGAGGAGAATAAGTTAGCCAAAAGCGAAATAAAGAGTAGACCGCGAGGCAACGAAAGGCCCTCAAGCGGCGAGGGAAATCTAGACGCCTATCGCGGAAAGGACGAGCGAGGCAGATTAGAAAACGAGAAGAGACTTACAAGGATTCATCGTGATCGTGCTGATGCTGATGCTAGGTGCCCCAAAGACCTTGAAGAATAGATAACCGTGGTAACACCGGCGAGACGCCTAAGCCCTCACTTGACCCTTGGCGTCTGAGAGTAACGGGGAAAAACTGTCAAGAACATGATTCTCCAAGTTAGCCACTGGGCTCAAGGGTTAGGTCTGGTGCGTATGGGCCTTTGCCCACCGCCATGGGACTGACATGTGCATCAAAGGTTGCATGAGAGAGGGTTTGCAGACAGAAAAACGAATACGAAAGTTCCAGATTTGCTGAATATTGTCACGTACCAAAAACCAGAAATAATATACGCCCCAAATATCTCAGATAATGGTCCTGGGGGGGAGGGGTTCTGCAAGTAAGTAAGAAGGGGGCAATGTATGTGTACTTGTGATGGGCCAGTGGGGTGTCATAAAATGAAATCGCAGACAAGAGATCAAAAGCGGGTAGTTAGAAGTGAAGAAAGATGAAATGATAGAGGAGGGCATGGACGAGAATAAGAACATGTCTCAAAAAGCGTGTGAAGAGGCCTATTGTTTCTGGTATTGACCCGCACACACGAGTAGCTGGCGGGATTCGCTCGGTGGACGAAACGGATGCGTCACCGGTTGAAGAGCATGCCTTTCCTCATCGGGACTCTTTCACAGGAAGGTCATAGACTTGAATTCGGAGTGGAATGCCACGACCCACGATCTTGATATTTTGCCCCGGGCAATAGATCATGAAGATCCTGCCTGACTGAGGAATTGCAGCCCTGCGGCACAGGAGAAGGGAAAAAGAAATAAGGGAGAAATGAGAGAGAAATGTAATAAAACAAATAACAAGAATTGACAAAGGAAAGGGAACGAGAAACTTACTGATGTAATCCGGTGTGACTGTGTCCACAAATGAATCTCAAGCACGGCGGGCCTTGAGTGGTAGGAAAGTATCCTGTACAGTGGTTGTGTGCACGGTGGAAGATAATCCCACCTACTTCGCAACCCTAAGTTGGGGGTTATAGATGTAATATTCCGTTTTTGCGAGTCCCCCAGGCGAGCAGTACCGACACCTATGCAAGAGCAGGAGCCTCTGCTGTGGGTTTGAGCGATCAGATTAATTTCTTTTGGGTGGGTTGTTGTGGCTGGGCTGGAAGGAAATGGAAAATGGAGAAAAGATGGTCTGCAGTCTCTCATGAAGGGCGCAATTAATATTAATTGTTCCTTGGTCGTTGGGAGAGTCCGGGACGCGTCTCGTCAGAGTTCATATCCTGGTCAAACTGGCAGAGAGAAAATAGCCTCAAGCTATCACAGCCCAAGTCGCCACGAGTTCCTGTGAGAATCTGGGCCTGCCAGGGACAGTGAAATACGTTGTATTCGGCAAGGCTACAGTGGGTGGCAGCAGCCAGTTTGCATAGGGGTCCAACCATAATGGGCCAAGGGCTGGCGTATCTTGTTCTGATGATCTTCTAAATTGGGATTCCTCTTTTTGCCCTTTTCCCTTTTCAAAATTCGAAAATCGAAATAGGATTTTCGATTTTGTCCCCATTTCTTTTCTTTTTCGTGACCCCGGTCCTGGCAGATGGAGCGCGCAAATAGGGTGGCCCATTGGAAGGAACTGTAGCATCGAATCATTGGCCCGAGCTCTTGACAGTTTGATTGTTCAAGGAGCATGGCATTGGCCGGAATCTCCATGTTGCGTGCCCTGGGAGGACCCGAAGCCCATGCACGGACACTGGCCGATCCAAGGTGGGTAAGGGCCCGGTACGGACAGGCAATGACAGCGATGCAGAAGTGTAGGATGTATTTTCCATTACAAGTCTCGATCAAGTCAGATGTCCTAGTGCGAACACCCGATGGGCGGGATGCTGCAGAAAAACCAAATAAGATGAAACTAGTCAAGAAGGAGGGAAGAAAGGATGATCAGCCCCCAGGATACCCGTGCAGAGTTCGCCTTTTTGGTCTGCCCTTCCCCTTCCTCCCCAGTCGCATGACGGTGGTTGATGTATCAGACTTTGGGGATCTGCAGGCCAATGTCTGTGGCGACCAACCAACAAATAGTAATGATGGCAATATTATTATAATATTCATGATTATTGTCATGGCGATTTTCACCCCACCCGTATATGGAAAACAACAAGAAACCCCCCCCCCCCCCACCCCAAAAAAAGAAAAAGGCTAAAAAAAAAAATAACAAATACCGGTAAGAAGAAGCTCATGAGAAATAGTCCATGCTACTGAGGTACACCTGTCGGAGTCGTCCCATCTACTTTTTTCTTTCTTGCCGCGATTTTTGGGGGTCGAGGCACGAGCAGTGGTATTTGCATGACGAAAAACAAAGATCAGGCGATCGGCAATTTTTGCACTTAGCCAGCTGCATCGCGCATATTAGCCATGTCTTCACCGACAAACTTGGGGAAAGGTCTGTGGAAAGAAAGCATCGAGGGAAGCCTCAGGAGAGGCCCAATTTCGCTCCACTACCGGAGAGGAAGGGGGGGGGCTTGGGACACTCCGCTCACTGGTTGTGACCGATGGACTCGTACCCCAACTAGGAACAGCGTCCCCACTAGAGAATGGCTCAAGCAGGACGGGAAAAGCCGAATCATGCTGCGGTCCGTACCCGGCAGTATCTGCCAGACTAGAACTCTGAGGTCCACGGGCACGTCTAAAACGCCCCCTCTGGTTGAAGAAGGAGGCATGGCCATGCTGGGGGGTAAATTTTTTGCATCATAGACTCAGAGACTCCAGTCTCCATGAGTGGAACCCCAGCCCTGATCGAGTCGAAAAGTGCATTAGTGGCCCGAAGATCGGCCAACCCGCAGGAGACTAGTTGGTCGTGATGGCAAAGCACAGTACGCTGGGAAAGCGCCCGCACTTGAATGATTGGCGGATGGAGCCTTTGATCGATAGTAATTTCCTTTGGAACCACTCACTTGGGGAGGCATCGAAGGAGGGTATGTTGTGCAGCGGCTCCACGGTCCATTCATTTGGCCCTCCGAGACAAGACAATACATGGACGGTACTGAATGGGGGCGTTGTTACAGGGGTGAAAGGAAAGCCATTTCGAGAATAGTGGCCGAGCGCTATTTACATGGATGAAGGTACATTTGAGGATGTATGATGAAAGCAATGGGAATGGTGGAAGCTGATTTGACTCTCGGAGGGATCAATTGCGTTTCCGTACGGGGCGGTGAGGAGGACTGTACGGTAAATACACATAACAAGTCCATAAGTAGTCTAGCGATGAGAAAAGTGTAGCTGATGTCGATGTAGTGCAGCTCTTAGTCCTGTACGGAGTTCTTCGGTAGTCTTAAGAGGCTTGCGTATCAGTGGGGCCGTCCCTAAGTTCTGGGTGTGCAAGATACATGTACTTTTAGACATTTAATGTGGTCCCTCGTGCTGCTCTGGAGATCTCGATTTCTCTACACGGAGAGTTGTCCAACTGTCAGCCTGATCCTTTGAACTAGCTCAAAGAAAACATAGGAACTAGTAGGTGCGATAGCGCAGTAGTGGCCGTCGACGAGATCGATCCTCCCGCGCACCCGTGCCGCATCTCCACTTGTCCCCACCTTTTCCGATTCATCACAATTGACTATTGCCCGTGAGATACATAAAAGAGAACGAGGTCCTGGGAAAAAATGTCCGACCGTCTAGTGGAGTCTAGCTTGACGAAGCCTCGACTTCTGCAGGTACTACGGAGCTCATCTTCAAGTTCAAAGTTTCCTCTTTCATTCCCCCTCAAAGTGTAATTTGCCATACGCTAATTGGTGCTAATTTTATACCTTGATTTGAGTTTGTTACGCGGAACTAGTAGCGGCAATTGCATGAACTCATCAATCCAACCAAGGTTCAAGTTCCGACCTAGTCAATCATCCGGTCCAGAGCTCCAGATGGACAGAGGTTGCATATTCTCCCAAGACTTCTCTACGTCGTTTCCCTTAGCTCCTGTGCCAGTCAGGGCTGATGTGGGCACGTGCTGCAGGAGGAATTAACCTAAGAGATTAGGCCAGGGGGCCGTGGGCATCCTGCGAAGCAGGATCATGATGTCTTGAGCATGAGAAGCTCTTTTTGTACGACGCAGTTCTTTCACGGTCGTCAATTCCGCAGCGTCCATGTCAGGCTGCACCCGGCCGAATCCTGACAGGGAAGAGAAAGACTCAGGACCAGAATCAACAAAAAAGAGGGAGTGAGAGTCGAGAACAAAGATCCGGCATTAGCCACTTGCAACTGTTCTCAGCAACAGTGATGATGCCCAAAGAAGAAATTCTAAAAAAAAATCGAAAAAATCGGAACATGCTTGTCATCGGGGTAATCGGGGCTGATCTGCCATTATTGCCTGGGTGCATACAAGCTGGAACCATTGGCCAGCGTAGCTTTCAAATATGGAGTAGATGGAGTCCCGAGAAGTCGCAGCACCCTCTGGGGTCATATTCTAGGCTACCTTTCTCCCCTTGTTCCGCGACCCTAGATCATCATGCCCGTTGTTCTAGGATCTTTACACCTCTAGTGGAACCCGCGCATCCCGGACGCCGCTGCCCCCAAATTATCGCCGATGACAGGCGTCCTGGTCCAGGTTTGCCGTGTCAGCACTAGATACTTCCGGATTCTCGACTCGTTGTGACCCGGGATGGGCAGCCGTTGGGGCCGCCCCACGGCCGAAAGTCTCGGCGAGACTATATGGTTGACTTTCAAGACATCCACCGTGCGTGATCCATGGTGCCCAGAGCCCTCACTAACATTAAAGTTTGAGACAAAGAAAAGAGGGAGATCCTCACCAATTCTTGCCCATCAATCATCTACCACGTCAATTCCCACAGCCGCACTTTGAACAAGGGTTGGACCAGACCACGTGAGAGGTACCGGCAACGTACACTCCCAAAACTTGAAGTACTACTCTAATTGAATAACACTGTGTCAACTCCGGGCACAGAAACCCTCTTTTTTGGGAATGCCTATTTCGATTTTGTCGATGCGATGAAACTCAATTCGGGTGGTCCCATACCGGGAGACATCTCTTACCCTCTCCGTGGCCACAAGGTTCTATGATTTTTTTGATTGTGTATCACGTCTCGCAAAGATTCGAAGGTTACATGGGGCGACTCTCGACCTGGCTCCCGGTAGCTCACCGAAGATTCGGCTGCCTTGTGGGTCGCTGAATCCTCTCACTGCTTTCGATTCTACGACTAGGCAAGCTATAGAGAATGACGGATGGCCCCCTATTGGTAGCTCGTTTCGCGCTGTCATTCCAAACTTTGATCGACCTGAATTTCCAGTGGAAAGTACCAATGGTATCATGGTGAACCTATCCCTGCAACGGGCTCCGGATAGGGGCCAAACGAGACCCAAGAAAACGCCCCACGACATGGATTATGGGACGAGGGCGATTAAAAGAAGCGGAGTGCGAAAAACGCATCAACTCGGCAAGGATGGCGGCAACAGTATCGAATACGATTGGGTCGCTTCTGAACGAGTCTTGATAGGAAACCTGTCAGGAGGCCAGCAGACTTTTGGATGGCGTTGGGCTTCAGGCCAGTCAAAGACGGCACACTCAACTGGAAACAGAGGCAAAAAATGACTTCCTTGCCTGATGTCGTGACAACCCGTCTCATTTATCTTACTAGCCATGGCCCTGGTGTGTGTCTAGCCAACCCGAACTCATATCCGAGTAACACGGAAGGCAAAAATCTCAAGCAAAACTTGCTCAACGGCACGAAGCCGACAGGGTGGCCCCAAGGCTTACCCTTCTTGTCGATTGTTTTGACATCGTATCACGGCAGATTGACCCAGACACCTTCCGGGAATCTTCCACACTATCATTCTTGTCACTGAGACTTCGGAACATCACGAACTCCTTTCACATGTGCATATCTGTCATACTGGATGCCGTAGTGGCAGGGCCGAGCCTAAACCCTGGCTCTGGTGATGCTAAGAAGTCTGTGAGAAGGGAAAGAAGTATCTCCGCGTCCCCGGATTATTCGTAAAAATGGGTGGCGAGGCGTTGGGGAATCATCCCAGGTAAGCTTTCTTCCTCTCGAAGTCACTTTCCCAAAGGAATCGTCGATGCTACGTGATGCAACCTGATTCAGCTCGGGAAATTAAGAAGCGAGTACTTTTGGCCGGGGCTAGACACGCATCGTCTGATCCAGGAGATCTTGGTAGATCTGTACTGTTACAATTAAGTGCAGGATCTGGGATTCGCGCGCAAATTAATGTCGGGCATACATTTGGGGGCGTAACTTTCCCATTCCTTTCGTCTGATTATCACTCTCCGCTGTTGGGAGAGAGGGAAAAAGTTAATTCAGATGGTCTTGCGCATCCTATCCGGGGCTACTGAAAAAAACTTCGGACACGCCGAGACCATGCATTGTCGCGCTTTGCTCAGTTCTTGTCTCGGCCACGGGACGAGCGCCTGGGATACTAGTAGTGACATGATCTTGGTACTGATGGTAGGCGAACTTGAAGGATGGACGTGAGAAGGATATGACAAATCAAAGTGGTATTCTTGTCGTAATCAGTTACCTCGAACAAAATTATCAAAAGCACTTGAATCTCCGTGGCGGCGGGTCCATTGAGAACCTTCAAAACTTTGGAAATGGTACCTGAAACTTCCATGCAATTCTTTCCTTCCAACTTTGGAAGCTTTCCAGTTCTAGTGAAACCAAATCTAGGAACGAGTACTGAGGAAATGCCTACTAGTTAGTACTAGTATTCGTTAGTAAGCAAGTGACAGCGACAACATTGGAATGCGCCGATATTACCTAGTAGGTACTAGTACGCTACAAAAGAACTTCATGTTGAAGTTGGAAGCTGGGAGTTCGATCGAGAAAGATAGTATAAAGATTGTACCGTGACACATCTACTATTACCAAGTCTAAATCGCCAGAAGGGGATCTATGAATCTCTGAACCATTGCTTTTGTATCGATTGACGAATGCAAGTAAATGACATAGTGGGTGTCTTTTGAGGAATCATCATTATCAATCAATCATACAGTAGAAAAGGATTGCAGAGGAGCCTCAGCCAAAAGCTAGGCCCGCCTGTAAAAATAAAAAGGAGAATCCAACCAGATATGTCGTGAAAGAAAACCGAGAAACGAATCTAAGTAGCTCGCTTGGCGAACTCGACGCGAAGAATGAGATGGCGGTAACCGACTGTAGAAGGAAGGGGGTTAGTTCATGTTCTTCCATATGGTCGCCAAGGGGGTATTTGCACGTACAGCCGTCCAGTTTCTCGCAAGCGCTCTCCGCATCGGAGCGATCCGCATAGCTGATGAAAGCAAAGCCCTTGGCCCGCTGTGTCTCGCGGTCCCGGGCAAGGAAAACTCTGGTGACACGTCCGAACCGCTCGAAAAGATCCCGCAACTCTTGTTCCTCTGCCAACTCGCTGACCTGTAGGCGAACAAAGAAATAGGTGTCAGTAGAAGTCTTCGAAAGAAAGAGATATCTGGACGTGGGATGAAAACACATACGTTTGTAACTCTGAGGGTGGCCAGATCGTCCTTCTCGAAGCGGCCGCCCATCTTGTCGCCGCCACCAGAACCACCATTGCGCATGTGAGGGGGAACATAGCTGGACTTGCCAGCACCCAGTCCACCGGCCTCGGCCTCGCCTGTATCCCCCGCACCACCAGCAGTGGCCTCCTCCACGGGGGCCATGGTGTCCTTGAAGGGACAGCGCGCGGTGAAATGCTCTCCGGAACAGATACGGCACTTGACCTTCTTGTCCTTGAGTTGATCCTGAATGCTGCCCTTCTCGCCGCCCTCCTTCTCGGCCTCCTTGGCCTGTGCCTTCCAGTTGGTGCTGGGACGGAAAACGATGTTCTCGCCGACGGAGGTGGTATCGAAAGAGGGACCGGTAGGATTGCCCTTCTCGTTTCCGAACTTGGGCCACGAGCGGCGCTCAGCAACTTGGGGGTTGACATTCTCGCGAACGACAGTGGTCTTGATGCGGCGGGTGACCTTGACCTTCTTGTTATCGTCGTTGAAGCGGTATGAGATCACGGTCTTGGTGCCATCTTTGTTGGTAATAACTTGTTGCGCGGGGAGAGCGGAGGGGTCGTCAAATTCTTCGTCGTCCGCCCAGTCGGCGCGGCTGTTAAAAAAATGAAAAGACCTGGTTAGTTTAGACTTGAAATTTGGGCGGAAAACGTGCACTCACTTCCCGGATCGAGACATGATGTGTGTTGTGATATGGTGTTGCGGTAATAGCTGAATTTCTGTGATTTCTTCAAAGGTGATTCTCCGTTGTGGATTTAATTCGCGGCGCGGCGATTTTGCTGTGGCGCAGTCTCGTGGCTGGTGCAAGTCAGCCACGTGACTCCCCAGTGCCCCAGTGCGCCGCCCAGTCATGTATATCGTCATCTACGCAAAGACACATCTTCTACTTGGTTGATGAATCAAAGAGCTAAAATGGAAGATTCCCGATCTGTGTTTACTCTTATGACTTTCTATCATCCTCAAATCCTTCCTAGTAGCCGTGTTAGACTTGAAGTGGATGCATGTCTTACTATTAATCGCTATATACGAACTGACATGACTACTATATATGCTGATCATTCAACAAAAATATTAACAAAAGCAACTTGAAGTAAATCAGGCAAAGATCAGGCCATTGGTGATATCACCCATCACAGCTTTGTAAAGATCCACAAGATAGTGCACACGCGGGAGCCAAGGACCCGAGTTTCCACATTTAGGCAGCTCACTCCCTCCCTGTACAACATATGTCGAGGTCAATGCCAGAAGTGGACGATAACCTATCGTCTTGGCATCAACACCTCCTGCAACAGCGCTTCTGTGACCTTGAGCCTGCATGTATTTGACCAGACGGCAAAACATCCGGGCGGTGGTATCAGCCCCCAGGGTCCAGGACGCATTGACATATCCCACGACAAAAACCATATTGGGAACGTCTTGGATCATTGCGTTATTCCAGGCGTATTTGTCGCCGACTTCGATTTTCTCATTGTCCACACTAATCCGTACACCACCCATAGCTTTCATCTTGAGACCCGTTGCAGTCACAATAACATCGGCCTTCAGCTTTTCACCAGACTCGAGAATGATACCATCCTCAACCACTTGACGGATGGTTCCGGTGGCCACATCGGCCTTACCATCTCGAATGGGCTCGAAGAAGTCGCCATCAGGTGTGAAGCATATACGTTGGTCCCACGGTTTATACCTTGGGGTGAAGTGTGGGTCGATGGGAACGGTTTCTGGCAGCTGCTTCCTAACACCATTTTGCAGCATATTTCTTGAGCGATTCGGAAAGAATCGACAGAAATAGTAGAAAATGGCGGGGACACAGATCAAGAAGAGTCGAGTGAGCTGGATCGCGAGAGACTGGGGTAGGAAGCCGAGCTTTGATGGTGTATTTTCGATTTTCAAGATGTAACTTGGGCTGCGCTGCAGCATTGTAACATGAGCAGCTTTCTTTGCCAGGGTTGGTAGGAGGGTAATTGCAGTTGCCCCACTCCCGATAATAATGATATTTTTCTGCGAGTAATCGAAATCTTTGGGCCAAAATTGAGGGTGAATGACAGAGCCAGCAAAGTTCTCGATTTCTGGGATCGGTGCTGGCAGTACTTTATCGTAGTCGTAATATCCAGTGCCCATGATGATGAACTTGGATTGTAGGTAGACTGTATCCCCTTTGGAGTTGGTTGCAGACAGTCTCCATTTTTGGTCTTTGGTCGACCAATCTGCAGCTGTAATTTGATGCTTAAATCGAATGTGCTGATCGATTCCCGTTTCAGAAACGGCCTCTTGGATATAATCCATGATCAATGGAGCGGTTGCAATCAGCTTGCCCACTTTCCAAGGTTTCCAAGGAAAGCCGAAAGTATAAAGATCAGAGTCAGATCTTAGACCGGGGTAGCGGAAGAAACTCCATGTTCCTCCAATCTCTTCTCGTGCGTCCAGTACCACATAGCGAGAAGAGGGCAACTCAGTTTGAACCCTGTAAGCTGCATTGATTCCAGAAATTCCAGCTCCAATGATTATGACATCAAATTCCTCCATGATTGACTCACGCTGTCCTTGTATCTCGACAGAGCCGGACAGACAGGACGAGAAAGTCACCACTTCAAACCAGAATAGGAGGATGGAGAATCAGCCACGTTTCAGTCCTGGGCTTTGAATTAGCTTGAAACGGCTCTTGAATGAAGTAATGATTATCTGAGCGACTCACCACGTGGGATCTATAGTCGTGGGAACCCCCGAACTGGAGATTGATCCTTGCTCGGATGCGCTGCCGACGACTCCCCGGTGGAGGAAGCTCAGATACCCGAGGACGGCGCGAACCGTAAACACTAGTTAACTAGCTATGGGTCTGGCAAACTCGAATTCAAGAACACCAAAGTATTGAGCAGTCTAAGCGGAGCCGAGAAAGAGCGAAACTCCTGCAATATCTTCTTGGTTAGCTCTTGTTGGAAAAGAGAAGTTCCCTTGACGGGGGATGCTCGGTTTAAGCCAGCTGGGGAGGCTGACAAGCGGGGGGGCCTAATTCGGCCTCCCCTGGGTAAGGCTCGCACTGTTCACCGCTTTGGGCGCCGCCTCTCTTAACTATATTCGGACACAGACGCCTAATCCGGTAATCCATTCATCATGCCACGCAATGATAGTACGAGTGGTCACTGGAAAATTTCTAACCCTTCGATCGGTAATTTATACCCGAAGGTGGTTTCACCCAATCCCTATGCCCGAGATCTCGATGAAATTCAATCTTAAAAGTGGTGCTTATATACTTTTGTATAGATCTCACATTATTGATGACAAGATACTACTAGGGATTGCTCACAATTTAAAATTCTCTTCAACTTGAATAAGCCTTGTTTGAAGACATCGATATACCTTTCCAATTTTCAATCGAATCAAACTATTTCTATTAGCAAAATCATGAACGATCAAGAAATCCTAGCCGAGGCTCGTATCAAGTCTCTTGTTGTGCGCGAGAGATACAATCGGGACTCATGCCAATGGGAAAAGCTGAGAGAATGCTACCATTCCGATGCATCTCAAACAAACATAGATATCACTTGGTAGGAATCACAACCCCATTTAGCCTTTACGCTCTGGCAATGGATATTCATGTATAAATAGGTACCAAGGTGATATCGACGGCTTTGTTCAGGGATCCAAGTTTATTTCGGAAAAGGGATCCAATGCTATTCACAACATAATACCAGCTGAAGTAGCAATCAACAATTCGAAAGCGTTCTCCATATCGGTCGGAAATATCACCAGCCGCTTCACTCGGGACGGGGTCGAGTATGAGCTTGTTTCCAGTTGTCTGTTTCTTTCTAGACTGGAAATGCTCGAAGGACAATCTTGCCAGCTGCGGAAGATGTTAAGTATGGAAGTCATATACATGAATGACAAAATATCTCGCATTCTGCCACTCTCGAGTCACGAGGGGGTGGACTTTAAAGGTGCGGGGGATTTTCCAAGGCAGAGCTATAAATTGTTGGCATATTGCTTGAGACAGAAGGGATACCAAGTAAAGCAAGACTTACCTGGTACCGATGATGACCGCCTTGTTTCGGAAATTCTGACCAGAGATTTCTCTTGGTTGAAAGTACAAAAGCTGGTTTTGCTTGCAGATTCTATATCATGCCGATACTAGACCTTCCAGTTAAAATTTAAATACTCCAGTGTGCTGCCACAATGTGTCGAGTAATCTATTGTGCGTATTATTGCCCTGAAACACCATGGGAAGAACTGCATGGTGCTAGTAAATTATCACATCGATCTATGACACACGGGATCTCCCTATCAGTGTTGTGAGCTATATTATTCTTAGAAAAGCCATCTAGTAGACCTCTAGTGGAGTAGTGGAACCACCAACCGGGGCAGATACCCCGGAAAGTCAATTCTGAGCATTCAAAAAGGGAATAATACGCCAATAAGGTTTCAAGAAATGGGGACAATCTGGGGTTGCGGGGGAAGTGGGCCTATCTAGGTTGCGGGGAACTAATGGAACAACCGATCTATACCCAGCCGCGCTAATGCCGCAGTCTAAATGCCTCCTAGTGAGAATAAGAAATAAAAGAAAATTAGATGTCTACTGTGGACAGAATTCTCCCAAATCTTGAATTTCTAGGATTTCAATATTCGATATAAACGGAAATCTTCTATGCTCTGCCAATGTCTTTGACAGAGAAAGACCCTGGGGGTTGCTCGCCGGTGTTAGAGGTTGAATATGCAGCAAATGCACCAGATATGACAACTAAACTACCGGAAAACTTGGTTTACGTGGATAATGAAGAGCCCCAGCTGCATATGTCGACATATCTCGCGCTTGCAGCTATGTTCCTACTAAACCTTGTGCAAGTTTTTGGCCTGATGGGCCCTCCAGCAGCGGTAAGTGCTTGTATTCAGCGCGAAGTTTGACTCAACAAATCACCCAACTAACAAGCATAAACTCACAACAGCTCTCGTTTATTGAAGCCGATTTGAAAAACACGGCGGTCGGTACTTGGGTTCCAAACTCTCTATCGCTAGTTCAAGCCGTCTTGGCCCCTCTTATATCCTCCGCCTCGGATACATTTCAAACGCGCAAGGAACTACTAGTTGGACCTGCAGTTATAGCATTCGTGGGAGCTGCGATTGCCCCAGGATCTACTAGCATATACCGACTCATTGGTGCTCAGATTTTGATTGGGTTTGGCTTCGCTACTGTGCCTCTGGCATACTGTGTCCCAAGCGAGATTCTTCCTCGAAAATGGCGGCCTAGTAAGAACTTACTCTCACCAGTTTTGGATATGATTGAAAGAAATGCTAAATTATTCCAGTGGCCCAAGCGGGAATGAACGTCGCTGCAGCTTTGGGCGCATGCTCGGCGCCGCTAATCATTGGCGCCCTTACTAAAGCAAATGCCCACACTGGATGGCGTAACTTTTATGTGAGACAAACCAAGTAAAAGGGAGACCAGTCACTAATTTCAACTAGTGGCTTCAAATGGGACTTTGGGGGCTGACTGCAATATGTTTGTTTTTTGGCTATAAGCCTCCCAAGCGCCATACGGACTTCGATCATTTATCACTGACACAGAAGATCGCACGTCTTGATTTGCCGGGATTTATGCTTCTCACTGCTGGTATAACGCTGCTTTTGACTGGCTTGAATCTTGGAGGCGGGTTATATGCATGGGCTTCAGCTCCTGTGCTATCGACTATTATCATCGGTATTCTATGCCTCTTCTCATTTGGAATTTACGAGTGGAAGGCTACAACGACTGGAATTCTCCATCATGAATTGTTCCGTGGAGGTAAAACAGGAGGACGCACATTCGCTCTATGCGTCGGACTCATTTTTATCGAAGGAATATTGCTTTTTTCATACACAATTTTCTATCCAGTCCTGTAAGTGGCAACTCACATATCCCTCAAGTCCGTACGAGATACTAATTGCCAGCCTCATAAGAACCACTGAATTATTCACTAAAGATGCATTTTTGCTAGCTGCCCGGGAACAGCCCTTCTGGATCTCAGGTGGAATCGGCACAGTTATATATGGATACGTGAGCACGAGATTTCGGTCAATTCGAGCTCCACTGTTCATTGGGTTTCTCCTCCTCACAGCGGGCGTTGTCGGGCTTGCTACACTACAACCAAAGGACGAAATAAGTGCATTGGCTTTTTCAGGTCTCGCAGGTCTCGGATTCGGCTCTCCTCTTATACTTCTCATTGCTGCTGTGCAGTTATCAACACCACATCATCTGATCGCAACCGCAACCGCCGCCACGACCTGCTCTCGAGCAATAGCCGCCACTGTTTTCACTGCTGTTTTTTCCGCTGCATTTAATGCCCGGGTTCAAAAGTTTATTCCTGACTATGTTTCTCAGGCTGTTCTTGACGCGGGACTGCCATCTACTTCTGTCGGGGATTTCGTCAAAGCCATTGCAGCTGGGGATGAATCAGCACTTAGTAGCGTCGCTGGTGTTGACATTGGCATTCTCTCAGCGGGGACAAACGCTGCTAAACAGGCTTTTGCGGACAGCTTAAGAGTGGTATACATCATTGCAGCTCCGTTTGGTCTGCTCGCCTGTATTTGCTGCTTTTTTCTGGGTGATCTGCGCTTGGCTATGAACTACGCCGTAGATGCCCCATTGGAGACTTTACAACCCAGACACAATGTCAGTGGTGAACAGGCAGAGAGTGCCTGAATACTAGTACTAGCCATTCCCAGAGCCACCTGAAACTTGAAGTATGCACATATCAATCATCAGAGCCTCCAAAGTTTTAAAAGCAACGAATGTTTGAGTTCACGGACAAATCATTGCTCCTAAAGAAGTTGACGGCGGTAGATTCACTTGTCAGTTGAAGACTACAGGGGGAGCTACTGAATTCTCAGGGTCGGACAACTGGAAAGGTACCGGTGGTTAGGCGTCGGAAATATGACCGCACCCCGAATGACTGAACTCTCGGGCTTCATCAGGTCACAACTAAGATAGTGAATATCAGGGAAAGACATTCAAAAAGTAATGCTTATGCAATCGATTGAGGCAATGCCTATGCACGCCAAACTAAGTAAAACTAGCACTATGATCCAGTACAACCCGCTATATACATCAAATGGAACGAATATAAATCAACGACCGAAGTAATGTAACTCTAGCGGTCGCAAAGCACAATAGACCACAAAGGAGAAGGCAAAGCCTAACTCAAAGCCAACATCACCATAAGAGGGAGACACACCAGCATGCTTGGCAATAGGACCGATCCACCAGGATTGACTCATGCCGGTGACCACACCGGCAACGCCAAAGCAGAACGCAATACTGGCAGCAATTCCATGGGGCAGCTTCTCAGGCTTGTCGTAGTTCTCTGCATGGTAGCCGCCGAAACCACGCTTGAAGATAAAGTGGTCAGAAATGGTGATGCCGGAGTAAATAGCCAGCCAGTAGGCGATGAGGTTCATAAAGTTCTCCAGGACAGTCTCGAAGTGCGAGTAGCCGGGGATGGCGATGGCGAGGGAAACGCACGAGGCCAAGAAGGTCCAGACGAAGCGGGGCACGCGCTGGGTGTAGCGGTGCAGGACTTGCAGGGTCAGGGAGACGGAGTAGATGTTGGGACAGTTGTTGGCGATGATGGACAGGGCCAGGATGACCAGACAGAACTTGCCGAATCCGCCGAGCGGGTCAAGAACAGCTCCGATCAGACCGCCGTTGCCAGAGGTGGCGTAGCCGTCTGTGTACTTGTTGTCCCCACCATTAAGGGCAGTAGCAGAGTAGACGGCAATACCGAGGAATTCGGTCAGGAGGAGAGGAACAATCAGACCCAGCCAGGTTGCGAAAAAGACCTTCTTGCGGCTGCGATCGGCGGGTTGGTAGACGGTATAGTCGGCGGCATAGCTTGTCCAACCGGTAGCGAAGCCGTAGACAGTAGAACCGAAGGAAAGACAAGCTCCCATTTCCGAGGTACCAGCCTGCATGGGGATGTTCTGGAAATCACCCGAGTGGGCAAAGACACCTAGGACAATCATGAAGACGATAAAAGTAGGAATCCAGCTCCATTTCTCGTAGGTGTGGACGACTTTGTATCCGGCGAAAGTAACGAAGAGGGTACAGAAGGTGATGATGAGGATACCGGCGAAACCGGGGACGGAGCTATTGACGGCATTGAGAAGCTGAGCACCAACAATGGCGTTGGCGGCGGACCAGCCGATACAGGCGATGACGTTGAGGACGGCGACTAGGAAACGGTGGATTAGAGTTGGCTTTCTCTCTCTTGCGCGCAATGCATAGTCTTGGGGTTACTCACTGATTTTCACTGGGTACCAGCCGAACCAGAAACGCGACAAAACCATCTGTCGCAGGCCAAAGGGAGGACCGAAGCACGAGAAGAAGCAAACGGTCAAGATACCCAGCAAATTGAAGAACAGACAGACCAGGAAGGCGTCGATCGTTCCCAATCCGAAGAGGGATTTTCCGAGGACACCAATGGCGAAGGAACTAGAGACCATGTCTGCCGCTAGCCACTATAGATGAGAGGGATTGGAGTCAGTGGGTGTGTTCTTCCCAAGGTTGTGTGTCAATTGAAGGCAAAACGACTCGACATACCATGCTGCCAATGTTGAAATATGAGGTATCTGTGCGCTCGTTCTCAGGCACACGCTCAATACCACGTTGTTCGACATTGATCTTTCCAGCAATGCGCTGGAGCTTGGCGTACATCGAGTTACCATACTCGAAGCTCTCGCCAGGGACTGCGCCATCGCTGACATTGTCCTGGTAGTGGTCGTTGACGTTGACGTTGTCACTAGTCTCATTGCTGTAAGTTTCGTAGGAGGTGTTGTCGACTTGGGGCGCCTTCTCGACGTCACGAGACCCAAAACCGAATTTGGACCGCATCGTGTTGGTGGAAGTTGAAGTCGCGAGGTAGAGGCCGAGGTCAAACGTTACACGTCAAAATCGAAGTCGACTGAAAGAAGAATGAGTGCACGCGAGGAGCTTAAGAGCTTAGACTCGGACTCGGACTCAGACTCAGGCTCAGCCCAAAGAGGGAGAATTGGAGGAGGTTTGGAAGGGATGAGAGAAACAGCTTCACATATCGAACTTTTTTTTTCTTTTTTTGTGTTCCACGGCAAGGGGAGGATCTAATATAGTACCAGCAAATGGACAATGAACCACAAAATTCCTGTGGGCGCGTCCGAGTCGCCCCACTGGCGAATGGCACTGGCAGACTTTGCGTGGCAAAGGTTCCGAGATAGGGACCCCCTCGTGGGAATTTTTCCAGAACACAAGCAAATGACAAGCTCTTAGTACCCACTTGGGCTGACCTTCAACCAATCAGCAGTGGTACATAGTCTTATCGCAGGTGGAACTGCTGGGGCCCAACGCGAAACGCGAGGTCGCTTCCGACTAAAGTGGACTCCATCGAGGAATTCCCACTGGCTGAATGCTTGAATGCTTTCTCTATGGGATCCCATGGGATGGTCGGACCGCCGATAAGACCCGTGCGAGATACGCCCAGTGTAAATTGTACAAGTTGTACACTGTACCGAGTACGAAGTACACCTTCCACTAATATGATGGCTGCTGATAACATGTCTTGCAGGCTAAGCTTTGCTTCCAACCACATGGTCTACTGGTCTACCCAGGTACAAAGTATGTACCCATGCTGTACACTTCCCACGGGAACCGCCGAACTGCGTTCACATCTGAACCCCACGAAAGCTTGACTCGACTTGACTCCCCGGGGTCTCATCCAACGCATGCTCTCCCCGCACGGGGGTCCCTGCATCACCCAACTCAAATTTAGTGTGGCAACACCATCCATACAGCCCGAGGTCCGTCACCACAAGGTCTGGGTCTGTTTAATCCCTATTGCAGACGGGATACGATGCGGAGAACCCTCAATCTAGCAGGTTGAGCCGGCTACGAGGGTGTCTCATGCACTTTCTCGCTCCAAGCCGACCGATCGCCAGCGGCATTAGAATGTCCCGGATTCGCGCCAGGGAGCAGAGCACAGGGATCAGGGATCAGGGACCAGGGTACAGAGTACAGATGCTGGTGCTGATGCTGATGCAGGCGCTGGGCTCCCAGTAGATGTTCGGTTCGTGATAGCGGAGATGACCATAGGGTTATCATAATCTATTCGTGTAATCGGGAGTCAGCCCCGGATCTGCACCACTGTTTGGCCCCTTTCTGGCATCATCCCCGGTTCCATGTGTCGTCCTCGCTGCAAATCATTAGCCCAGCCTATTGGCTCTTATCAGCGGTGCAGCGAGTCCGACTCCTCCTATCGTTTCCCCTTTGGCTCCCATCTCTCCAGGTACTCTTCCCCCGGGCCCACAACTGACGTTGATATGCACGGTCATCTTAACTACGGTTTGTTGTTGACCCTCGTCATACTGCATATCATCACTTATCCCCCCCTATTTGGTGTCTATAGGCACGCTACGATCCCCTCGGTGGCCTCCGATCCTTGTGGCTATCGCTGTTGATCTCCTTATCCAGAAACCTTCTCTTCTGGGATCTCCTTGATCTACGGTTCGTTCCGTTGCGATCGATCTCCAGAATCTGGACCGGCGGTTAACCTGCCTAAGGATGAGGGTGAACAAGATGCGGGGGGGTGATTACGTAGCTCACGATAGTTTTGTAAGCTGGTTTCTGATCTTCTAGGTCTGTCAAGGTGATACCATGCCCCTCTTCCAAGGTTTCCCCTCTTTCTCTCACACTCTGGCTCGCTATTGCTTTCTCTATGCCTTCCTGTTTCACCGAGAGAAGAAAGGCTTTAGAACCTCATTTCATCCATCCCATCAATTTCTCTAGCTTTCGCCTTTATCTTTGAATAAACCTAATATGCAATATAATCTAGATCGACTCCCCTCTGGCCGTAACCAACCTTCAACGCCGGGCTATTGCATTTCAATCACTAGATATTCCAACTCGAATGAGCTTGCGTACAATGGCACTTAACCTAGTTGGATTTATGTCAAATGAAGGATCAAAATCAAACCCGAGCTTTTCATTTCAAGGTTGGCTGTAGTTGGCGATGACTTGATCCATGACTTTCAAAGGGCCCTGATTAGGTAGCACCGCTCTGGATCGCAGGACCGGTCACCAAAGGAGAGTAATGGAATGGTTTTATTTCTAAGAAGGTAATTTCTTGGCACGTAGACCCTTATGGTCTAGGGGAACAATTGGTTCCTCTAGGAAAGTCCATATGTGGGATAGGAGAAGCTGAATTGGGGCTGATCTTTTTGCCTTTTTTTGCAGAACTTCCAGGTCAACAGTTTAATGATGTCCGCTAGCTACCAACTTCCTTTTTCTTTTTCTTTTTCCTGCAACAAACGCTTTGTGTTTACGTTGTTGATGTTGTTTAGGTTGTTTACATACAGGTGGGGCCCGCCACCCATGTGATGTGTGATAGGCATGTTTAGAGAATAACATCGAATCAATAGCCTAAGGGCAAAACATCAATACGAAGCTTTAATGAGAGTTGTTAATTTATTCCAGATAATCCTAGGAATACTCATATGTATGCTTGCAGTTCTAGTGATAGCACCAGTCGGTTCCCAAAGAGGAAATCGCCATATTCTAGCCTCCGGGGTGTGTAGGGGGGGTTTCTTTTCTCTACAAATAGGTGCAAAAGAGAAATTCGACTAGAGTTCTCTATTAAAAATATACTTAAATTGGAGAAATGAGGCAGTGAAAGCAAAAAGGGAAAAAAGAGAAAAGCCGGGCCCCCGAGTCGAACGGGGATTACTTACAGTACTCGAAGTCTGGAAGGGCACGTCCCCTTGTACTAACCCGGCGGATTTTGAAAGTATGGGTGCATTTACCCTCATCACCGAGCAAATCGCCGAATTGGGAGTCGGAGGTCAGTAATTTATGCGGAGGGCTCTACTAGTAGGACATAATGACGTCTTTTGCAAGCCAGAAGCATTTCTTATAGTATCATAACTCTATCCTGGAGTGCAGTTGCATCTTATCTTTACAAGGTTGATGTCTAGTTCGGTTTCGATCAAGTGGTTCCAAGCTCCTTCCATGTTCACATCAAGTCTTCGTGAATTAGGATGACTGGCCAAGGCTTAGTACAAGCCAGGACGAATGTCCTTTCCTAATTACCCGAAGGCGATGCAGCATCCCAGATAAAGTACATCCCTAGGTCAGCTTATGTGAACTCCTGAAGGGCCTGGCCCATAAGGAAGCGTTTTTTAGATGCATTGTTGTCCTGTTGGAAGTTGTATTTGCAAGGAGGTTGGAGCAGGTCAGGCAACACCCACAGTCAAACTTACATAATTCGGAGATTTAACCAAGACCTGTCAAATCAAATCCACTGGCAGTACATTGCCGCTGCTAGTAGGTGCCGAGGTATAGCTGATTTCGAATACTACTACCTGTACATATAAAAGAATATGATATTGAGTTTTCATGCAATTCTCTCTCTGATGGAAATAATCAATATTTTAAGAATGGTCTTATTGAACTATGTACTTGTGACCGAGTAGTATGCTAGATGAGACAACAAAAAACGAGAATTATTTACAGCTTGGCAACCATCTTTTCACCCTTCTTCAGGAGAGCAGCAGCATCGTGAACGAGCTCATCAACGATAGCCTTGGCGGGCTTCTTCTCATCGACAACAGCGGAGACCTTACCCATCAGATAAGGACGGGCGTTGTCAAGGTAGTCATCGTCGATGTCATCGGGCAGGTTCTCAAAGTCGTGCTCGACGGGGATAACACCCTTGGCAGTGAGCTGCTTGATCTCCTCGGCGCGGTTATCTTCCCAGTTCATGATGTACTCGTTCTTGCGGACACGCATGGGGCGACCCTAGAGTAATTGTTGGTAAGTTATACAACGTCAATACAAATATCAATCAGGGTGATCACATACAGTGAAGATAATGGTACGAATGTTATCCTCGAAGCCAGCGGTACGGACAGCCTCCTGGTGAGCCTTGGGGGCACCGGCCTCATCGGCCAGGATGAAGCGAGTACCGATCCAGACGGCGGAAGCACCGAGCATGAGGGCGGCAGCAACAGAGTTACCGTTGTAAAGGCCACCGGCAGCGATGACCTGCACGGGCTGACCGGTCAGAGGGCTCGTCTTGCCCTGAACGAGCTTGGCGACGGCGGGAATGAGGATGGTAGTGGGGACATCGCCGGTATGACCACCGCCCTCGCCACCCTGGGCGCAGATGATATCAACGCCGACGGCCAGGCACTTGGCAACGTGCTTGGGGTGACCGATCATGTTCATGCAGAGGATACCAGCGCCGTGCAGCTTGTCAACAACGGCCTTGGGGGGGAACACCGACGGCGGAGACAAAGAGGCTGGCGCCTTCCTGGATGACGATATCGACGAGCTCGTTGAGCTTACCCTTGGTGTAGTCGTAGCTGGGAAGGAAAAATCGTAAGTTAGTGGATACCACCGGTGTCACATGGGATGAGAACTCACTTGGTCTTGCGAGCGCTGCCGCCGACCTGGGGGAGCAGCAGGTCAACACCGAAAGGAGCGTTCTTGTCGTTCAGGTAGCTCTTCAGCTCAGCGACCTGCTCCTTAAGCATCTCGGGGGTGTAGCCAACACCACCGATGACACCCAGACCACCGGCGTTGGTGACAGCAGCAGCCAGCTTGGGACCGGCGGCCACGTTCATGCCTGCCAGCAGAACGGGGTGGTTGATCTTGAGCAGATCGGTGATGGGAGTGCGGATGACCTCTGAGGCAGAGACATGGTTAGCAAGAAGATCTGATATTAGAGATAAGACGGTGAAGCATACGAGGAGAAGCCATGATGGATGTGATGTGTTTTGGAAGTGAAAACTGGAAGAGCGAAGAATCCGGGGAAAGCGGACACCTATAAGAAGCAGTCAGCCGAGGCGCTTTCACAGATGATGGCATGAGCCTCGGCCCAAATTGAGGAGGGGGCTGACACCTAACTCCAAAGGCACCAAGGCAGTAAGGCAACAAGGCATTCAGGCAGAACTTTCGGGGAAGCACCGGGTCTCCTCACGTGCATCTGGCCCCTTCCTCCGTAATGGCAACACTAAACTAGGGTCCTCCTAATTGAATCACCGCAAGGATGGGCTCAGGGGCACTGTACCGAGGATCTGGCCATTGTCTATCAGCATGCACTTGTGCTCGCGAGATTCTCTCCTCACCACAGCCATTGAGATCGGTTAGACGGTTACCGTTACAGCCGGGGACTCCGCATTCGACGCGGCATTGCGCTCGGTCTTTTCACGGGTATTGGGCTAGAAGGCAGGTCGCTGATTATTGATCGCCGAGGAATATTCCCAAGAATTGTTTCTAACATATAGTTATAGTATTACTTCTTCTGCGCGTTCGAGTAGGTTGCCTCCGCAATTCCCAATTCCACCGTTTCAATTTCCATGTTGCCGCAATGGCGTTATCTATCATTTATCTGTATCGCCCCAGAAAAAAAAAAATTGCGGGACGCCATGCATTTTTTTACATCCCTTGTTCCACTGCACATCTGCTACCTTCGATTCAAAACTAAGCCTAGCTAGATCAATTTCCTATGCGCGACCCGACAGTCTTGTCCTTGCGCAGTGAAGATGTCCGCCCGAAGCGTATGACCCCGCTATCGTACTTGAAGGCTTACGCGCGGAGATTTTCTTGCGGGCAAGAGCCGCGTCTAAGTGCCAAGATGAGTGTGCAAGATGGCCTGCAGACTCATCGGGCCTTCATTGCCCTCGGTAGTAATGTTGGAGACCGAGTGGAAATGATTGAAAAGGCTTGTCTTGAGTTGGACCGAGCTGGTATCACTGTCAAACGGACGAGTTCTCTTTTCGAGACAACCCCGATGTATGTCCTTGATCAAGGTACATTCATTAATGGAGTTTGTGAGGTATTACTCCCCCGCAGAGAACCAAATCTTTTTTTCTTTTTTCTTTGCCTCTCTTCTCCATACTTTGACTAAAACTAACTGCTTCAAGGTTGAAACAACCCTCGCACCCATGGACCTGTTGGACGCCCTTCAGTCAATTGAGAATGAACTCGGCAGAATGAAATTGATTGACAAGGGCCCGCGCTCTATTGATCTCGACATTCTACTGTATGATCAAGAAATATTCTCCCACGAGCGCCTGAACGTTCCGCATAATTTAATGCTAGAGCGTGATTTCGTGCTCCGCCCTCTCTGCCAGTAGGTCATGATCTGACACATACTACAATCTCGAACCTATCCAGCTAATACAACCAGACTCATCCCTCATGAACGACCACCTCAATCTGGCAAGAACTCCAAAACATACATAGATCATCTCAAATCTCTGCCACCCCCAGAGCCAACACCATACTCAACAACGCCAATTTCTCCCCAATTCCCCGCCATCCACGCAACAGACGCTAAACGCAATACGCACGTCATGGCTATTATGAATCTAACCCCAGACTCATTTTCCGACGGCGGAAAACACGCCCCATCAGACATGACCTACATCACTGAAACTGTCCGCAACTTCATTGCCCACGGAGCCACTATCATCGACATTGGCGGCGAGAGCACACGACCAGGATCAACGCCCGTAGGCGCAGAGGAAGAAATCTCCCGCGTCGTCTCCGCAATTAAACACATCCGCACATCTATCCCCGAAGCCGCCAATATCGCCATCAGCATCGACACCTACCGCGCAAGGGTGGCCGAAGCCGCCTGTGCTGCTGGCGCGGATATTATCAACGACGTTTCGGCCGGTACCCTTGATCCCGAGATGCTACCTACCGCAGCCCGTATCGGCAAGTCCATCATCTTGATGCACATGCGTGGTACCCCGCAAACAATGACCAAGTTAACCGACTACCCCGACGGAGTCATCCCCAGCGTTGCGGCCGAGCTGCGTCAACGCATCGAAGCTGCCGAGGAAGCTGGGATTCGCCGCTGGCGCATTATTCTTGACCCAGGTCTGGGCTTCGCAAAGAATCAGCCGGAGGATTTGGAGATTCTACGTGAGTTGTCTCGGCTGCGGGAGGCGGAGGGACTTGACTGCTTCCCTTGGTTGATGGGTCCCAGTCGGAAACGATTTATTGGCCACATCACTGGCGTGAAGACCCCGCGTGAGCGAGTTTGGGGTACTGCAGCAACTGTGTCGGCTAGTGTGGCCGGTGGCGCTGATATTGTTCGTGTGCATGATGTGCATGAGATGTGGCAGGTGACTAAAGTGGCGGATGCGATATACCGTGTATAACAAGGCAGGCAGGTCCTCTTGGTTGGCGGACTGATGATTTTCTTTTTTGAGTTCAACATTGCATAGGGCGGACTGAGAATGCTCTCTTCATTCATCATGGAGCTCAGCTGGTCCAACTCGGCGTACAAAATATTTGATGTTTTCAACTTCTTTTGCATATCAACAAGCTATTTATGTATTCTTCCAGCATATATTCGCGCTGATAAGTACTATATTTATGACGGATCTCGGGAGGTATCTATATAATCCGAGCTTTCCTGAGAATGAACAAAAGCAATACCGCGACAAGGAGTTCGAATCCCAAAATTCCACACCACCACGCCACATTCTTTACATCCTGACCAGGCACCTCGACGTTCATACCAAAAGAAGTCGTCGTGACCTGCATGAGTACAACGATTGATCCAATCGCAGTGAGACGGCTGAGGGTTTCTGCAATTTGATTGCGCATACGAGTAGAATCAAACGCGATTCTGCTCATAAACTTCGTTTGGGATCGCGATAGCATCTGCTCTGCGTTGGTCAAGTGGGACATCATGGTCAAGACATGGTCCTGGATATCGCTCAAGTATGAAGCGACATCGGAAGGCGAAGCACCCAGACTACTGCAGTGACGGGCGAAGCACCTCACGACGTCCGTTTTATCGTTGAGCAGGTGACGGATGTGGGTGACCTCTTTGCGATATTTGTGGATGTTCTGCAAAGCAAGGCCGATGTCGTCGGGCTGGGTTATATCCAGTGTGTCTTCGGTTACTTCCACGCTTGTCGTGACTCGGTCTATGAGGGGTGCGAATCCATCCACGATATCATCACTTCGGAGAGAAAGTTAGCTCATGAGGCCCGACAAAGGTAAGGTAATCATTTGAATATTGCAGACGGTGGGTGGGTGAGGTGGGTGCGTACATAAGAGCGTAGCAAATCCAATCACTAGTCAACGACAAATGACTCTGGTGTTCCTTGATGCGGTTCCAGACATGCGCAGGGTGGGGGGTATCATCAAAAGTAAAGCTCAAAATGCTATCGTGAAACACGACGCCGTAAAAATTATCCGAGTCGTCCAGATCTCCCGCAACAGCGTCCGGCTCGAGAGGAAGCCGCAAGGAGACGAAATAATAAGGACCAAAGAGCTCAATCTTCTCTCGGACTTCGCGCATTTTTATATCCTCTGTCGTGAGGGGGTGAATATCCAATAAACGTGACAGCACCTCGATATCCTCATTAGACGGTGATGTCACATGAAGCCACCAAAGCCCGATGTGCACGCCCGTTTCCATGAGATGATTAAAGGGGTCACATAATGACTGTAACGATGAAAGATTGTCGGCATGGACGACGCAATGAAGCCGAGTGCTGAAGAAGCTATATCGTCTATCTCCCTGGGCAGAATCTTGGTTATGGGGCTTTTCGTTGGCGGCACTATCTTCATTATTGGTGGCAAGGATGGACCGTCGCAAGCGGAAATCATCCATCAGCCCCATTTTGCAAGTGAGAGTCGAGAATCAAGCTAGATTGGCCCATATGGAATAGGAGTGATGTTTGAGAAATAATAGTAGGACGACGGGCCCAGGAGGTTGCAATGGCATGCAATATGACGACTAATACGGTGGTGAAAAATTGCGGTCTAATGCGGCGGTTCAAAAGTCTCGGCATTGTGGCGGAGCCCGCGGAGACGGGGAGTATATCTACCCCCTTACTTTAGCCCCCGCGTCACAAGCACCCATGGTTGAGCGAATTATGCAGTCAATCAGATGGCATTCTGTTCATCTACAATTCACCGTCAGTTCTAAGTTATCTATGGAGAAATTCTAGTTAATGAGGACGGAATAGCCTGCTTTACACGGTTGGTGCCTCAGGCTTCATACTGAAATGGGTTGCATCATGCCAAGAAACTGCTTATTGTATGCAGTTGAATGCTCATTTATAGTATGTTCAAGTATAGATTGAGGACTTCAGGCCAGATTTATGAGGTAAATACTAACCAAACGTCGTCGTAGACAGGATTCGTCCGGATCTTGACGAGCATAGATAGTGAGAAGATGTTCAGCCTCAATACGAGTACGAGGCCACAGATGGTGAATATACATTGTGCAACAGATGATGACCTTAGTTAGCTAGTACCAACTTTTGAATGCTACCTTTGACGAAAGACTTTCTACTGGCATGCCCTAAAGTACCTATGCATTTGCAAAGGGATAAAGACAGGGCTAATGTCATGAGATATTCCTGATGCTCGATATTGATTCTCGTAGCAACCCATAGTACAATTTTATATCTTCCGACCTCCCTCATCATTGGCCGCTTTCAAGTTTCGTTCCAAAAATCGAGTAGAACAATCAGCATTCTTATAAATCTCCGTTATATCTCAACGCCAAAATATCGGTTGGAAAATTTCCCTACGTAATTACTGTCCGTTTTCTAACACTATCATTTCCAGCAGCGGCCTCCATTTCGAGATGCGGCCCGCAGATACAGCTGGTTACACCTTTCTTTCTTTCTTCTATCGCAACAACTTGAACTTCTAGTACTACTCAACCTCTTGCTGTGTACCATACTACCCACTGGCAGATATATTCCACAGCAGCTATCCCATCTCCAGATATCCAGCACACCCTTTTACGCTTTTACACCACTACCTTCAACCTTGGAAGTCCGATCAGTCGATCAGCACCTATCCAAATGATGTTGGAAGAATTGTTCACGGGCCATGAATCTTTTTGGCATAGAAGATTCCACGCTGCAAAACACTACGGCCAGCGAGGTACTGATTAACATGACTATATCGCACATCTTCGGTACAGTAACACACGTCCTTTTATTTGTAAAGACTACGGCCGAGATATCTTGGTTAAAATCATTATCGCCGATTACAAGCTTCGTATGAACGCCCAGCAGCAGGAAAGGATCAAAAGGAAAATTGGCAGTGCCTGCACGTCTGGCGACTCCAACAAGAATCTGGTCAAAGATTTGCATAGTCAACTTTACAATGTTCGACTTGAGTGGAACGAAGTGTCATACAAACTCTACGAAGCAGAATCCATGCTTGATGCATACCCATCGAAGCATAACTACGAATATTTGCACAAGAACCCCAGATGGTACATGCGCAAAGAGCTGATTACAGATTGTGTGGGTCGAAAAGGATGTTGCAGTCGTGGCTGTGGCTGTTGTGCGCTCCGTGCTACGAATTCTTATGAGAGAGGCACAGGCCATTGCAAAGTGGAATGCTCATGCTGCGTTAGCCATCGAGGCTCTGAACCGACTAGAATTGAAAAGGCGGAGATATTCAGCGGAATGAGAAGTCGGCTTGAGAATAAAAATGCAGCCTACCTTCTGAATATGGCGAACGCTTACTTCTCGAAGCCTTAAGCTTGGTGAACAGGCCTTTTCAAGGGCTATAATTACAAAATCTATTGGTAGGGCTTGCTAGAGAAGCTAATGGCTCCACTGGACTACTCATGCAAGTTTGGAAATAGCAACGAGGTAGTACCTACTAGTAGGTATTCATTTAGCTGAAAAAAAAAGTACTAGTATTAGTCTCAATTTTCTATTCTGATACATGCACTTCCCATGGTGTCACTTCAAGTTGTTCCAAATCAAAAAGGGGTGCAAAGCTTATCCGTTTATTTTGCGACTGGTTCGAAATCATACTAAGAAAAAGACATAGGAAGTGACAAAGGGAATAAGGTCTTGCATTCATCCGTGTGGTATGGCGAAAACATGACAAAGCAGGAAAACAAATAGTAAATAAGGTTCTTGAGCATCCACCCATCATCCGAGCAGAGGATCTCCAATAACTAAATATCCGTGACGGTGGTCTTTTTAGGCGAATGAACAAGAAGGGGACCGTGGTTGATAACGAGGTGTTGGAGGGCCAAAAGTATACGTCACACATCACAAGAAGGGGGGATCAATAGTAGGCTTGCTAAGTAGGTATTTGATATGACAATAATATGTAGTCATGGCATTTAGTTGTTCAGGTAGTTGCGAATGGCACCTATGCTCAGCACGGTCAGCGCCCAAACGTTCCGAATACTTTGTATATACTGGAAAAACTAGAAAAAAAAACTAGAAAAACTGACCTTGAAGCTTGGTAGCCCCCTCGCCGACAATGTGAGACAAGTTCTCGAGGTCGTCTCCAGCAGTGATTCCGAAGCGACGGACAAAGTCCTTGGCCGCATTTTCGAGATCGCCATAACCGTCATCCATCGCAGGGAGCTCATCCTCGGGCCGGCCGAAGTAGGCATTGCTAGAGATCGACGTCGCACCGCCGAAGTCTTGCAGTCGCTGCTTAGCCTCAGCCTGAGCGTTGGGATCGAAGCGCTCGCGACCGAAGTATTCATCAGACGAGATACCCTTCTGGGTGCCGAAGCGCGACCGGGACTCAGCAAGCTCCTCCTCTGTGAAAATATTAGCTGCTGACTGGGAGGGCTGGGATGGGAATCTTATACCATTCATAGGAGACTTGGCAGCGCCAACGGCACCAAAGCCAAGCTTCTTGGGAGCCGCGGGCTTTGACACTTGGCCAAATCCAAGTCTGTTCATACCCATACCAAGGCGCTCGACGTCACTAGAGTTGCGCTCGTGGGTCTTGCTTTGGCTTGGGCTGATAGGGGCGGGAGAAGCAATGGGAGCGGCCGCAGTGGCGGCTCTGGCCTTCGCATCGGCCTCAGCCTGCTCAGCTTCGGGGTCGTAACCAAGCTTCTCGATACGGTCGGCTTCCTCTTTGGCCTTACGCTCCGCCTCGTCGAAATCAATGTCACTAGCGACCACCTTTTTCGCTCCCAGCTTGGGTGCCTTCTTGGCTCCCAGAACGCCACCCTTCTTAGCACCGCTGGTCGTAGAAATCTTTCGAGTAGAGGAGGAAGGGCGAATGGCAGTCGGGGCAGGAGAGGAAGCCTTCTCCTCAGACGCGGATAGTGGAGATTTTGAGCGAGATCCGTTTGCGCCGGCGTTCAGGAAAGGGGATCCGGTTCGGCTCACGACAGGTGGCGTTCCAGTGCGGGATGGAGGGTTGCTGGGGCGTTTGATGGAGGGCTTGTCCCAAGAAGAGAAGAAATCGTCATCTGCCTCAGCAGGAGTGTTCGAGCCGTCGGATGGAGTGCCAGCGGGCAAGTCGGTAATGACCACCTCCCCACTGGGAAACCTAGATCAACAATAACCATCAACACCAATATTCGAGGTTGTCCAATGTTCGTTCAAGCGGGTATACTGACTGTTGCGCATCCGCCGCAGCACGTCTCTTGAGCTCCTCCTTATATTTGACAGCCGCATTGGAGGTATACTTGACCTTGGGATCCTTGCTCGCCAGCGCCGCAGATCCACCGTGCGACTGGAAGTATTTGGTCGCCGACTCATTTCCGCCCACCTTCATCACTCGCAGCTGTTCCCATTGCCATTCTGAATCGCATGTGTTAGTCAATTTCGGGCGCGAGGCGCTAATGGGTCGAAGGGGGCGAAGATCACAAAATACATACGGTCGAGGTTGGTCGAACGAACAAAGGAGATGTGGACACCGAGGTTGCGATGGTGAGCCGAGCAGTCGAGACACAGATAGATACCGAGTGGGACTGATGACCAGGTGGGATTCTTAGAGTTGCAGTCGAAGCAGACCTACTCGCCAGGATCATATTAGTGACCAATGCTCTGAATAACACGAGGGCCGCACCGGGGATGGCGGGGTGGTGTGCGCACCTTGTTTGCGGGTTTCAGCTTCAGCTTCTCAAAGATCTTTTGAGACTGCGCCTTGGAGGCACTCATGGTGAACTGGAGGGGGAGGGGAAAAGATGTCCAGCAGTGTTAAAAAAGAAGCCGAGACTTGGGGAGGAATGGGCGAAGGACGAACGTGGTCGGAGTTGGATTGGACTGGACAGGACTCTGTGCCTGGGTGTATTTTGCAATCTGGCGGTGGCGCCGAATGCGTGTGGAGTGGCCAGTGACTACCAGTGATTACCATTGACTATAGGAATTACGCCACCCGCCTTGCAAAATTACCGTATTGTAACTTTCACAAGCACGTGAGCCCTCGCTATCGGCCGTTATCGACTCTGCGGCATTTGGGACTGCGCCGCATCATGGGCATGACGGCCTTGCTTTTGCTTTTGAACGCACGTCCAGCATGAATCCTCAATATTTGCGTGCTCTCCCGAGAGCCTCCGTCGAAATCTCCACTGCTCTGCGCTCCTCATCCCGTATCCCGTACGAAATCACACGACTCTATGCCACCCAGAGCGATCTAGGCTCCGGGCCTCGAAAGAGGAGGAACATCACGGTGCTGTCGGACGATGGAAGATACGAGTGGGGCGAGTTGAGTGGTAGGGAAAAGGTGTCGCGTGCGACTCAACAGTCCGTAAACTTTATGGTTGTGATTGCTGGCGCAGTTCTCACTGGTGGTGTTTTCTACCTTTTTTGGACCGAGATTGTTTCGCCAAATAGCCGAACCTGGCAATTTGAGAAGGCTGTGGATCGCATCAAGGAAGACTCTCGGTGCACAAAGCTCCTTGGAGATCGGAGAGAGATCAGGGCATTTGGCGAGAATACATCGAGCCGATGGCAACGAAACAGACCTATTGCGTAAGTCGCATGAACTCCACTTATACACGTTGAACCTCTGTCGCTGATAAGTTGGCACAGCACCACCGAGGAGAAGGATCGACTAGGACGTGAGCATCTTCGTATGAACTTCCATGTAAGAGACTAACCTCCAGCTCCCATTATGAGACTATCTTTTCCTGACTATACTCTTCAGGTGGAAGGACCCCTCAACTCTGGCGTTGTCGTCGTACACATGATCAAGCACCTGGACAAAACTGAGTGGGAATACCAACTCCTTGCTCTGGATGTCAAGGGACACTCACGCATTGTTTTGGAGAAGGCGTCGGAGCGACCCAGTGTGGCCAGCTCTCTAAAACTCTTTGGTATCCAATGGCGCTGAGCTATACATACTACTGAATATCCTCAACTTTGTGTTTCTCATTCCATCTGAATGATCGGATGGCTTGGCGCTAAAATTGGACGATAACGGGGGAGATGCCCCTCATCCAGCGCCTGTCATTGCAGCGGTGCTCTCTGTACTTTTATGGCTGAGTCCTGGGCCCCCTTCTCAGACGATGACTCTAGCCTCATTGATGTATTATATTCTACACCACAGCCATGGTGCAGTTTGCCAAATAAGGCGAACAAATGAAATACCCTACCAGAACCAAAAGACTGAAACTGAATATTTTATAATATAAACATTGACATGAATACACGTAAGGATATTAGGAAAAGTTATTTTAATCTATACCACCCGAGGTCCCTCCAGAATGTCCTTCGCCTCCTCTGACCGCCACCAACTCTTACCCTCCTCACCAGGGAACGCAAAAGCATCCATGCTGTCAGCCTTCATCTCGACACTGTAGCCCGGCTCCAGAGGAGTGACATAGTAACCGTTCTTGACGCTGGAGGGGTGCACGAAGTGCTCGTGCAGGTGATCAACATATTCCAGGACACTCTTCTTGCCGCTAACGACGACGTAATCAATTGTGCTCAGGTGCTGAGTGTATTCAGGGAGACCAACGCCACCAGAGTGAGGCACAATGGGGACACCGAACTTGCGAGCCAGCAGGAGAATTGCCAGCACTTCGTTGACACCACCAACACGGCAAGCATCAGCCTGCAGGACGGTGAGAGCACCGGCTTGCAGAAGTTGCTTGAAGATGACGCGGTTCTGGCACATCTCTCCGGTAGCAACACCGATGGTGCCGTGAGGGGTGTTCTCGAGAGCCTTTTTGATAGCGGCGTGGCCGAGGATGTCGTCGGGAGAGGTAGGCTCTTCAATGAACCAGGGCTTGAACTCAGCCAGCTCCTGCATCCAAGTGATAGCCTCGGGGACAGACCAAACCTGTTCAGACGCAATTAGCTTCCATACTATAATATGTGAGTTGATAGACTATACGAGAGACATACCTGGTTAGCATCAACCATGAGGATGTTACCACGGTCGTAACCAATAGCCTCACGAGCGATACGCAATCGCTTCTTATCATCCTCCAAGCTACCACCAACCTTCAGCTTGAAATGCTTGTAGCCTTGAGCAACACTCTGGTCCAACAGGCTCTTCAGCTTCTCCTCACCATATCCCAACCAGCCAGCACTGGTAGTGTAAGCAGGTACAGCTTGGCTAGCCTCAGCTTCACGGATACGGTCCTGCTTTCCGCCCTCAACTTCCTTCAGTAGAGCAATGGCCTCTTCGGGGGTGATAGCATCAGTGATGTATCGGAAGTCAATGCAACGCACGAACTCCTCGGGGCTCATATCCGCAACAATACGCCAGACAGGCTTGCCGAGGGTCTTGGCCCACAGATCCCAGAGGGCATTGATAACAGCTCCAAGGGCCAGGTGGATCACACCCTTCTCGGGGCCGATCCAGCGCAACTGGCTGTCGGAAACCAGGTAGCGCCATGTCTTGCCCCAGTCAGCGGTAAGCTCATCTAGATCCTTGCCAACGACGAGCGGGGTAACAAGGGAGATGGCGGCGCAGACGATCTCGTTTCCACGGCCAATGGTGAATGTCTATTCAACGAGGGTGAGTTAGCTAGTGTCTTTGCGGGGTTGCTCCGATGAAACCGAAACCGAGTTGTGGGGTCTTGAACTGGAAGGTCAAGGTCGTACCATGCCGTGTCCGCTGAAGTCAGAGTCTGTGTTGATGATACAGTAGGCGGCAGAGTAGTCACCAGCTGCGTTCATGGCATCAGAGCCAGTCTTGTCGAGGGAAGTCTGTACACCATCGTTAGACAAAGTCCGACAACATAGAGCAGTAGTTTGCGCGGAGAACTTGAACTTACGGGAAACCGCACATCCCGTGTGGTGAAACCAGTGATCTTGACCATTGTGACTAAGATTCGGCGATTGCAATAGTTGGATTGGGTTCAATTGCGCGCAGCAGTGCTTTGCTGTGCAATGACAATGCAGGGGAATGAACGTAGATATGCGGGGAGTGTTTCCGGGGCAAGATCTACTGCGGAATTGAAGCAGAAAATGTGTTAAAGAAACGACGGGGGGGTATATGGAAAATATGGAAAAAATGAAAATAATGAAAAGTGAGCCGGGAGAAATTTGCGACTCGTGGCCTGTATATAGAGGCCTGTCACCCCCCCCACGCGCGACGATAATTCCCCTCCTCACCCCTCGTTCTGCCCCAGTGGCCTCCATTTTCATGGGGGTTTAGTCCAATCGAAGCGTTTGGTTGATGGAGAATCTTTTTCCACCAATCACAATCCCGGGTGGGAACTCGGGGTAACTCCGGACGCGGGGATCGGATATACTATTTCCATTAATTACGAGTATGCCATCGGAGATCCATTGGCAGAACCTGGAGGGCTAGGTAGTAGTATACTAGTAGTACCTACTAGGGAGTGCAGCTAGACACTATGGGCATTGCATCTAAATATAAGGCTGACGGAACCTTAACTTCATGGATATTGATCGATGTACATACAAACTCCATCGTAATTAATTGCAAGGAAAGGTAGATCATTCCTACCGATATAATCTGCTTGAAAAATGCTTTATGGGAATATGGAATATCAACGCCTCTTCTAATTTGGCCCCAAAGTCCTGTAGAGCAGCCCTTAAGCCGACAAGCCGCGCTTCTCGCTCTCCGAGAAGAAGATAATCATACGCCAAAGTTTGCGCACAAGTACCTCGGCCTCCTCGTCCAATGCCTAAGAAATCACTGTTAGCAATGCCACATCTCGACGGTTCTTAAATAGAAGGGATGGTCTCACCTCTTCCAATTGCTCCACGAGCTCCTGGGGGAGATCCGCGTTGCCGGATGTGCTCCTCCACAACATCCACAAGCATTTGCTCCTGCACACCAAGATATTCGACGATCTTCTTCTCGACGAAAGGCTTGATCTGGTCGCTTATGACGGCGTTGTCCACGAATTCCCACTTCACATCCCACTTCCAGAGGCCTTCCTTGTTGGCCGGAATCTCTGCGGCAAGTTGGCGCGCAGCCTGGGCTCGTTCCTCGTCCGACAGACCAGCAGCCTCGGCAGCGGAATCGAACTTGATGGGGATAAGAGGACGGCGGACAGTGCTGGCGGGCTCTTCCTCGTCCTCCAGCAAGCCCTCGACTTCGGCAACTGTTCTACGGTTGGTCGCGGCCTGGGCCTTCTGTGCAGCAGCACCAAGAGACAGCTTGAAGCGTTGGGGCTCTTCGCGGGGGGGCTGGAGCGCGGGCCTCGAGCTCCTGCGACTGGCGTGCGAGGAAGTCGTCGGCGGCTCCACGGGCCTGCTCTTGTTGCTGAGCCGAACGAGCAAGTTCGCGCTCCTCCGCGGCTCGATCAGCTTCATCGATGCTAATCTCACGGGCACGGAAAGCAGCCCGACTACGGAGCCACGCGCCGCGATCTGCGTAATATTCAGTAACCTTGCGGCTGGCCTCCGTATCATCATTCCACTCCTTAAGCCTCTCATCAGCCTCGTCGTGGAGAGCCTGGAGCTTGCCGTCTTCCTCCTTGTCTCGCTTCTTTTCACGTTCCAAAGCGGCTGTACGACTGCGCTCCCGATTGAGCCAGCGGCGTTCCTGGTCGAGGAATTGCTTCTCTTGCTCTGCCTTGCGCTTATCTTGACGACGACGCTCAAGCTCCTCGTCGCTGGCATCGGAGTCCTCGTCCTCTCGGTAATTATAGGCTCCGCCTCCGTTCATGCCGCCATTGACAAACGACACGCCCTTCTGATAATCCTTGGGGATCTGCACGCCGAATCCCTTCGGGGCTGCTGGGGCGTTGGGCATACCGCGCTCACGTGCACCCAGAGGAATACCATTTGCGCCACCAGCAGGACCACTAGGAGCCGAGGCTGGAGGAGAGGTGAGACGATTGTACCGCGAGCCCGAGTTTCGGGCACGCTCCATTGCCTCAATTTCTTCCTCGCGCTTCAACCGCTCGATATCCCGGCGGTTGCTTCGCTCACGGAAAGCCGCAATCTCCTTGGCCACATTTTCGCGCATCTCAGGAGGGATATCAGCCAATTCATCTTCCGCAGTGATGGGAATGGTGACGACCTCGCCATCCTTATGACCGTCGGCGTCTTTCATTTCGCTGTCGCCTTCTTTGTCCAGAGTCGAGATGTCTTCCTTTTGAATTGGGGTTGCCGGACTAAAGAGACCGGACAAGACGTTCTTCAGGTCGCTACGGGCAGTATCAAGGCGTTTCTGGAGTTCTTGGGGATCCCGCTCACCACGGCTAGCAACGAACTGCTCTAGATATGTCATAGTACTCTCATCAACAACAACCTAGCAAACAGGGTTAGCAATGCCTTAGAACGACGGGATAGAGGCCCGTATACATACCAAAAGGGTGCTCTTTTCGACTTCCTTCTCTTCCTTGTCATCACCAGTGCTAGGGCCCTGGCGCTTCACAGGTACCTCGATGTCCTTCAACACCTCCACAGCAATCTCCAGGCTATCAGGATCTTCGAATTCGGCGAAACCAAACCGACAGGGCTTTTCATCGGCATCTGTGGCACGGATCCAACGGCGTAACTTACCCGCCGATTGAAGGATTCGCTCGATACCATCATCACCACCGACACCCTCCGTAATGCCCCCAACGAACAATGTGCGCACAATTTCATCCCGGGTCGGCGGCTGGAGCTGCATCATCGAGTCGCGGCCGTGGTGGCGCGGGTTGTCATTACTTGTCGATCCGAGACCTGCGCGTCGGCCTGGACCCTCAGGTCCTCGTTCACGGCCGCTCTCTGGCGCTGTAGGCTTTGCGGGACCCGAGGTACCTAAACGAATGACTGGTGCAGAGAAGTTGATGTTCGGCATGTTCGGGGGCGGTTGGAAATTAGCCGGGAAGCCTCCGGGGCGACCGGGTTGTTGGGCGTTTGCTGGTTGCATACCCGGAGGGGCACCAGTACCGGGCGCGGCCATGCCTGGAGGTGGTGCTAGAGCCAGTCAGCGTTGAAGCGTTTGCGCGTGAGGTGGTCTTTTCGAAACGAAACTTACCCATTCCCGGGGGTGCAGCAGGGTATGCGCCATACTCGGGGGCTCGGCCGTATAGACCAGGAGCTAAGAATCAAGTCAGCTTCGAAGAACCCAAGCGATTGCAGGGCCTGCGAGATTGAGGTTGATGAGAAGAGGCACTCACGTTGTTGGTAGGGATTGTACATGTTGCCGGCGCTTAAGCCAGGGTGGCACGAGTTTTGTTCTTTTCTTTCGAAGTGACCTGCTGGATCGCAATTCACTCAGGCGTCAGAATAAGGTGGATTTTCTACCTGTACCCTGCAGAGATTCCAAGTCGCGATGCTCAGCTTCAGGCGCGTTGCGAGCAAAGAAAGTTGGAAGGTTGCGGGTTTAAAGACGGCCCGTGCGGTCACTTCTTGGCGCGGGTTCAACGGAGCCGCCTTCTCCAGCATCAAACTAAGACTTGTACTACATCTCAACTTTCAACCATGGGCTCTTTCAGAGATTTATACAAGAACGATGTTGATTTTGCTGCATTGTCCTTGCAATCCAAGGAGTTTGCCCAATAGTACGTATTGAGTAATCCTTGGGCCCTTGTCCCAAGAGATCGGACGCAATCTGATGCAACCTCATCCCCCAGCTTGAAACCAAATGGCCAACTGGACTTCAATGATTCCGATGCAGTGAGGTAATATTATGTTCTCGTGTGATGTACGCCTTATACGGTCTGTTCTAACTACAACCTTATCGGAATTTAGGCAATTGACGATCAGCCTGCTCAAGCAGGACTTCGGACTCGATGTGAAGTTGCCAGAGGATCGACTCTGTCCACCGGTACGTATAGTGTGCATGAAATTCTGAGGAATTCAGCCAACAAAGAATATCTGCAGGTCCCAAACAGGTATAATTAGTCTCGTCCCCGCAGACGAACATGGTCTAAATGCTCCAGGTTGAATTACATACTCTGGTTACACGATATTGTCGAATCGACGTCAAAGACATCGAATATCGGAAATGACACCGAAGGGAAAGTCATAGGTCTTGACATGTATGTTCGATACCTGAATCAGAAGCCGCAACTCGAACTCAGCTTATCATCTCAAGTGGGACGGGATGTTGCAGCATCTACCCATTGCTCGGATGCAAAACCAGACCTTCCTGGAAGTTTGTCGCTACCGGTACTATGTCTTCATTCTCTGGTATCTGTGTCAGTGCTAAAACTTTCTCTCTCTCTATCTTTCAGACATTGATGAGAATAATACACGAACTGCACAGGAGAATGTGAAAACGAACCAGCTCGAATCTCGCATTCGAGTCATCAAGACGGACCCCAAGGATGTCCTTTTTCCATTGGATAAGATCGAGCAAAAGAGGTATGACTATCTTAAACCGACTCTAACACCAACGTCTAACAGGAGAAAAGCCTTGATTTCACAATGTGCAACCCCCCCATTCTACACATCACGCGAAGAAATGGCCCAATCATCAGAAAGTAAATCACAGCAACCCTCATCAGTCTGCACAGGCGCCGATGTGGAAATGGTCACTAAGGGCGGAGAAGTCGCATTTGTCACAAAAATGATCGATGAAAGTCTCAATCTTCGAGATCGCATCCAATGGTACACTTCCATGCTTGGAAAACTGAGTAGTGTTACCGTTCTTGTCGAAGCGCTCATCAAACATGGTAATCACAACTATGCTGTGACGGAATTCGTGCAAGGGAGTAAAACGAAACGTTGGGCTTTGGCCTGGTCTTGGGGAGATCGTCGTCCTTCCATGGTATGTCGTCCACCTCTGAATTGTTGATTTTATATCACGGGTCCTCGCTTCTAACACACTTTGCAGAGTGTTGCTAGGGGGGATTCCTGGATTCCCTAAACATCTACTTCCCTTCCCTGCCGAATACAACTTCACCCTCCCAAGTGAAATCTCTATTGACGATGCGACAACATCGATGGACAAAGAGTTAGAGTCGCTTCGTTGGTTCTGGGAATGGGATCAAACTCGCAGCGCTGGCGTGGGATTTGCAGCTGAGAATGTTTGGTCAAGACAAGCACGTCGAAAGATGAAACTGGCCGGACAGGGCGGTTCTTCCGCGAAGATTGATTCTGTTCCGGATGAGGTTGCTTTGGGCATTCGTGTCGAGGCCAAGCTTGTTCGAGGCCAGTTGGATTCTTCGAATAAGAATGAAGTACAGATTGTTATACACTGGATCCAGGGTATGGATAGTGTGTTGTTCGAAAGTTTCTGCGGGATGTTGAAGAGAAAACTGGAATCGAGCAAGCGGCAAGAATCTGAGAGATAGTTGAAAGTAGTTGAATTCTACGCTGTATCAAAATACTAAATTTCTTTGCTCCCATCTTGCTCTCATTATTGATTGATAAACCCCAAAGTTACGCAGCAGGCACGAGTAGATATGATGGACAGAGCGTATTGTTGTGGAACATAATCATTTCTAATGCTATAAATGTATTTTCAAAGTTAATTTCGCAAGCAACGGACGCACTTAGTTTCCAGTGACCTCGCCCTGCAACTCCTTCAGCCTCGTCCACCCCTCAGAGTCTTCCCAGAAGTCTTTGCCCTTGCCCATAATTCCTCTGATAGCACTCCGCGCCTTGAATCTCCAATCACGGGCAACCATCTCAGTCTCTCCATCGGCGCCCTCTTCTTGACCTTCCTTATCCATCGGTCCATACCGCGCATATCCCTCGCGCACAAGTCTCTCCGTGGCACGGACAACCTCTAACCAGGGCTTCTCATCACCCATCTGGAATGCACCTTGCGCACAAGCAGCGACAGCAGCGCGCCAAGCCTTTTCTTGGACTTCCAGTGCACGGCTGGGTCTGTTGCGGAACATCTCAACGCGGGAAACGAGCAGCCAGAGAGAAGCAGAGTGGGTGATCAGCGGGACAACGCTATCGTCAATAAGAGATAGAATTTGACCGGCAATAGTACCCGACCGAAAAACAGGGCCAGACTCAGATTGAATGTGAAGAGATTCGTAATCGAAAGCCGTGATGAGGACGTCGACCAGCATAACCAGAATCGGACCATCAATACACTTCTCGCCCTTCTTGGTACCGAGAAGTTCAATTACTTTCTTTTGCGCAGTGATGACATCGCGGAATGGTGTTGAGGGAGGCGGGATTGAGGCTGCTACTGTTAAGACATTGTCCCAGATTCGAGCGTCAGTGTTCTTGAGTTGGGCAGCGCGTTGGAGAGCGGCTAGAGCCTCGCGTTTGCGCTTGTGGGGGTCGGCTTCGAGTTTGATTTCTTCACCTGTGCTTTCGTCGATTGTGACTTCAGTTGTCGGCTCTGGTTCTGGTTGGCGCATGATCGCCGCTGCGAGGTTGCTGTAGGCCTCTCCGTCGGTATCGTCTAGTTGCACGCAACGGGTGAAGGAGGCTGCGGCATCTTCCCACTTTTGGAGTTCGAGTTGAACACATCCATAGGCAAACCAGGAGCTGTGGTTGAGGCGGTTGATCTGCAAGCTCTTGCTGTAGGCTTCTTCGGCCTTCTCGAGCGCTGGTGGTGTGAGGGCCAGGAAGTGTCGAGCCAAAGATCGTTGAGCACGAGAATATCGTTGGTTGGAGACTTCCCAAGCACGCTCATACATTTTTTCGTCCCTGTCGATATCCCCCAAAATGCAGAACAGGCGCGGCGCATCGGCAGGTAGAGGTGACCGCTCGGGGCCCTCGAAGAGCTCATTATCGTCATTCTCATCTTGGCCCTTGGCCTCGTATAGTTGACGGCGCACCATAGACTTGCCCTTCTCTTCCTGCTCGGTAGCTGCATAACAAAGGGCTGCTTCGGCCCACATATGAAGCCTCTCATAAATTTCAAGAGCAGTGCGAAGACCACCCAGCTCGACCCAGCGTTTAGCCAGCTCGGCCTCTAACTTCCATCGGGTTGAGAAGTTCATAATCCAGATATACTCGAGTCGACTGGCAGCTGGGGCAGACTCGTCCTTTTCAGGACGTGGAAGGAAGGTTGTTGGATCCGATGACGGTTGTTGGGCCGCCGAATCGTTAGTAGCTGTGTCCGCAAGGACTTGATCAACAAGTGCTTGCATTTGTAGAACAGCTCGCTCCACAGTACGGGCCCGGTAGCCTTCCACTCGGCTGCGGAGAAGCAAAGCTTCCGTATAAATTTGCCAGTTAGAGCTTCCGCCTTCCAGCACTCTGGTAGCGTATGGCTGGGGTTTCCTCCCGGGTCAATCCGTTCTCTGGGGCAGTGTTGGTGATTGCGGAGGCCATAGCGAGTAAAATGGCAGAGTCCACGGGGTTGAGAATAGGTTGGTTGTTGGGGTCAACAGATTGGAGAGCAGGAGAAAGGTCATCCTGAACAGTTCCGGACTTTTTATCGGCGAAGGAGATGGCTTCGAGGAGGGTATCATCATCAAGATCCAACTTCTTGGGACCAGAGGCATTGGTAGAATTTGGTGTCACATCAGCACTCTTTGCCAGAATCACAAGCTGGCTAGTGTCGCGCTCTTGGAACTTCGTTCGCTTTCCCATCTGTCCAGTCAGGGCGAATTCGAAATTCCGAATGTTGGATGCCTCGTCGATATCTGCTCGTGCCTTGCCATCGGATCCATGGTGAGTGTGAATAATTGCGCGCTCCAACAAATAACGACTCTGTTCTTCAGTGTTCAGACCAGCCTTGGCAAGTTGTTCAGTATCCTTGTAGATCGCATCCTGCAATGTACTTGTAACTTCGGAAAGCATCTTCTGGTGGAGGAAGTTGACGCGCATTCGCGCAGTCTTTGCTGTGATGGATCCATCGAGTTCGGCACCTGCAAGTAGTCCCTTGGCGACTGAGAAGAGCTCCGGGTTTGGCGTCAACTTGTAGGCCGCTTCTCCATCGACAGACCAGTCGCGAATGATCTTGCTTCGAACGGTGCGGATAGTAGTGATGTCGGTTCGTAGGGCAGCGGGGAAAACTAAATCGGACGAGCTGAACTCTAAAGGAGGACCGGTGACATTTGACTGCAGGAAAGCGAACAGTGCTGCCAGGCCGATATGCAGGATCTGCGATTTTGTTTGTTCCGAGGTGAGTCCGTCGGGGGACGATTGGAGAGCAGCGAGGGCTTGACCGGCGACAAATGCGGTATAGGAGATTTCGTCACTGGCAACCTTTGCAATGGCATTGCTGTCGGAGGCATCATGGCCCAGAAGCTTCTTCGCTAGCGGTAGCTCGAGAGTTGGGACAACGTTGTCGGAGGTAAGGTGGACAGGATCATATTGGTCTTTGAGGGGTGCGTCAAAGACGCTGTTCAGCGTGGAGGGGAGTGGAGACTCGCTCATGTCGAACTGCTGTTACCAAGAAGTTCGATCAAGGAAAGCTGAAATCCAGCACAACTTGAGGTCTCCGCGGGGCCTTCTCGAAAGTGCGAATGGAAACCCCGCGATCTTTTTCGATTTTTCTTTATCGATAGCGTGTGTACAGAGGTGGAAGTGCGTGGAACGAAGTGTTACCCGCACTGATTTGAAGTATAAAAGGATATTGCCACATCCATCCCACCTCAACATCTTCAGTGCAAAAACTAACGTACACAAAGATGAAAAACCTCAAAGATTGAAGCATTCACATACTATCCCTCAAGCCCTATGAAGTATTAATCTGATCCTCACTGAGTCGCCCGCGCATGGCCCTTGAGGCGTTCATTTTGTTCCGGCGTTCCTTTACGCGCCACTAGCCAAGGACCTCAAGAACTGGACTGTCAGATATACATAGAAAGGAATTGTATTCAGAGAAAGGTACAACACATGCAAATCGACAATAGCCGAAGACCTCCCGGGTATTTGTATCGTACAAATGAAATGCAATCAACGCCAACCATAACCCGCCCGAACGCTCAGGTGCAGAGAGAGATGACAAAATAGAAAGGAAAATAGATGGCTGTCTTTATTACCAGTCCTGTCCGCGATCCCGCATCAGGATCTCAATTGCTTCATCCTCTGGGACGGGGTTATCGTTCAACTCCTTGACACATTGTGTCAATCCCTCCGCCGCTTCATCCACTTTCTCCGCACTCCAACCGGTACACGCCATCACCATGCGACGATAGTTCTGGCCTAAGACGGCATTCTTTGCCTTCAGTCCATCAACTTCCGCTGTGAGTCCAGCGTTGAACCTTCCGTAGCATTTCAGTCGGTGCTCGAGCACATCTGACGATGAGATATTGGCTAGGAAGGCGATTTGCTCCTTAGAAAACCCGGATGAGGCATCAAAAGTATCCGCGAACACTTGATCAAAAGTGTCTAGATCCACTCCACAATTCATGTCTGCGTTGCCGACAACAACGATTTGTGAAGGGTCAAAGCCCCGTGTACCCTTTAACGCAGCCAACAAGCCCTCGGAAGACCGCTCCAGGTTTTTGATACGTCGGTCAAGTTCCACCCGGTCAGAAGATTTCAGTTTCAACCCGTCCAGTTGTTTCTGCTCTATCTGGCGAGCCTTAGCAGACTCGCGGATCTTAGAGTGCCAGTGATCGAATTTTTCTTGTTTTTGACTCAAGCTTGAAGCTAGATCGCGGTCGATACCTCCGAGTGCCTCCTCAACCATTGTGCTGATTTGAGACATTGCCGCTAATAATCAAAGTTAGTCATCAGTGGAAAGACCTTGAGTATTGACAACACCTTACCCTCAAGAATTTCCTTTTTTGATTTGGATAATTGGTCAATGAATGTATCCCCCTTTTGTGATTGTGAGTTTCCATCGACCATATCAACGCCAACCCCATAATCTGCAGGTCGCAACCCGGTATGATTAGGAATATGGGGATCGGCGCCAACTTCGAGAAGTTGTGGAACTAATACAGAGCGTGCACGACCTGCCAGGTTCAAAGCCGTATCACCTTGGTCATCGCGCAGGTTCACAATCTCAGAGATAAACCGCCCCAGGGAGATGACATCGTTTTCGGAAGCCCCATTTTGCACACCGTTAGTAGGCGCGATGATTCCTCCGTGTCGAACTATGAACTCCAGCAATGACTCGAGATAGTGTTTGGCAGAGACATGGCCGCCACCGCCGGTCGCCGCCATGACGGCAATGTGGTGCAGTATGGTTCGACCACTGTAATCGACCATATCGATTGTCGGTGCTAGTACTTGTAACAGACGGGGGAAACTCCGGTAATCTAAGTTATTGCGAGTTCCCACTGACTTCTGCAACGCAGTTTCACCTGCAAGGTTCACTCGAGAAACACTTGCACCTTTCGCTACCAGCGCATTTACCAGTGGCATGCGTGCAAGCATTGCGGCCCAGTGAAGGGCATTGTTTCGATATTCGTCAAGCGGAATCTCAAGATCTTCACCACTCAGCTGCATCAAGGCAGGATGATTGGAAAAGTCCTTAATGCGCTTGTCGAGGAAAAGAGTCATGATTAGTCTTTGCTTCTGGAAGCCTTCGGGATCTGAAGCAGGGGCCATAGACTCAGCACCACGCTTCTGGCCATCGTCAAGTGGCGGAGGAGGTGCAATGTCCATGTCCTGGTAGAAGGAGTCATTAGGCTCTGTCGGGGTGGGCTCGTGCATAGATAGGTTAGATGGTTCTCGATGTAAGCCAATCGACTGTAAACCATGATGCGATTCAGAGCGAACGCGTTTGCGAGGGGGGTTCAATGAAGTCATCGTTATCGTCGTGTGCCTGGTAACGATTTTGCAGACTGCTGAATCCACTATCGGACATATACATGCTCTGTTGACTGCTGAAGGCCATGCCAGACTCTTGACTGCTCATCTGCTGTGACTGTGACTGCGACTGCGACTGGGGTTGGGATTGGGATTGGGATGGTTTGCGAATCACGCTTGGGCGACGGCCATTGGTGCTTGGCGAATCGAATCGGGCTTTGCTGATCGCGTTGACAGCTGTTGCGGCGGTTCGTGAGATGTTCTGGAAAAATGTTCCTTGTTGTGGCTGGGACATGCTCCGGTTCTCCGCACCGTTATACAATCGCTTTCGTTGCGCAGCCATGGCTTGTTCTTTGGTAGGCGTATCCAGTGTTCCTTGTGAAGGGGCGCCGGTGCCGTCGGGGCCCATATCGTACTCGAGCAAGGGCCGCAGCATATCTTCGACGTTGTACTCTCGGCATAACTCCACACCCCTTTGGTAGTTGACCCATGTCCCTTGGTATTTTCCATATCCACCCTGAACCTTCTCATGCTCGCCAGCCGCAATTTCCTTTTCCAGAGTTTTTGTTCGTCGAGCTTTGGCCACACCAGCCACCTTGAGGATCTGAGTGGCATTTAGCCAGGAATCGGACCGACGCTTCATAACCGCAATTCCATTGACTTCTAGCTCATAAACAGAAACGTTGGAGTAGACCGCCTAGAGGTTCAATAGTGTCAGTTGGAAGGGAACATGGGAGGATAATATTTGATCGAAACGACGAACGCGATAGATCTGTGGCTTGTATTCTTCCTGGTAGGACACATTAGACCCATAATTATTTTGACCATCGTATCCTCCAAAGCTACCGCGCGAGACACCGTTTGACATATTGAAGGACATTTGTAAGATTTGCAGCGCTGTAGGAGTTAGGGCGACGAGCGGACGTCAGGGATTGTGAGCCTTTTGAGGGCGTTGTTGTCGTCGATTCTGTTCGTAGATGATGTACTACTCTGTGAGTAGGGTATGCTGAGCGTCTTCCAAGTCGAATCAGCATAGAACCAATATGACCAGGGTCGGAATGGTGAGTGGGGAGGCTTACCGGGTTAAACGCGAAAAGGAGGCGCGTGGTGGCTACCACCCTCTCTGAAGGGAAAGCGCAGCAGGCCTAGACAGGAACCATTTAAGATAGCCTCAAGATGCGGGAGGAACAAAGACCGGAATGTGTCAAATCGAATTGCGATCGGGGATCGGACAATGCAAGGCAGGATATCCTCAAGTCGCGGGGTTGGAAGAGGAAAGGGCGCGTTCCGTGTCACGGGTTTGCCGCCAAGGTTTTTTTCGCGTCTTCGCCGTTTTGGGCCACACTACTTTATTACTTTCTGCCTTGACCTGCTCGATGGCGTCCGTTCCAAAGTCAAGGATCACTGATATCCCGTGGCACCATCTTCTGCGTGCCTCTCTGCGCGAATGTACCTATCTACCGGACCCCGTTGCCCGGTCTTTCATGCGTGACTATGTCCTGGACCGATATCGCCGAGCGTCTGGCCACTCCAGCCGACTAGAAAGCCAAAAGCTCCAACGAGCCCGCCAGGGACTGTCAATACTACACAGAGCCAATGAGGGTTATCAGCTCCCTCTTGAAAAGGTCTTATTTCTCTCATACGGTCGTATTGGCAAGCGGAGGCAAGAAATGCTAAACGACTTCATGAAACCCCCTGTACCAAAGGATACAGCTGCGGTCAAAGCACTCATCGCGGAGCCCGCCAAATTTGAAGACGGTTGGGAGCCTCCAGCGTTAATGACGAATCTCGCCAAATCTCAGATGAGCAATGGAGTGGTTATGACGGTTCGTCGTCGGCCACGGATACAAAAACTCGAACCACCTATACCAGGAAAGAATTCCTGGGGTCGGCCAGTGCCTAAGGTGCGCCGAAAGAATATCCGCAGAAAATGGTATCAGTCGACGCTGTATTCCCCTTTCCCCCCCTTGCCAAAAAAGGAGCTTGGTATTCTAGACGGTCTGTTGTCAAGAACTATCCCCTGGGAGCCTGTGAAGCGGCGGGTACTCTCCACAACCCCTTCTCTCTCCTCCTCCACTGATAATACCATACTGGACTTTCTGGTAGAGGGACCGCAAAAGGGCCACACATTTCGTGAATATGTCCTTGGCCGGCCACACAAGTTCACACCCAGGTTCATGCAACGCCAATGGAGGCGCATTTCTGCACTGGTGCCTCGCATGTACCACATTCCCAACTCTGATAAAACATATTTCAGCTGGGATACACCAAAGCCAATGCCGGTTGTGACATCGTCCGTCGTCACGGAAGCAGACGTGGATGATATCTTTGGGGAAAAAATCGTCCCACCTCTGAAGCCCAAGCGCAACACTACCCAGGAGAGCTGAAGTGTCCACAAAACTCCTTGAACACCACTCCACCACCATTTTTCAACTCCCATGTATACTACCCATTAGCATAGCGCTTCTTTCGATGCATTTCTATCTATAATGTTTGGCTCGGGAAATGATCGGAGTACTTAGGTCAAAATAATTTACATGCATAGCGAATATCGGAGAAAAGGACTACAAACAACAAACTACTAGTATAAGTAACTATAAGAGCCATGGATAATCCGAGGGAAACGTCCCAAACGTTCACTCAGGCGTCATTCATTTCAGTAACAGGGTATAAGAATAAAGTGCCGTCAAAAATGGAAGTAATCATCATAGTTTCATCGAACAATCCAGCCAATCACCCACTCAGACTTAATCACTCGAGCTAGACGAACTAGACGAACTCGAAGAGGAGCTTGAGCCCTTGCGCTTGTGATGCTTGGACTTCTTCTCTTTCTTATGCTTCTTGTCCTTCTTTTTCTTGTGATCCTTGCTATTGCGCGGAAAAAAGAAACGAGATTAGCCACAAGACAAAGGCAAGAAGGTGAGAATAACGCAGTAACTTACTATTCATGGGTTGCCATATTCATACCAACAGCGCCGATGGCCGCTCCAGCTGCGCTACCAAGGAATCCACCTCCCAGCTTGTGGCCAGCGAAACCACCCGCGGCGCCACCAACGAGTGTCGAGCCGAGACCCTTCTCGCCTTCCGGACCGCCGGGCCCAGGCGCATTTCCATATTGCCCCTGAGGAGGTGCGTTGCCGTAGTATGAGGCACTTGCGCCTTGGGGCGGGTACTGCTGTTGATGCTGTTGCGGGGGATAGGGCGAGTGGCCACGGTCTTGCGGGGGGGCCACCATATTCTTGTTGAGGAGGATATTGGCCGTGTTGAGGTTGTTCGTTGTATTGGGGAGGATAGCCCTGCTGATTATACTGAGGGGGCTGTCCATAGCCTTGCTGTTGCTGACCGTATCCTTGTTGCTGATGCTGTTATAGAAAGTTAGTATGATGTGCAGGCTCTCAGGATTGAACGGTGCATAGTTCAGCATTATTATGCGCATTTCTCTTACCTCTGGGGGATAGTAGCCTTGAGGTGGGGGGCCGCCATATCCTTGTTGAGGAGGATAGCCCTGGCCCTGTTGGCCGTAATGATCACCACCGTACTGCTGGTTGGGCGGGCCACCGTAATGCGACATGATGGGAGAGCTGGAGAGGATGTATACGGTGAAGTGAGAGAGGATAGTATGAGGATGAAGAGAGGAAGTCAGCGCAACGGGGAAAGTAAATTAAATAAGAAGGCCCAGCCCGGATGACTGCGGGGCATCAATGAAAGCACCGCCTCGACACGGTTGAGCCAGCGCGGTTCGGTTCAGGGGCGCTTGGATCGACTTGCACAGCCTCCCAAGCCTCTCCAGCCTCAGCTCTGATCTTTGGATTACGTGGGTCTCTGGGTTATTTCGGGTCTCTGAGGAGGGCATCATTGCAGGCTACTCATCTCTTACCGTATTAGGGTATGACGTGATGTGGCTGAACTACGAGGTTGGCACGAAGTGCGAACACTTGTATTACTACAGTCTACAAGTACGAGTAGTACGGAGTACTCCGTAGTCCCTCTCTACAAACGAGGCGAAGTGGATCGAATGTCAAGATGATAGATGCCCCACAGTTGGCAGATTTGTTGGTTGATGAATGCTTGGTGACGGGAACCTGCATGCATTGGCGCATTGCAGGGATTAATCTTCGAGGAAGATACAGTGTTATTATCACAAAGACATTCCCATCCTGGGTTGATCTTGTATGTGGGATATCCAACATCAAGATGTTCATTCGTCCTTTAACCCGCTAGCAGGGTCCAATGACAAACAAGCAAACGAATACGAGCAACAAGCTTTAACTAAAACCAGGCCGAAAACCACAATGCCCCCTCAACTTTTAAATTCTACTCTCCAGACTCTATTGCTACACAAGCCCTTCCTTTCTATGATCAAACATTACATCCATTACTCAGATTAATCGAGAATGGCCGGCTCGACAAAGAGAGAAAAGGGAAAGGAGAAAGATGTCCCATCCTGCTTCACCGATACTCACGGAATTGTCACGACCACAATGAACGATCTCCCAGGCTACAAGATCAAAACAGTTCTAGGAACCATTTACGGTATCACCGTTCGGACTCGAAATTGGGGCGCAGACATAGGCGCCGTTGTTCGATCGGCTGTTGGAGGCGAGATTCGGTTCTTCACCAATCTCATGTATACCTCGAGAGAGGAGGCCATGGAACGACTGGTCGGCGAGTGCATGAGTCGCGGGGGCAATGCAATCATCGCTGTCAGATTTGATGTCGCTAGTTTTGGGGCTTGTTCGCAGATTTGTGCATATGGAACTGCTTGTCAAGTAGAAAAGATCGAGGAGTGAGATCGTCACTTATTGGAACTGCTTAGGCGGATGGAGTGTGGTGGATAACAATAAGAAACCCACGCCTCTCGATTTTTGATTGTATATTCCAATAAAATTAATCTAGGGAGCTTTTGAATCCAAGAAGAATTCTTAAAGTACAGTACAGCATTAATCCCTGCAGGCCCACGTCCGTTCCACTAGAACGAAGCAGGCGCACCCTCAAGCTTGAAGTATCCTGGCTGAAGAGTCTGGTAAACAGCCTTGGGGTCGTATTTCTTCGCAATCTTCTTCAGAAGGGCCTTATTGGTCGCACCGTAGCCGGAGATGGGATCCTGGTACATGCTGGCATAGTTCATGTAGACGAATTCGTTGAAGATGCCTTTACTCTTGGCTTCGGCGAGAACCGTCTCCCAGAAGCTGTTAACGAACGCGTAAATGGTCTCGTCGTCGGACTCGTTGGTCCACCAGCATGAAATGTGCATCAGCTGAACGGCGCCGTTTGACGCATCAAGGCCCAGTGCATTGCCACCGAAGTCGCTCATCTTCTTCAGCATGGGCTCGGTAATAGCCTGGAAAATTATCACAGGCTCAGCACCGGCGACATTCTCAACTTGAGGAATCATAGAGTAGAAAGTATCCACGACCCAGTTAGAAAACTTCTCGTCCAGCTTCACTGCAACGGGCCAATACACCTCGCGGAGGTGGAAGGGGTTCGAAGTTTCCAGGTATTCGACATATTCAACCAGAGTTTTGGAGCTGGATGTGTCGGAGATTGTAGGGATACTGCGGTATTGTTTGAAAATCTGCGGGTTGGCGACATCCTGGGTATAGGTCAACTCCGCCGAGGCAAGGTTGGTCCCATTGGTCCTGAGGAAGGCAATGTATTGCTGGGCGTGAGGGTCCACAGAGGCATTGTTGGCGACATTAATGAAAGCATTGATAGCTTGTGAGAAGTAGGTTTCGAGGAAGATTCTGGGGCCTCCATACATAGTTGGGGCAGGAATGGTATAGAGATTGTACTTGGTGACAAGGCCAAAGTTGTTGCCGCCACCACGAAGAGCCCAATAAAGATCGGAGTAGGAAGTCTCGCTGACAGTGAGAATCAAGCCACTCGCAGTAACAACCTGTAAATGTGAGAATTTTTTCGAATCAAAAACTTCAGATCAAGATTAACTCACCTCGAAGCTCTCGACGTTGTCGCAACTCCATCCGTACAAGTTAGAATGGTAGGAGATACCACCGCCCAAAACAAAGCCTCCAACTCCAATGCTGGCGGCGCGACCTCCGATTGTAGCCAGTCCATAAGGCTCAAGGGCGGAGTAGACAGACAGCCAGTTGTTTCCTGGTCCAATTGAAGCAACAGACTTGTCGTCGTTGAGAGTGACTGCGTTCATGTCCTTGAACCAGATACTGATACCGCCAGGGCTACTGGAGGCACCGGTAAAGGCCGCATGGCCACCACTCCGGGCAGCAAATTGACAGCCAGTAAGTCGACTCAGGAGAACTGCAGCGCTGACGTCTGTGTTTTTGGTAGGTCGGAAGATGCAGTGAGGCTGGACCTCTTCTTGTTGAACCGACCAAAAAGAGTCGGTGAAGTTACTGTACCCAGCGGTATTTTGCGCTGAGACTTTCGAGCCGAAGATAAAACTCAAGCTTGAGCACTAAGAGAGGAGGATCAGAATATGAAAATTTTCAATGACTTCTTTTGTTGTGAGATTCCCCTTACCGCAGCTGCACAAGCCTTATCGGTCGACCGCGCCTGGGCGCCGCTGAAGGAATCCAATGCTGGAATAGTCGATATATCGATACCCAAGTCTTCCAAAGCCGCGGTGACATTGAAATCTGATGACTCAACTGCAGTGCTGGCATAGGCGAGTGTTGCACCACTCAAGACGGATAAACCGCCAAGAACTGTCGAAATATGCATGATCCAAGATCTCGATGGCCGAGAGAAACGAGTGCAAGAAGCAAAACAAAACAAAATAGCATGCGGAGGAAGGGGGAAAATCAAAAACGAAAATCGAGAACGAGCCTCTTTAATACACTTGGCCGTAGTTAGATGATCGCGCGGGATCTACTCTAATGAACTCCGATGAGATTGGAACGGTGCCTCTCGTGTGGAGAAGCTACTTTAGCGTCACTGGCGTCGTTCTCGTGTAGAGTCAACGCGTGAGACAATGTGCACTACCCCTAAGCGAAGCGGTGCAGGCCGATCGCGTAAGCTAAGGCCATTTGATCAATCAATTGGCATGTTCGCCATTGGCTCGAGTTAATGAGTTAATTGACAAGGTTCACCATTCCGTTCCAGTTTCCCAGTAATGGATGATGAAGTCCACACTTTCCTATAAGGGTGAGCTGCTATTATTTCTTTGTTCCTGGACGCTCCGCATATCTTTATTTTGAGGATGGAGTGCAACTATTTATTCTTGTTTTTATTTCGACATACAGGATACATCCCGATCGCCTTTTCGTCCGTAGGTGGAATTTAAAGCATTTCGCTGCTGAATCGTGGTAGTACTTCACAAGGCTCCAGTTAGCTAAGAGAAATTACCGCGGAACAATACAATTGTGGCAATTCTAGCTTAAATTTGATATCCTCCGTTTGCAAGCACACCAGGAATGTATAATGCGTATAATGCCTGCGAATTGCCCCGAGAAGGGGGTTGCAGAGTTCACTATTCTTAAGCGAACCTGGGACTAAAAGCGCCACATCTAGGCCCATCGCGAAGGGGGTCCCAGGGTTGAACTTGGGTGTGGCGGGCTCCAGGGCTTGAATTATAGCTAAAAAAGCAAACAATCGCCAGCGGTACTTCTTCTTATACGGGTCCAAGCCTTGAGTTCATGCCGATGTGATAAAAGTCTGGTAACCAGAGGGCTCTGAGAATTACCCCAGCTGAGGAGGGGGGGGCATTTACTACAATTGGACGGTTACATCGGGCATGCCTGCAGGGCGGCATAAATCTCACCCCCCGCCGGCCTTGGCCATTGACCTTTCGGCCACCCGGGGCGTTGGCACGCGGCCCTGACTGGCCCGACCCGAAAGTGGGGCCTGCGCCTCTTCCTTTTGAACTCTACTATATTGGCCTTGCCGGGGATAGTATGTTACAGGATCCCTGTAGATGTAGTAGTGGCAATCCAAATCAAATCCTACAAGCCCTTTCCAAGAACTAGAGACTTGGTGCAGGACGCCCGAGACGGCCGAAACGTGCTCCTGCAAGATCTTTACGGAGACTCCGTACACAAAAGGATTCTTGACATGTGTGACGAATACCCGACAGGCATTTTAATAGACATGGATATCCACCGTTTTGCGCACCCCTGAACCAGGATTTCTTGGTGCCTCGCCTACTCGTTGATGGGTGCAACTTCCGAAGGCTTCGGTCCTGGGACCATCAAGGCGACAGGGATTGCATTGATTATACTCACTTCACTTGTGGTCCTGGTGCGATTCATTGGGTCCGTACGGCGGCCGAAGGAGCTCAAGGCAGAAGATTATCTTTTGGTTATTGGGTATATCTTCTTTTTGGAGTTGAGCATCCTGTACATCTATATTGCGCCAGTGATTTTTCGACTGGCGGCCCCTCTCGGCCGGAACAATCGCTCCTTATGCGACTATTATGGATGATTCGGTGAAATTGCAGATCGTGTTCTTTGTCACCACCTCTTCGTTATGGATTTGTTTGTGGATGGTCAAGTTTTCGCTCCTTTCCATGTATAAACGGCTATTGGTGGGGAAGCAGTACCTTCTCGCTTGGTGGGCAATCGTGATACTCTGCATTTTGGTATGAAGACCCGGCTAGCTATGTGCTTTTAAACCACTAACAAGCGTTACTCTAGTTCCTCATCGGCTGCATTCTATCATCCTGGTTCTCTTGCGAGAGTTTCCATGCTTGGTTCACGGCCGGGGAATGTGGTACGGCGCGCGACCATCGCGCCGCCCGGATCAGTTTATACTTCGCCTACGCGGTGGATATCCTTACTGACTTGGCCAGTACGTTTAACTTTATCCGGACCTCGAGAAATCCATACAATTACTAGTAGCTAATGCCAATCCTAGTTATGGCTTTGCCCCTGCGTCTCATTTGGAACTTACGCATGAAACCACGACAAAAGCTGAGTATCGGAGGTTTATTTTGCTTCGGCTGGGTCTGCATCATCGTCTCCACCATCCGCGTTGTGAAGCTTGGTGAAGGCACAGAAAGTGGCGTCCCAGCTCCCTCATGGCTAGCCCTCTGGGCCACGATTGAAGCATCAATTGGTATGCTATCATTCCTTTCCCCCGTCCATACATACTTCAATGTACTGACAACATTATCTAGCCGTCATGATAGGATGTTGCCCGGGGCTTTATCGCGTCATGAAAACAGTCCTTTCACCCAGCAAACACTCCTACGATTACAACTCCTATAACATGCGTGGCCGTAGAGGTAGTGGCATGCCGTCAAATCGATCGGGACCCAGAGGGGCGGATATTGCTCTCAACAGTTTCGTGGGGAAATCGGATGACATATACCAGTCTGCGAGCGCATACCGATCCTCAAGCCCGGCAAGCAGTCAAGAAAAGTTGGCTCAGCCTAGCGAAAGAGGGAATATTATGGTTAACTATGGTGTTGCGGTGACGGTCGAGAATCGGCCGAGTGACTATAATCGGCCACAGCAATTTGTATGATCACTGGCATGTATAAAATGACAGGTTAGGATATACTATATTCAAGTTTTACTAGTAATACACAAAAGATTCATATGGAGCCTTGGAAGTTAAATTTGAGTTTCTATATGCCAGTTCATATATCTAGATGCGGAGCTTTTGTGACAGATGGGAAATACGCAGATTCGGTGTGGATAGCTCATCCACGCAAAGGCAAGAAAGCTTGCCGCGATCCTGACATGAATAAGAATTAGACTTCCTGTTGAGTGCAAGTAAATGTATCTTACTTATGTGAAGAAAATAATCTTTAGATTAGCTGTGACCTACTGGGATGGTTCAAGCTGATATACACAAAACACCTAAAAATGGGGAGGGTAATACTGCCGAGAAGCCTAGGCTGCGGCGTATCCATGCCCACGGTTATGATGATATTGATAGTTATTCCCATCTCAGAAGAAAGCGTCAGTAAGAGAGGCGAGCCACTTCGAGAATATTAACTACAATGAATCTGAATTTCGCAGCAAGTTGACCTTAAAAGATTCCCCAAGTAGAAGCAGTCATACAGCGCGCACGTCCTCTGGCCATCCGCTGCTCTTGCCACTAACGTTTAGCTTTCCGTCGGGCGTCGGTCGTGATTTGGAAAATGGCTAGAATTTTTAGCACAAAAGGTCAATGAAAAGAAAAGCAATGACAACATTAATGTAACAGACTCATGATTCACTAGTGATATGTCCTCGAATTGCCTGTCGGCACAACCTTCTAGATGAAGGATGAGATAATGTAAATCGCGGTTCCCGCCGGAGCCCGCATAACCTCAAATCAGGTTTATGAATGGCGTCACTGCCGCCAAAGAAGGCTGCATGATAGTATATAGACCACCACCACCACCACCTCATTCAGATTCGAATTCAAGCAGTATATTTCTCTGAATCAACGAGTCATTACTTGTTACTATTAACATGGCTCAGAACTCCGCCTCTCATAACCCAAGTATGTAACTGCCAGGGTATATGGACTTCCCACTCAATCAAGACTATACTAAAAGCCGTTTAGTTGGTCTTTCGGTTGGCAACCTTACCGAGCCACCACCACCAGTTGATGATGATACGAAGAGGAAGGTTGCCGAGGCTGCAGAGAAGGATCCGACGGGCCAAAGTGAAGGGGGCCGGAGCAGAGAGGATGCAGAAAAAACGGAAGAGACCTGTAAACAAATCGAATGCTTGATTGGGCCATCAAAAGGTTAAAGGTTGCTGACGATTAGTATTTAGTGGATCTCGAGCGTGAGCGTGCTGAAACAGCGACGAGGTTCGCCCAGACGAACCACTAGTTCCTTCTTTTCTTCCAACTTCGGCTATTCGAACGTCTTTCCGTTGTGCGTTTCAATTTCGGCCTGGAAGTAATATGGACATAATAAAGTGATCAACCAGGAATAGTTAGCTGGTCGCATTCGCCTGTCTGCATTCGCCTGTCTGCTACGGCAAGGTGTCAATTTGAAATATGCGACCAAGCATGATTTAAGATAGGGAATATGATCCTTGATCCTGTAATATTATAGCTTAGTACTATTTAGTACGAATATTTCCTACTTTCAAGTTGACTATTTTACATCCACGCAGGGGAAGAATACGTCTTTGGTAGCTAAATCAAAGGCAAAGTATAAACCAAACAGCGCCGTCTAAAAGAAAACCCCAAAAGAACCAAAGAAAGATACGAACTTTCAAACACATTCATCAATCTATTTCGAGTCCCACGTAAATCTACTATCTTGCTCCTCTCGTGTCCGAACTAAAGCTAAATGCCACTCCCACTCCATCCAGTCTAGCATATCCTGAACAAGGTGTAACTCCTCAGCGCTTCCAGAATCAAGCTCGTGCCGGGGACTACCATCGTCATAAATCTCAGATTGATTCTGCCCGTCATTCTGTCCATCCAAACCAGATTGTTCAAAGCACCTCAACGGCTTAAGAGAAACCCAAGCTCCTTGACTGAGGATTCCTCTCTAGTCGGCGAATCAGAATCGTATAAACCGATAAAGTATCCAAACCGACGACGCCGGGTATTCAAATCTACTTCAGACTCGTTGGGTGTTCCTAGCCAGGGCTCTAATTGCCGGGGATACCAGTGTGTTTCCGGGACAGGTGGCCAGGTCTGATTGAAGAAGCGGGATAGATTGTCTAGTTGGGGCGTTGACAAGAGATGATATTTGAGTATATTACTTGGCCATTCGGGGGCTTTTTCTCCGCTTGTGCAGTGGACTAGTTGACTCAGGGGTCTGGCGAGGTGGTTCAGAAGTGGTAGAAAATCTTGATGGAATGCTGATGTTGAAGATGGATTTGATGTGTTGAGGCTGGAGTCTGAGGGTGATGAGGAACAGGTACTAGACTTTCGACTCGGTGAGACGGGGGAAGACGTGGACGGCATGGTGAATGGCTTTGCGCAGTGAATTAAATGAAATGTGACAATAGCTAATAAGCGGCTTAGAACCTGTCTATGGAGATTGTTGTCCAAGAATGTAGTCAATGAAGTAGCGCTAGAATACGAGGAGAAGACAGCAATAATGGTAGGAGGCTCAAATGCTTCTTATGTGTTCCGAAATTCGAAGTTTCATTATAGTGGCGACGGTATAAACAAAGAGCCGAAACAGCCTAAGAATAGCAAGGGCTGGACACAAAAGCGAAGAACAAAAACCAAAATATGCTTTGGTCCTTAACAAAGACAGTCCAACCCCAGACACCATTGTTCAATTAATAGATCTCTTCCCAAAGAAACACGCAAAATTCATAGATGTATCTCATAACTTATAACTCATACGGTTCAATGCGTGGCAGACCACTTAAACGGCCATCTTGTTGACGCCCGAGGAGAGATCAGGCTCCTCAGCTACTGGAGGAAGACCGACGAACTTGTTGATGAAGTTAAGCACGGTCCGGTGCCACATAAGAGAGTTCTCGGGATTCAATACCCAGTGGTTCTCATCCGGGAATGTCAGGAATGCACTCTCCACGCCGCGCATCTGGAGTACATTGAATGCAGCCAGGCCCTCAGCGATGGTCAGACGATAGTCCAGTTCGTTATGGATGATCAGATGCGGCGTCTTCCAATTCTCAGTGAAGCGCGATGGATCCCACTTAGCCCAGTTCTCGGGAACCTTCCAGATGGGACCTTCAAGATCGTGCAGTGGGAAGTACTGTTCTTCACTAGCCAGTTGGCCAGTCATGCTGAACACGCCATCGTGAGTGACGAGAGCCTTGAACTTGCGACCTAGCGGGTGGCCTTGAATCCAGTTCATCATGTAGCCACCGTAAGAAGCACCGAGTGCGACTGCGCGATCGGTGTCCACGTAATCGAGATTCTTCTCAATGTGCTCAAAACCCTTAACCAAGTCTTCGTACGGCCGACCACCCCATTGGCCACGGATCGCATCGGTGAAGTCCTGTCCGTAGCCAGTGCTACCGGTGGGATTCGGTGTGATCACGATATATCCCTGCTCCGCAAAAACAGCCGGGTTCCACCGAGTGCTCCATTGGTCGTTCCAAGCGCCCTGGGGCCCGCCGTGGATTAGGTATGCTAGAGGGTACTTTTCACCGGGTTTGAAGTTGGATGGCTTGATGACCCACGCGTGTACTGGGTGATCTTCAGCTCCTCGGAACCAGATCTCGTCAATCTGGGACGGATCTAATCCAAATGCTGCACCACCACGACCGTTGGAAGAGACCAACTCGATTGGGTTGGGGCGAGCAGGGTCGATGATATACCATAGACTGTTATCCACCATGTTGCTGCTGGAAACAAACAGCTTGGTGTTGTACTTCGAAGCAGGAGCTACATCATTAACATAACCGGCGTGGGTAAGTCGTCGCAATGAGTTAGGCTTCGCCTCACGGATGCCTTGAAGGGGGAGTTGGTAGAGAACTCCGCGGCCTTTCTCTTCCGCCTGAATCAGCAAAGAGTTATCGCCCTGAGCAAAAGAGATAGTAGAGGGGCTTAAATCCCAGAGACCCTTTCCATCTGAAGACTCGAAAACTTCGATCATGTTTCCATCCCAAGGGTTCGGTACATATAGGATTCGGTTCTTGTCAGATTCGTATCCATCATGCTGCATGGCCAAAAGCGCAATGGAACCACCGTCCGATGACAAGACAGGCGATGACATTGCTCCTTGCAAGGCGGTAATCTTGCACGCCTTTACATCCTGTGCTCTCATGCTAGTCCATGAGAACATTGGCGCGTAGTAACAGGAGCAAGAGGTATGGGTGGCGGGATTCAGATCCGGATCCTTAGCGATGAAAACAATAGCTGATGGGCTGATGTCAAAATCACCAGAGCCTCCAAAGGGCGGGATAGGTGACTCGACACCGGCCAGTCCAACCACGGAGATTAAATTGGTCAGACCCGAAACGCTGAACTTGCCAGCTTGGCGGCGGGCAGGTGATAACGGAGCCTGCTCCAAAAGACCGTACCAAATGGCGTTTTTCTGAGGTTCAACATAAGAATCCCAATGGCGAACGAACAGTGATGTATATAGGCGACCAGTCGTTTGTGGCTTTTTGGCATCGTGGGGGTTGTATAGGGTTCCGTCAGTGTTGGCCTTGCCGCTCACCGCAAATCCAATCTTGCCGGGCTCAACGGTAGTGACCTTGAGATCCGAGACGGGGCCAGGGACTGTACCAGCGGTATATGTCTTATCGGCTTCACGAGCATCGCCGACAATGAAGCTGGTGTTTCCGTTGCCCTTGGTCTTCAACCAGACGAGTCGATCGCCGTCGCCCAGCCACTGCGGGTTGCTAGCGCCGGGGTCGTTGGTGATGAGGGCCGATCGGCCAGAATCGATTTCGATGACTCGGATCTCGTTTGTCTTAGAGTGTGACTCGAAGGAATAGGTGGTTTGGGTATAGACTGCGAGAGTTCCAGCCGCGTTGGGAACGGCCGAGGACCGCCTGGGTGCACCAAGGAGGACCCTGTACGATGTCAATTAGGTGCCATGACCTTATGCGATAGGATGGACTCGAATTATTACGAGAGAAGCAAATAAAAATGACAGCGTTTAATCAAATAGAGGAACTTACTGTGGCGTAAACTGCATCGTGCGAATGGTCATCTCCCCTTTGGTAGCTCAAGCTATGTGATGCGATAAGATAGAGCTAGGGTGGAGCTAAGAGCTCGAGAACAGGAGCTTGCAGAGAGGCCCCTGTAGGGTATTTCAATAGTATAAGGGATAATATAGGCAGAGAGTAGGATTTTCAAGAAGAGGGGAAGCAATAGGTATGTGCAAGAGATGAGGAGAAGAGGGGAGAAGCAGGGGCAGCAAGGGAAGAGGAGAAAGAGAAGGTGAGAAGGAGGCGTGACTCCATGCGGGGAAAGGATCCACTTTGGTACTCACCGGCGATCCGGTTAAGGGTAGGGTATAGTTACGAGTACTGACGTGAATGGAAAGACCTTTTTGTTCCAATTACTCCAAAACTATTATTTTACAGAAAAAAAAAATAAGAAAATCAAACAGTCATCTACTCCTCTTCCTCTTCCTCCTCGCTCTCATCCTCGTCCATTCCTTCAGCCGCGGTCACGCTGAACGTGGGGGCCTGATCCACACCGACATAACTGTCACTCATCAGGTAGAGAGTCAGATCGTGCTCTCCAGGAGTGGGCACAACATATTCCAAACGAAGCTCCAGCTTGCGACCAATAGTGACGCGTTTGATAGCCAGGAGGTTCTTGGTCTTCTCGTCGCCGACCACTAACCACCAGTTCTCCATCTTCTGGCTGGGGTAGAAAGGGGGCGTGGACCACGGTGTCAGGCTCCTCGTCCTCTTCGACCTCGCGCTCGATCTTCACCTTAAGGTAGGCAGGCTCGCCGGAAGTGACACTCTCGGGATCCTCAACTTCGAATTCCAGCTCGATGTTGGGATACTTCTCGTTGGTGAAGGCAGCAGCCTGGGCCAGCTGCTTGTTGTTCAGACCCAGTCGCTTGACCAAGGTGGCGTAGTCCTTGTTCTCAGAGGGGTCCATGGCTTCCATGAATTCAAAGATGTCATTGATCCTGCAGGTAAAGATATTAGTAACTTGCCGCCTATTAACAGGGGGTTTGGGAATTAACACATACTTGTACTCGTTGGCAACCTGGATAACCTCCGGGGAGAAGTGAGGAATCTGTTTTAGGGGGCTATCACGGTCCCACATGGCTTGAACCACCATCTGCGAAAGCTCCATGGCATTCATGGCGTTGATGTGACCCTCCGAGGAAAGCACATCTACACAGGCGCTAAGCAGGGTAAGAACCTTGCGGATGATATCTTCTTGGTCCTTGGCCAGATCAAGAGGCAGTTGCAT